GGAGAGGAAGTAGAGGGAGAGGAAGTAGAGGGAGAGGAAGTAGAGGGAGAGGAAGTAGAGGGAGAGGAAGTAGAGGGAGAAGAAGAAGAATAGAGATGGTACGGGGAGAGTCAGCGAGGGAGAGAGAGATGACTACAATAACCCATAGATACAACCGAGACATTCATGGATATTTGAAGTGATGTGACCTCAAAGTGAATTGACGGTAAAACTCAAGACTGGGATTTCCTCGCCCACGCTAGGTGATAACAATAGGTATTTCCTACACTCCGCAATTCGCTCTCCAACTGCATTCGAAGCTCATCAAATTGCGCCCTGGTTGGTTGGCCTGGTTTGTCTTTGGGAGATGTTAACTCGGGTTCTTGAATGGACATGGCTCGACCTACCACTCAGCATTATCTTCATTCCATCTAAGAGATGAAGTAACACTGCAATCGCTTTCTCCCCTTGAGCTCGATCCTTGGCCTCAGCCCCGACCTCGATCGTCTGGATATCTTGCTGGATATCAACAGCACCAGCCGCTTCCAGCCAGGGCACCAGGTAAATACCAGGGCTCGGCTGGTTTCCGATAGCTGCCCATGCCTTCACCATGATGTCTCGGAAGCGCATGAAAGCCACATGCTCAGGTCCCTCCTTGATTTGGAGCATGTTTCCCTCATGCAGCTCTATCCAGCCACCCGGTCTAACGCAAGCGAAAAGCTTCCTCACGGCATCTTGGCCGGCCTCGTCGGAGCAGACGGTGAGGACAAATCTTTGGTGTACAACATCAAAACTTTTTTTGAATTCTGTCGGCCAAGTATCAAAGATAGAATGCGTTCTCAGCTGCACATTTTTGGGTCGCTGATCTTCGGGGATAAAATGCTGAGGCGCAACGTCGGTGCCGATGAGAGTGGCTTTTGGGGACATAGACCCCGCTAGGTCAATTGGCCAAGTACCTTTTGCTGTTGCGGAATCCAGAACGCGGAGTCCTGGGGTTGTCAAGTCAACTGGGGAGTATAAGAGCTTGCCGTGCATCGCAGTTTTGATGAGTTCATGCTGGGTGAGAAGGCGGTCGTATTCGCCATCATGGCGTGGGCCACGATAGGGATCTTTGGGGGTTGTTGCGCTCATTTTGAACCTTCGACGGATTGTCCAAATTGCTGTCCTTATTTTTTTTCCTGGGCCAGTGAGTCTTGGTCACTTCATGATATATGGCTCCACTGTGAAACTCCGGGGACTAACCGCCGGGCAGGTCCTCCCGCGGTCAGTATAGTCGCCGAGCTACATATAACGCGGCACTATCACGCCCAGCATGTCCCGACAGAAGCATTACTTTGAAACATACTACTTGATAAATTGATTGCTTTGCAAAATGGAATCTCCCAACAATATGCACGTTCGCCCGTCTATTCCAGATGACAAACTCATTCTTTACGTCAGAAAAGGTCGGAATCCTGCTCTGAATTCCTGAACAAACTCTGATATTTTACAGCGAGTCCAACATCAACGGCCAATTCAGTTAAGCCATTGATGCTGATTGAGGCACTCGGTATTCCACATCATATCCATATAATCAACTCCACCAGCAACGAAACATGGTTCCATTCGGTGAACCCTTACAAGATGGTGCCCGCGATAGAAGATCTCGAAACTCTCGAGCCTGACAAGAACCAGCGATTAAACATTTTCGACAGCTCATCTTGCCTGGCCTACCTTGCCGAGAAATACGATACCGATGGACTCTACCGCGGCAAGAATTTGTGTGAACGAACCACCATCATGAACTGGCTGATGTCCTACACTGCTGGCCTCGGAGCTACGGGCAAGATCTGGCTTCTGATGAAAGCCCCCAAGCCGGTGCCTATTGGGGAATCTCTTTCGGTGCTGGTCAAATACATCTGCACCGAGTATGACTTTCTGGAAAGCCGATTGAACGAGCCTGGTCAGTTGTATGTTGCGCTTGCTGATCGTCCGACCATTGCGGACTTTGCTATATTTCCTTTGGCGAATGAGAAGATTGCAGCATCTGCTGATCTGGACTTCAATCAATGGCCGAGTCTGAAGGCTTGGAGCGAGCAAATGGGTGCGTTCAAACCTGTTGCAAGAGCGTTGCATCGAGTTTCAAGATTTGGACTCTCGCTAGAGGAGCTTGCACAGTTGGATGGGTAGGATAGAAAATATTTTTGAATGGGCATAGTATAGCCATACATTTTAATTTTGAGCAAACTGAGCCACAAGAATATTATCGATCAATTCAGTTCCCGAGTACACTTAGTGGAAGTGGAAGTAACTGAAGATAAAGAGCATAGACTAGATCAGCTGTATAGCTCGATTCAAAATCGTCAACTTAGAGTACATGCAATTATATAAATCATACTCATAAAACTATTCACACATTTTAAATATTTCAGTGTCAGAACATACTATCTGCACTGGCTGGCCTCTTCCCATCCAACCGATTAGCCCCTGCATCAGCCGGATCAACACTATATCCCACCGTGATATCAGTAGTTCTCACAATCCCGGGAATCTCCTCAGACTCAATACTCGGAGTCTTCGTTTTCCTTCCATATTTATGCGCATCAAAGCCCTCAGCCTCCACATCGAACCTCGGTCCCCCAAGCGGATCCGCCATCTCGTATCCAGCCGCGCTCGAATGTAACGACTTGTGCTGTGTCGCGGATTTGCTGAACATATTCGTCATGGGGAATTTTCGTCCGCGACTCCCAGTCCCCGTGCCGGTTCCATAACCGGTTTTGGTGCCTCTGCGTGAGCTTCCGAGGACTTTGGGGAGGTATCGCGTGCTGATTGCTTTGAGGGAGGGTCCGCAGGCGGTTATCACAGCTAGATTTACTTCGATGGCTGAGCTGCAGAAGCCAATTGAGTATGTAGGGTCTGGGTTATCGATTTTGGCAATGAAGCCTTGGGCGAGGATGATGATTCGCCAGACTCCGATTGCAGTGGCGCTGTAAAGTTAAATTAGAGAGGCCCTGAAGAATAGTGAATGGGAGCTTACACTGCACCCAGGCATAGGATGATACACACGGCGATTTTGCGTCGCATGGGCATCTGGAGGCGGGCTGTGATAATTATAGGAATCGAGAGGACCATGATGTCGGTGGTGAGGTTCAATGCTGCGGTCGAGACGTAGAATGCGCCTTGGTCGATGCATTTTCCACCCGGAATTGACATGTCATATACGTATGCGACGGGCGTGCATTGGAAGATGTCGACCAAGAGGACTGCCAGACAGAGGGTGATCACTGTTGCCAATGAAGCCCAGATGAGGTATCGCACCACGCGCGACTGGGAATTGAGTCGATGGAGGAATAGCAGCATCGAGACTTTCACAATAGATAGAGCGGGGTTGTAAATGATTTGGTTGGCGAAATTCCACTGGTTCTGGTCAATATTTGTTTGCTCAGGGAGTGGACGGTGATACTTACCACCAGACCGGGTGTGGGATTGTATGTTTTCGGGACATCCCAGATGTGAATACCGACATAGTTGGTTTTGATGTCTGATTTATGTCAGCTACAGGACCTAATCCTTGGTTGGATTTACTCACAGTACCACGAAGTGACCGATTGACAGACGGCAAAGATCTATACATATCAGCACAGCCCGTTGCTTCGAGAACCGACGCTCTTACATATCCCAGCAGAATTAAGTAGTCATCTAGAGCAAATTGTTAGCCTTAAGGTTCCTGCACACCGGCAAATTTGCCATACCACTCGTTAGGGCCGTTCGTGTTAAGCGTCGACTCCAGAGTCGAAGTAAAACCGCAATACCACCTAGGGCTGCGAACGCAACCACAATCCCTAGTGCAGCCTTCTGTTGGTGATCGTCGAGCATAGTACACCGGACATACAGGCTTGATTAGAAAATCCACGCCAGCAGAGGCTTTTACTCTTATAACCCAGGATTGTGGCCACAGGAGTCAAAGTTAAAGCATCCTTCGGTTTCAGCCTCGGATTGGGGTGCCTGTTTTTTCTCTTATTCTATTTAATTCTATTTCTCTTCTTTTTATTTTCTGGAAAACATAAAACAGTCAAGCACATAAGGCATAAAAATAAAATAAAATAAAAAATAAAATCCCCGTTAATATAGTATCACTATGTCCGTCCAAAGTGACTGGCTGAGCTGGCCAAATTTCGGACGTGGCGCAGAGTCTCAGACGCTGCAGCCGTTGGCTACCGACATCAGGACCACCAATGGGTTAAAAGATCATGGCTCCACTGGTTGTAAACCAACTGTGATCCTGAAACGTGATGCCTCGGCTCTAATTCTCATCGGATGTCTGATTGTGCCTGGTTTTGTCACAATGCTTTCCAACTTTAGAAAGTTGCATGAAAGAGTATTCGACAGTAAAAAAGTTAAAGGAAAATAAAAGGCCGAGCTCAGAAGTAGAGCAAAGGCCGTTACTCGGCCGTTAATCTATCGCCGGCCGGATCGGAGCCTTTTTAGGATCTCGGCGGGGCACTGTCTCAACCATGGGCGAGGGGCCGATCCTCACGATGAACCGTGGAATGTGCTGATCGCCATGAATCTAACCCCATTGACTGTATATCACGAACGCATTGAGATCAGATTGCTATACGAAGTACGATATATGCACGAATAGTGAGTATCTGATCAATTCTATTCTCTTTCTCGGGTGCAAAGTGGAGTGGAACAGCCGAGATGGAATCAGACAACAAGCACTCTATATATTGAACTATCGTAAACTATACAAGTAGTGCCATTGTGTGGAAATTTCAACTGCCGACGGAGCTTCTAGATTCCGAAACCAAAAGAAAATTTGTTCCATTTGGCTAATTGGGGGCCAGTTGGCTAGTGGGGTCGCATTCGCGGGCAAATGTGGCTAGGGTTCTTCCCATTGTGATCTACTCCGTATGCACAGATCACTTCTTTTCTATTTCTACTGGAATACAATGTTATGCAAAATCACGTAAAAATATAGCGCTGTCTCGGTCAAAGACATTTGACAATTCGGGGTGGAGCCCCGGGACTTGGACAATGCAGAAGTACAGTGTCGCATGTATAAAGGGTGTGGATCCAGGCGATGACTCCTTTGGGATAGTCCATCGGCCTCCAACCCATGGCGATTCACACGTGGAATGAGATATGCACGGCAGTGGAGTGCGGTTAGGGCTCGGGTCCTGCATTTCCGATGTCTTTTGCCTTTCAAAGGATTAAACTAAGCTAAACTAGACCCAAGGTTCTGGCCTGGCAACGACAAGGACCCCAAGTCTGAGTCTTGGGTCTCTTATAAGCATTCCATTCCCCCCTTTCCGGGAAGTCCCCTCGCCGATCTTGATCTCTTCAATCTCATTCACTATGGCCTTTTCATCAGTAAAGAGCGCTTTGCTGGTTGCACTGCTGGCCACAACGGGAGAGGCAGCTGCATGCCCTTCCAAGTCGGCTGTTGCACCGTTATTTGAGTATGAGAAGGTCCAATTGACCGATCAAACGATTGCGAAACTGGGGCGAACCCAGTCTGCGCTCTTTGGTTTTGGCCACAATACGACAAATACGACTCACTCGGGTAGCTGCAAAGTCTTCCCTGGTGATCGCCAATGGCCTTCGCATGCTTCCTGGTCGGCTTTGAGCCATGCCTTGGATGGTGCCCTCATTGAGAATGTCCCCCTCGCTGCGTCTTGCTACAAGTCATGGCCTCAATATGACAGTGAAAAATGCAAGGAGATCACTGAGCAGTGGACCGACTCGCATATTCAGTAAGTGAAACATGGATGAAACACGAATAGTATTTATAGTACTGACTTGTTGCAGTGCTGCCGATCCAGCTTCGGTTATGTGGCCGTTGTTCGAGGGCAGAAGCTGTCTGCCCACCACCAATTCATCCTCCAGCTGCAGTCTGGGTGGATACAGTGTTTACTCTGTGAATGTAGGCTTTCCCGCATTTTGCTAGGTATACGATGCTCATGTCTACAGGTGTCGAACGTGGAGCAAATCCAGTTGGCCGTCAACTTCGCTCGCAACAGTAACATTCGTCTGGCGATCAAGAACACAGGACACGATGTAAGTATTGCTATTGATAGGGAACGGCACAGTCTAACGATTCCAGTTCAACGGCAAATCCAGTGGTGCAGGTGCTCTGAGTATCTGGACCCATAACTTGAAGAACATCGAATACTTTGAGCACTACTCGGGATCGGACTATCAAGGACCAGCTGTGAAGCTGGGTGCCGGTGTGCAAGCCGCTGAAGTGTATGAACATGCCAAAAAGCTAGGCTACACTGCTGTTGGTGGTGAGGGCAAGGTATGAGTCCGAACCATCTGTAGGGCAAGACAACGTAACTAACCATCCCAGACTGTGGGTGTCGCCGGTGGCTATGTCCTTGGTGGCGGTCATTCACCCATGTCCAGCTTATATGGCTTGGCTGCGGATCAGGTTCTGGCCTTGGAAGTCGTGCTCAGCAATGGACGCTTCGTCACAGTGACCAAGACGAACCACCCTGACCTCTTCTGGGCTCTGCGAGGTGGCGGTGGAGGTAATTCCCCATCTGCTATTGAATTCGAGACATTGGGCTGACCTTTGATTAGGAACCTTTGGAATTGTCACTTCCATCATCTCTCGTGTCTACCCCAAGATTGGAACCACAGTTTCCACCTTCAACTTCTCAACCGGAAAGAACGTCTCCACAGAGACATTCTGGGCTGGTGTCCGATCCTACTTGAGCCACTTCCCCGCCCACGCCGATGCCGGCACTTATGCCTACTTCTGGGTCATGTCCACAGGCGAGGATGCCTACACATTCCTCATGAACCCCTTCTTCGCAGTCAACCACACCTTGAGTGAATTCAACACCCTGGTAAAGCCATGGTACAAGGAGCTTCATTCTCTGGGCATCAAGATCCAGCCCAACTCGACTTACTATGACAACTTCCACGATGCCTGGAACTCGGGCTTCCCTTTGGAGACAGTGGCTTCTTCCACCATGATGACAGGCAGTCGTCTCTTCCCCCGATCCAACTGGGAAGACGCGGAATTGCTGAACCGAACCTTCAATGCCCTTCGCTCCACCGTGACCGCCGGTTTCCCCTTACTCGCCTTCAACATGAAAGCCGAGCTCCAGAAAGGACTCACCCCCAACTCTGCTAACCCGGCCTTCCGCCAGACTCTGATGCATGCCATCTCCTCCACCAGCTGGACCGAGACCACTTCCAACACCGATATCAAGGCCAAGATGGACCACTTCACCAACGACATTCTCGGCCAGTGGCGTGCGGTCTCTCCTGATGCTGGCGCGTACATGTCCGAGTCTGATATCCAGGAGCCGCATTTCCAGCAGGCTTTCTATGGATCCAACTACCCGCGTTTGTACCAGCTCAAGCAGAAGTATGACCCGGGTATGCTGTTCTATGCTCCCACTGGTGTTGGCAGTGAGGAGTGGGTTGTGAGAAGCCTTGATGGTCTTCCCGATCAGAACGGTCGGCTGTGTCGCCGTTGATCAACACTGTATAACGTCATGTATAACAGATAATCATATAGATTTTATTGAAGTTGAGTTGAGAGGATATTCTTCAACATGGACAAAGAAATTAGGCGGTGTACGATGTATGAAGGTCGGATGGACCGTGGTGTAAGATTATTACGAAGTATTTGACCTCGAGTACATACATCTTTTAATACTGCACGGCAGAAAGCATATTCAACATTATGCAACTGTCCAATAAAACGTGATAAGTAGTTTTAGAACAGTAGGCGGTACAGACTTGGCAACCAGGCGGTCAGGAAACTGATGTTACGCTACTGTATGGTGGATATGTGACAGGATCCACTTGTAATAAATATAAAAAGCCTGGTTGGTCGAGTGGAAAAGGCGCTGCGGGGGTCGAAGCCAGCCCGGTTCTGAACCGTGTGCTGGCCTCCCCTCCGGAGACCCTGGTTCGAATCCAGGATCGGGCACTCTTTTTTTTCTCTCTTCCTCTTTTTTTTTTTTTTTTTTCTTTTGGTTTTTCGGAGAGAGTGAGGAAGAAAGCCAGGGTAGACTCCAAATAGTAAGATATTTAATTTGGCGTAGTCTATGTATTAGCATCTCAGGTATATCTGTTTCTGTCAGAAGCCAGGCCAAAAATCAGGCATGGATAAGGCAGAAACCAGGCAGACTGGGGCATCCGACCTGGCCGCTCTGTACCTTCGTAGCTGGCTGCTTATCCGGACCTCGGATATCCAACAACCAACCATCACAACCACAAGCAACAGTTAATTCTTCAAAGATTGCGGGGTGTAGTGTTCGAACCACTCGCAGATCCAAATCACAATATCTTGATTTTCACTACCAACCTGGAGCAGAATGGCACACGGAGCAGAGTGTTTTCCGGGGCCAACGCGTCGGAAACCCGGAAAAGCACCGGGCGTGGGATCTACCCCGACGTGGGGTTTGACAATATAAAGACATCCTCAATAATCAATGAAAATGGCCGATTCATCTGCAGAAAACATGGCGACTGTCACCTTAACAAATACGGGTGTGAAGCCACTCCAGACCAAGGACATTGCGGCTCGCCTGTTGAACGGCACACTCCATGCACAATGGCCTGCCTTTGAGCAATTCGAGACTATCGATGGCCTCTTGAAGTCGCATGCAGCCCAGTCTGATGAAGGGAAGTATCCCTTGATATGCTATCCCATTCGTGGCGCGGCCGACTTCGAACAACACACAGCCAGTGATATTGATCGATATACCGATGTGGCGGTTCGCTATTACATGCAACAGGGGCTCCCGGCTGCCGTGAGTACTCATTCGAACCTGCGTATCTGGCATAGCTAATTTCTCCGTAGGATCCTAATCTCGATCAAGCTCCTGTGATTGCCACCCTGGTGGGCTCGAGCTTTGAGTCGGTGATCACTTTCTTTGCGCTGAACCGGCTGGGATATGCCGTGCTTTTCTTGTCCACGCGCCTCACGGCCCCTGCATATGCACGTCTGATGGATATGGCCAATTGCCAGTCAATCATCAACACACAGAATTATCAGCAAGTGGTCTCGGAGATATGTGCCCTTCGCCCTGGCTGCAAGTCATTCTCTCAGCTGCAGAGAGAGAACTGGTTCAACCGCCCTGCGAGCTTCCCTCGCTATCAACGACCAAATGTAGATACTTCAAAGGAAGGGAAGAAGATTGCTTGGATCTTGCATTCCTCTGGAAGCACCGGTTTCCCCAAACCGATCTTCCTAACCAACCTGCAGACCTTGGCCAATTTCCGCAAGAGCTTTGGTCTGCGTCTTTTCACTATCAGCCCCCTCTTCCACTCTCATGCTCTGATGGAGCTGGGAAGGGCCTTTTTCACCAGAGCCCCTGCATACTTGGGGAATCACTCTCTCCCTGTGACATATCAGAATCTCTTTGATGCCCTGCAGGTGGCCAAACCGCAGCAGATTAGTGCCGTGCCTTATGTTATCAAATTACTCGCTGAGAAGCAGGAAGGAATTCAAGCCCTGGCTGCTCCAAAGCTGGTGCTGTACGGTGGCTCCAGCTGCCCCGACGATTTGGGAGACCGTCTTGTTGCCCAGGGTGTTAATCTGGTGGGCAACTATGGAGCCACTGAAACAGGTCAGATCATGACCTCTTTCCGCCCTCCTGGCGACAACGAGTGGCAATACATGAGGCTGCACCGCCCTGTTGCCGATCTTACCCTGATGGATGAAATTTCCCCAGGAGTCTTCGAGTGCGTGGCTTTGGATGGTCTCCCTAGTAAAGGCCCATCGAATTCAAAGCCACCATATAGCTCGAAGAATCCCAAGAACAGCTTCCGAACAGCGGACCTCTTCACCAGACACCCTGACCCGGCAAAGAGCAACTATTACAAGTATCTCAGTCGACTGGACGACCGAATCACACTGGTTAATGGCGAAAAAGTCCTGCCCATTCCAATCGAGGGTCGTGTCAGAGAAGAAGCCATCGTCAGTGATTGTGTCGTGTTTGGATTCCAGCGTACTGTGCCTGGGGCTTTGATTTTCAGAGCTCCTGGTAAAGTGGAACACTTGAGTGATGACGAGTTTCTGGAAGCTATCTGGCCAGCTATGGAGGCTGCCAATTCTCGTGCAGAGACATTTTCTCGGATTCCCAAAGAGCTGGTCGTCATCAAGGGTTCGGATGTTGTATACGCCAAAACTGATAAGGGCACTTGCATTCGAGCCCAGGTGTATCAGCAATTCGAAGAGGAAATCAAGCAGGCATATGCGCGCTTTGAAGGCAGTGGTCAGAAACGGGGTAGTCTTGTGCTGAGTATTCCAGAGCTCGAAGACTGGCTCCTTGAGAGATTCAGTCAGGATTTGGGCGTGCCTTTGCCAGGTCCTGATGCTGATATCTTCTCTGCTGGTGTTGACAGTTTACAGACAACGCAGATCTGGAGATCCATTGTCCGGGATATTGATCTCGGGGAGTTGGAAGATCGGTTGTCTCAGAATATCGTTTTCGAGAAAGGAACTGTCAGAACACTCGCAAGGCATCTTTATCAGATGAGGACCGGAGAAGAGTCCGAGAAGGAAGATGAGCTGGCTATTATGCAAGAGTTGATTGAAAAGTACTCGCACTTTACTCGGCATTTCCCAACGACAACTCAACCCCCGCAATCCGAAGTCGTCATGGTCACTGGAGCGACAGGCAACCTGGGAGCCTTTATTGTGGCAGAGCTACTCAAGCGCCCAACAGTCTCCGAGGTATGGGCGCTTGTACGTGCACCAGGCCAAGCCGCAGCAGGTGCTCGTCTGTACAAATCACTAGCAGATCGCCAGATTGTCCTCTCAAATGATGAAGCTGCCAAGCTCCACGCCGTCCCTAGCGACCTATCACAGTCCAATCTCGGTCTCAGCAATCATGATCTCCAGCATCTGCTCTCTTCATTAACATGCGTCATACACAGCGCATGGGCCGTGAACTTCAACCTTGGCGTCCGCTCATTTGAAGACCAACACATCCGGGGTACTTACAATCTGATCAACCTCTGCCTACGCTCTCATCTGCCCCTCCCAGCCCGGTTCTTCTTCTGCTCCAGCGTCAGCGCCGCAAGCAATACCCCAAAGCCAGCTTCGATTCCGGAAACCATGGTCGAGAACTTAGACCATGCGCAGAAGATGGGATATGGAAGATCGAAGCTGGTGACTGAGCATATTACCCGCAATGCTATGCGCCAAACTGGCATGCAGGCTCGGGTTCTCAGGATCGGTCAACTGGGCGGCGATACCATTAGTGCGCAATGGAATGAAACAGAAGCTATAGCGCTTATGTTCCGCAGTGCATTGACAACAGGCGCATTGCCTGAACTGAATGAGCGGCCTAGCTGGTTGCCCGTTGATCAGTGTGGTTTGGCAATCTCAGATATTGCTATGAAGGCTTCTGCCTCGGAAGATCCTAACTTGGTATACCATTTGGTGAATCCTTATGCCTTCAGCTGGAAAGATGATTTGCTTCCTGCTTTGAAGAAGGGATCTGCACTACCTGCTTTTGAGGTCGTCTCTCCACAAGAATGGCTCCAAAGACTGGCGGATAGCGATCAAGACCCGGAGAAGAATCCCAGTATCAAACTCATTGATTTCTGGCAATCTAAATACTCCGGGCCCAGCCAGTCGGCCCAGGCCTCGTCCTCTGAGGTGCCACCAAAGGAGGGAGGTCTTACTTTCGAAACTGGAGTCACAGTCCAAGACTGTCCCTCTTTGTCGGATGTCAGGGATCCAGTGAGTGGGGGGTTGATACAGCGTTATATTGAGGCGTGGATGAAGCGATGGACTAGTACATAAATTGCAAATGAAGATTGAAATTATTTATCGTTACGTGCTGTCGCGATATTATGCCGTAGAGCGGACGTCGGGAATTTATTCAAGTCAATATAAAGGGACTGAGATCTTCTTTGGGCAATTCTGGACACAGGGATATCGAACGGGTTGTAGAGACAGACAAAAATGATAATCGGACATTGGTTTTGGGATCGTTGGTTAGATCCGCCAAGTGGTAGCAATTCTCTAGAATCAATCAAGGCTTCAAAGCCATAATTCACACAATATTACTCCGGACTGAGGATAGGAATGCTATACCCTCTAGTTCTTCTCCGTGTGAGCCTTGAGTCCCTTCTGCATGGCGCCAAGGTGTTCAAACTTGTAGGTATCCTCACCCAAGCTCCAGGCCATGACTCCTCCGAGCTTCCTCTCGGCAACAATCTCCTTGAACTTGCGGGCAATCATGGCGGGAGTATCCCAGGTCCAGAAGATGTTGGCATCCTTGTCAAAGTAGTATTGGCCACCACCCTTCTCATCGGTCTGTCCGTCCTTCTGGGCCTTGCGCCAGGAGTCGGTAATCGAGATACCCTTGCAGGTACCGTAGTCGGACAAGCAGCCAGCCTGGCAGAAGTCATCACCGGTGCCACTGGAGGAAGGTTAGTTTCAAGTATGCTGGGATGTCTGAGGTAGAATTTGGCACTCACCAGTTGCCGTAGGTGCTGCAGCATTGGCCCTTGGGGCACTTGGTTCCTTCAGCGAAGCCACACTTTCCATTGGAAGTTTCCTTGAGGTCCTTGGGGGGTTCGGCAACAGTGCTGGCCTCGAAGGTGAGTGTGCCAGACTTGCCGTTATCAGTTCCATCGTCGTTCTCAAGCTTGACCAGCTTGCAGCCGAGAGGGTTCTCTTCGCAGTCAGACTCGGGATCGGTAGTGAACCACTTCGCGTAGTACGCGAAACCAAGGTTAAGCTTCTCTGCAGGGGCACCGATCGACAGGTACTCGTTAATGGTGTCCAGGGATCCCTGCACACCACTGTGGTGGGCGGTAACATTGTCGCGACGGTTAATCAGATCATAGCTCATGACATTGACATAATCGACGGACTTGAAGATCTTAGGGCCCTGCTCCTTGGTGAAGGCAATGAAATCTTGCTTGCGGCCAGGGACGGCAATGGAAAGAGTCTTCTTTCCAATGGCCTTGCGGAGAGCTTCCAAGAACTTGGGGTAAGTTTCGATTTCATCCACCTTCTTGGAGTTCGGAACGTCCTTGTAGTCCTGACCGTTACCACCAGGGTACTCCCAGTCGATATCTAGTTCGGCATTAGCAATTGGCCCGATGGATTCGGTCTTGGCAGGAGATTCTTACCCACGCCATCAAATCCATTAGCATCGAGCATCGCTGCGACGTTCTTGGCATATTTCTCACGCGAGGCATCATCCTTGGCTCCCTCCGAGAATCCAGAGGTATCGCCCCAGCCGCCAATGGCAATGGTCAGCTTGGTATCAGGACTGAAACGCTTGCGGAAGGTCTCGGGATCCTCGAATGGCTTGAATGATGAGTCCGAATTGAACGTCTTCGAGGGTGCAAATCCCATGACGGCAGTGTCAATTCCCTGCGTCTGATTCTGGTCAGGTAGCGCAGCTACGTGCCATCTGTTCCAGTCTCAGTTGGTAAGTTCGTAGGAGGGGAAACCAATAGTCCTTACTGGTCGATGTACATGGCGAATCGAGTGGCCGCCACGGATTGGGCGGCCAAAAGGCCAACTGCCAGTCGTTTGAACATGATTGAATCGGACACGCAACTCTCTCAGGATCCAGCTGATATATATATTAACGGAAGAAACGAACAGGCACAACAAAGACCTGAACTGCCAAGGGGTATACAAGGGGAGCAGCAAGTAGCCACGAAAAATCAAAGAAAGAGATCAAGAGACAGAAAGGGCAATGGAAATCCGGGGAGAGAAGCCATGTATATACGAGGGAGTCCAATATAGCGCATGGGCGCCCAAGCATGCAGGTGCAAATGATCGGCGCTTCGATCCCAGTCACAAATCGCTGTCTCCTGCAGCTCGCTCTCGCGTGGGGCATGCAAATCACCCCTGTAATCGGAGAATGCCGCAGGATCGAAAAATATGACCTGCAGTTTGTTCAGGGAGTGCAGCTGAGGGGCCCAGGAATGTTGGCCTTTTTCTCAGCCTTCGGTGGATAGAGCCATCGGTGAAAAAAGCCACAGCTCATTAGAGTCAGGATTATGACTCTCGATCGCAGTGGTAGATCTATGCCCTGATGTCTCCTAGGATAACAAAAGGCAGTCAGATCGCAATGCCGGAATGCTCTATGTGCCGTGCATTCCCTGGCAATGCCGCATTCCTGGTCGTGTCACTAAAGGGTGATTCGTCTACGCTAAAAGGTCCAATCACCACAGGACAGACCCCGGAGATACATACCTCCCTCACGTCGTAGTTCCAGTTGGGTGGCGACTACCGACAGTCCGGTGGCATGGTACACAGGCATGACAAGGCGATGTCATTCACTGGGATGACCGGAGCTAAATCCAATGGCGGGAATGCGTAAAAAGAATATGTATGTTCGTCTGGTCCGGGGGTATAAGCAATAAAATGACACAGACACCAGGCTTTAAATTACAATGCCGCTATAGATATCGGGGCCAAGTTGATATTAGTTCCAATGCCGCCGAATAATGGGCCGAGCAGGGTCCCAAGGGCCGATCACGACGTTCTTGTACTTTTGCAAACTGATCAGCCACCAGCTGCAGCCACCCATCACAAACGCGGTCAAAATGCTGCCCAGCACTGAGCCGATGATGGCCGCTGCCCATCCGCCACTTAATGTGACTCCGACGGCGCCACCAGCAACAATCACGAGAGTCAGTGTCAAGACAACGTGACCAGTCCATGACTTCTGCCGTAACTGGCGTCGGAAGATAGGGAATAGCCCAAACACTTCCATGGAGAAAAGCATGAGACTGAACACATGAGTCGTAGATGGCAGCCGCGAGGCGAGCACAGTGGATGCCATTACGGCGGCGTTGGTGGACAATGAAGCAGGGAACTTGGTGGTGGCGCCTGCGCCTTCCCCGCTTCCGTAGTCGAAAGAGAAAATGTTCATTATTAGAAGCCAGCAGCTCATAGCCCAGATTGAGTCGCTGGCTGTGGATTTGGTGAGGGATTTGAGGATGGGGCTGAGCCCCAGAAGGGAAAGGTAGATGAGTAAAGCGGACTTGACCGTAGTCAGTCGTTGTCGATTGCGCGGTGAAAGCATCGAGCCTCGATAGGTATCGTAGGTGTCGTGTAGCACCGTCGTATCAGTGCTGCCAGTGCTGCCAGTCAAGGGGTTGGATGGTACGGGGAAAGAGGCGTGCTGTTCTGGCTGAAGACCATCTGTATCGAGGGTGTCGCTGAAGTCTGCACTCCGACGGGCTAATTGCTCTTTGGATTCATTCCCAGACATCGAAAGTCCAAGTCCATGTATCGCATTGATCTTCGTGTCATCACTTTGTATGTCATTTGCAGATGCCTCTGCGACACTGGCAAATGACGTCGAACTGGAGCCGTCGTCGGCCCCAGCGGTTCGATTGACTTCTTTCTGAGACTCTTCATGCTCTTTCCAAATCCAGTTGTCCCACAGAATCCACCCGACAGCCGTCCCGACACTCCCCCAGCATACAATGGAAACGGGGCTCACTCGGTCCTGAACAATGCCAACGAAGCAGCAAACGAAGATCACCACGGAGCATACATGTTGCACAATCACAGTTGAGTCAGCCACGAGTGGCCAGAAATCGTACGGTCGAACTCGAGGATTCCGCTGGAGGTGGTCCAGAAACGTTTCGGTATCGGTATAATTGTCCGGGTCTGTGGCCCAACGTCAGCATGGCGCGACCGAGAAATCGACTGCGACGAATTTGGACATACAGGATTGTTTCACCCAGAGCAACTTCTTCCAAGCGCCCTTGCGCTTCCGACGTCGTGGGGCACCCAGCTTCTTGCGCAATGCCGCCGCCGAGCCAATATGGGAAGCATTATCTCCATTCAAAGAGCGCAGGCTTTCTTCGTAGTTGGTGGGCGCTGAACGGACCCTTGACAGGGCTGGCGCAAAGTAAGCATCCTCTGGGGCCAGTCGATCAGGGTCAGGGAGAAGCCGTTCATGTTCGGGGGATTTGGACCCATCACGGTTTGGTGCACCAGCAGGGCTTGAGGATGGTAAAGGATTTGATGGAGAAGTCATCGAGCACAGTCTGAGCTAGCAGGGCATGGCGCGAGAAGGAGACATGTTGGTTCCTGAGCTTGGGTTCTTATCGCAGCCTCGTTATCGGCACGTGATCCCATCGAGCCCTAGCTCGATGATTGTACGAAGTATAGAGATGCCTACTTTGCAGGAGCAATTTGACAAAGGTTCTTTCGATAGAAAGCGTCTTTTTCTGTAAAAAGGAGCTTTGGATAGCCTGTATCTGTTAGATTCAGACGATTAGAATCTACTAGCAATTTATCAGAAGCAAAACACTCAAAACGATATACATTATATCCTATAATTGTCACAACCGGACTCGAACTTCATGAATACAAATGCAGTATTAGGTTCTTAATAATAGTCCCTTCAAATGGGAGGAGTTTAGACATGCCTGGCAGATCATGATGGAGTTATTTCACTGGACTTTGTTGTGAAACTGGCGTTAACGGTCATGATCTAGATCCATTCTCGTCCAGAATGTAAATATTTTTGCTGCTGTGAAGACGATGGCGCTATAATTGATCAGGTCCTATGCAGAATTAACATCACATTGCACTTCATGGGAAAGATTATGTCGTGACAAGACGGATTGTAAGTTCAGCGAGCTGTTTTGGGCTCTGATCACCTCGCCGGCGACCCCTCGTGTTAAATTCACAATACCTTCAACGCTGAACATCGCTCCCGCACCTCTCCATTTTTTTCTGCTCTCATTGATGTTTATCAGAATCGCATTGCACGAGCCTTCACTCATTGTCACGAGAGTTTTCTGCATCATGGAGGACAGTACCATCCACCAGGTGGCTGACGGAGCCGAAAGTCTTCAAACTGCGTCTCCGGATCAGGTTTCGAAACCGTTCTCCTTCAGGCCCGAATCCACGCAATCACCAAGCGCAGTTGAATTGCCAGTCTACAAAGAGCCACCGGCCTTGAATATGGAGCATGACCGTGGTCAAGTGTCGAAACAGTTCTTCAGTCCCGACTTGACGCAGTCCCAAGATGGATTGTCGGCCTGCGAGGAGCCACCAGCTTTGACGATCAAACACAACCGCGGATTTAAGCCGAGGGGGGGCTTTCCAGACGCAATATTGAGAATCCTCGAACGCTGGCATGAAAAATACCCCTACAGCAATGTCGGACATCCAGCGAAAATCAACTTGAACCCCCACCGTGTTAGGAACTTCAAGATTTTTGACGAGGACGCTAATGAGTTTGAAAAGTCAATTTGGGACGTCAGCAAGGCACGTCGTTCAGCGAAGCCACTCGTCTACCATGTCATGGTCATCCACTCCGAGCATGGTCCAGACCAGCTTTGTGCGGATGCAATCGCCCGGGGAAGCTTGCACGACATCAGCCCGAAAGTACAAGGACAGTTTATCTTCGCCTGGAATGAAGCCGAGGCCAAGTTCGATAACCGATTCTTCGCCTTGAGGGTCTGGCAAGAAAGTGGCAAGGACGTCGATTTCAGCCCTCGCTTCTTCGAGTGTGATGCCCTCCCCCGCCACCCGCCCGCTATCTGCCAACTCGGATGGGTGCCGGGGTCTCCAAAGTCCCCCAAGCATGTGGGCAGCAACTGGAAAGGCGAATACGGCAACAATCCGTCGACTGAGAAGGCACCAGGGGCCCTCGGTAGCACCACCCGTTCAGTCAAGGCCCCCAAGCGTGTGAAGACAGAGTATGATTCTGATCCCGATTATGTGGACGAGCCCCGGCCTCGGGCTGTGCCTCGGCCACGGGTTGTGATGAAGTTGAATATCAAGGAGCCCAACCAGGCCGAATCGGCGCTGAGTTCACCAACCTCGACGCTGAGCCCAGCCTTGTCGATACCGAGTCCGGTCGATTCGACTCTCGGCCCCTGCTTCTCCCCTGTTGGAGCCGGGTCACCCATCACTGGATCCCCAATGGTCGGATCTCCTGTGGCCGAATCTTCTGTGGCCGAATCCTCAATGGCCGGATCATCCATGACTGGATCCCCAAAGGCCGAATCTCCTGTGGCCGAATCCTCAATGGCCGGGTTCTCTGTGGCCGGGTCCCCAATGGCTGCATCCCCCATGGCCGGATACCCTATGGCTGGGTCCTCTGTGGCCGGATACCTTATGGCTGGGTCCCCAATGGCAGGATCTCCTGTGGCCAGATTCCCCATGGCCGGAAACCCTATGGCTGGGTCCTCTGTGGCCGGGTCCCCAAGGGCAGCATCCCTCATGGCCGGATACCCTATGGCTGGGTCCCCAATGGCAGGATCTCCTGTGGCTGCATCCCCCATGGCTGCGCCCTCTGTGGCCGGGTCTCCTATGCTTGGATCACTGATGGAAGGAGTAACCTTATCCGGGGGAAGGAGCGTATCAGCTGCCCCCACCAGCCCAGAGACAGAGACACCCCAACCCACTGCCAATGCATCAAGTCCCCAGGATGAACTCAACATCCGGGTCAATGTCATGGTACCTCCAGTGGAATGGGTGACAAGCCCCTACGGGAGGAGCTATTTGGCCATGGTCGCTGGCCGAGGGGCCCTGAGGGCCGATTCAGAGATCACGCCCCTGAGCCTTGTCCAAACCTGGGACATCACCATCAGCGCGAGGCTGATCAGATCCTTCGAGACCAGCGAGGCGAGGGAATTCTTTGGCAATGTCCGAGAGTGTTTGAGGCCAGCTCCCTATGGGTATGCCTGTCTCCACCTCGGTCGTGGCGTTCGTTGGATTGGCGAGAATTGCGTTGCTGAGTTCGGTAGGATTCTGGCGCAGGTCCGGGCCCGTCAGCTAGACAATTTGCTGGTGGTTTTCGCGGCCCCTGGTGACTTTATCGTTTGGTGAAGCGGGGGGAAGAGTGGCCCTGAGGGGCAAGTTCTGAATGAAAGAGGAGTTTTCAAGTCAATTGTGCAAGTAATTTGTAAATCAAAGTAAACCCCCTTCTCGACAGGACTTTGGTGACCATTTTCCCTTGGCTAAGGTGGCTTCGCCTTGATCTCTATATCCTTCCTGCATCCTAGGTTTTCATGATGCATTTAAGGCTCAGATGGGATCATACATGAACCTTTGGGTTGTAGTGTTTGTTTCTGCTCTACTACCTGAGACTGGCCATGTGGACATTTCTAGAAGATGGCCCGCCAGAATATAAGATTAAGTGCTGCGTGGTATCCAAGCGATGCTTCAACGGGATCGCCACCGCATATAGAATAAGAGATTCTATGGAAAAAGAGATTCTGTGGACATTGGGAGATCGAAGACGAGGCTTCTAGCACTCTTCAGATGACAATTTTGGAACACATGTATCGCTCAAAACCGAAAGATCCCACAGACGGGACACGTACAATGGAAACCCAAATCAAAGTCCACAGTCTATCCGATGACAGGACAAAGTAAACAGTTCATAGTTGCTTTCAGGGGGTATCAAGACTGGAGAGAATAGAGTCACAATCAGTATCATAAATCACTGGAGGACCTGCTGTGATGATTGAGAACATTATTTTGAACGAGGTTCCTGACCGCCTGCGGTGCGACCACGTCGTCAACGCTGTTGCGGCGACCCCAGTTCTGTGGCTGCCGTTGAATGAAGGCTCCCACGGCGCCGAGGTAGCCCTCGTGACGCAGGAAATAAGCCTGCTTCTCGCCCTTGGACCAGAAGCGGATGGCATATGAGAGCGTGTTCATGGTTTGTCGGTGGCCCCGGATGAAGGACCCGCCGAAGTAGATGTGCTTCACGCTGTGCTTCTCCGACTGCAGATAGGCGATCTGGCCGATATTATTACTAGACGGGGTTAGCTCGGATTCAAATCGAGAATTCAGGAAGCTGACCTGATGGCATAAAGCAGACTCCGGCTCATGTCTTCCGGGTTGGGCTTGGGGCCATGGCTGGGCTCATTTGGATCGCCGTGGATCAACCCTTCGCCATCTTCGGCCCCTTGCTCGGCGTCATTCTTCAATCGGAGCACCTTGCCAAAGGTACTCGCGATGGCGGTGCTCTTCAGTCCAATTTTGGTGTAATCCATGCCATAAATATCTCCCACGAGCATATCCACTGCACTGTTATCTCCGCGGTCGGCCATGGCCAGCATATCGTCAAAGGTTCGGGATCCCGTCAATAATGACATGATACCCCAGAAAGTTCCCCCTCCCAGATGTGTACCACCAACACGCTCGAATTGTTTCGGACCGGACACTTTAATCATGGAGACACCCGAACCGATGTTGACCAGGAGGTATGGGTAGACGTCGGGCCGAGCCTCGGCATATTGCATCGGCTCCGCGTCGGCATCGCTATAGGTGAAGACTTCATTGGGAATTTCCGTAATGAAGAAATCCAGGCCTGTCGGACGGTCAGAACTGGCATTGCACGGGCGGCGCGTGTCACTCACCAATGATCAAGCATTCCATCTCCTCCTCTCGCAAGATATTCACCCCCAACTCCTCTCTCAGCCGGTCATAGTACTTGTATGCCCCTCCCCCGGTCGCTACCACACACAATTCGTCCCGCTTGGAGCTGTTCCGCTTCTCATGTTCCTCCTTCAGCTGTCGGATGAAATTAATGCATAGGTCGATCCGATGAGTTTCGAAATTGAGGAAATTCAGTCGACCGCCGTTATCCTCCGAATTGAGCTCGCGAGTAAAGTACACTAGCTTCGCAAGTGTTCCGCCAATCTATATCACCCCTCCGTCAGCCTCTGGTTCTCTCGGTGATCGCGCTGTCTGCTTCCCCCTGGATTGCGGGGGAGCCGGTCGCAGTGCGGGGCAGGTGTTTTTTTTTTTTTTTGAGACACTCACATCGACAGCGACATGGCTCACCACACCGGTATGGTGTGGAAGTCGGATATCCTTATTCTCATAGTGTACGCCTTCTGCTTCGACGGGACTCCGGGATCGTGGCTCGTCGTCGACAATGAACGCGCCTTTCACATTAATCTTGACTGCACCCGGGTTGGTAATAGCCTCTTCTAGGCGATTGGGGCGCTTTCGTGAATCGATACGTTCAGGAGACATTGTGGTTGTTGTCGAAAGGGAAGTTGGAGTGGCCGAGGTCAGGGAGCGTTCCCAGGCTTACAGCGTATATCTCCTTCTACCCGCGGTTCCACTTAAAGCCGACGTCCGAGGCTCAATTGTTAGCTCTTCTTAGTTCTTCACACTTCACTCTTCACTCTTCACTGAATATCTGATGTCAAATATTTGATGTTGAATATTTTTGAGTATTGGATGTTCAAAGCCTACTGCCTTGGCATTCTTCCGTTTTCGTGTGAGACCAGGGCTCCAAACGGCTTCCAGACAGTGAGAGATGATACTAGCATCAAGCTGGTTTCAGATCCATATATGCCTGACGATACAGCTACTGTCTATTGTACCTATGTCGTCGCAAATAACATCTCCAAGATGTGAACCAAAAAAACAAAAACAAAAACAAAAAAGCGACTGTGATCGAACATTTCTCACAAGATGTACATAAAGTCTACAACCTATTGATGATTGTGGTTCTAAATTGAGAAGAGGGTACTTCACTTGTCATACAAATTGTGATGTGGAAAGAAGTACCCAACACGTACACTGTGCCAATCATCTCAGAGTGCCTTCCTAATCAGGTTGTTTGTCCCAGGCAGTACACATCGCGCTCGCTTCTTCCTTCTTTCTCCCTCTCTTCTTTCTCCACGTTTCGTGTTCCTGACTCTGGATCAACCTCGATTCGTCTGTTCTTACTTTACAACTTGACTGTAATGGATCCCAACGAGGATGCAGCTCAGCAAGAGACTGCCGAGTTTGATATGGCCTCGGCCACTGGTTCCCCCAAGCCAGTGAAAGAGGATGTAGCAGCTGGTGTGCTCTCAGGCATTGGCCCTGATGCTGAGGCTGCAGGCCAAGTTGCTCGTGACAGGGGCTGGACTGACCCAGTGCCTTTTGCGTACTCAGAGCTGAACAGCAGAGACGACCAGCGTGAGTGGGCTGGCATTGCAGCACGCTACGAATGGGATCAGGAGTATGGTGAAGTGGGCCCCGCCCATCCAGAGCTGGAGGAGCAGCTGTTCCGAGGCAGCCTGATCCCCCGTGCGGGCTCCAAGCTGGAGGAGTAAGTGATTCCATATCTTCGTGCGGGACACCATGCTGACCTTTCCCTGCCCAGCTTGAACAACTTCAAAGTGAACGTGGAGTCTACCGATGCTATTGAAGCGGTGCATGAGGTGAGTGAAGAGGCTGCTGGTGGCCAGGGCGAGTCTAACGAACATGATAGTGGAAAGACTTAGGTCTTCACCCTGTGATGCTTCAGAACATCGCTCTGTGTCAATATGATCGCCCCACTGCGATCCAGTCCTATGCAATTCCCGCGGTGATGTCCAATCAGGATCTCATTGCGGTGGCCCAGACCGGTAAGTCTTGAGCTCGCTGTCATCAAACCCGGATACTAATCAGTCCAATCAACACAGGCTCGGGAAAAACGGGTGCCTTTCTGATTCCTATCCTGTCCAAGCTGATGGGAAAAGCGAAGAAGCTGGCCGCACCTCGTCCCAACACCGTGCAAGGGTTTGACATGGTGCGAGATGGTGTTCGTGCTGAACCTCTGGTGTTGATCGTTTGCCCTACCCGCGAGCTGGCTACTCAGATCTTTGACGAGGCTCGTCGCCTGTGTTATCGCTCGATGCTTCGCCCTTGTGTCGCCTATGGCGGTGCCCCTTCGCGGGCTCAGAGAGAGGAGCTTCAGAAGGGTTGTGACATCCTCATTGCTACCCCTGGCCGTCTCCTCGACTTCATGGAGCAGACTCATGTGCTTTCTCTTCGACGTGTTCGGTAAGCTAAGCAAACCCAATCCGGGCCTCAGACACTAATCATCACTCAGCTACACTGTCATTGATGAGGCAGATGAGATGCTGGATGCAGACTGGGAGGATGAGTTTAAGCGCATTATGTCCGGTGGAGGTGAGCAGATTCCAGGATTCCTCTCTGCTTGATTGGCATATGCATTTCTTTCGGAGAGAGCCCTTGACCCTGGTTCTTTGGTTGCTAACCTATTCAAGATCTTAACGAGGATGGCGATCATCGTTACTTGATGTTTTCAGCCACCTTCAACAAGGAGTTCCGCAAGCTTGCCAAGGATTACCTTACTGACGACCATGTTCGTCTTCGTGTTGGCCGTGCTGGCAGTACACACCGTAACGTGGTTCAAGACGTATGCCAGCCATCGACCCCTTCTCCCCCCATTACAGTTCTGATCAATGCTGACCAAAAAAAAAAAACTAGATTGTCTGGGCGGATCAGCACCAGAAGATGAAGGCCCTCTATGATCTTCTGATTAGCATGCCTCCTGTTCGCACCTTGGTTTTTGTGAACAGCAAGGACCAGGTCGACTTCGTTGATGACTATCTCTACAACTCGGGAATGCCTACAACTTCCATTCACAGTGGACGCACCCAGATTGAGCGTGAGGACGCTATGTGAGTACTCGGCTATATGGTCCAGACCTTGGATTATCTTTACTAATACTTCAAAAGTCGTTCTTTCCGCACTGCCAGATGTCCCATCATGGTTGCCACTGGTGTTACTGCTCGTGGACTGGATGTGGTCAACGTTTTGCATGTGGTGAACTACGATCTTCCTAGCACCATGCATGGTGGCATCACCGAGTACGTTCATCGGATTGGTAAGTTGTTTTACGCTCGATTGCGTCTTGGTTCTTGCTAACAATATCAACAGGTCGGACTGCTCGTATCGGTAACGAAGGAATCGCTACTTCGTTCTATAATGAGCGCAACGAGGATATTGCCTATGACTTGGTGAAGATTCTCATGGAGTCCAAGCAGACCATCCCTGACTTCTTGGAGCCGTACCGCCCTGAGAACGACGAGCTTGACTTTGATGACAACTCCGAGGATGAATTCTTCGATCAGCAGGAAGAGGAAGCCGGATTTGGGGATGGATCTGAGGCTGGAGATAAGGCTGATTCTCAAGAGGGGGATGCTGAAAAGGAGAACCAGCCCGTCTCTGATGAAGTTGATGATCCTTTTGTGGACTCCAACAAGTCCAAGAAGGAGGTGGATGATTGGAAGGATTCCGAGAATGAATCTCGTTCTTCCAAGCCGCCCAAGGTGTCTAAGCAGAAGGATGATTGGAAGGATACCGGGACTCCCACTCGTCCTTCCAAGTCTAAGGATTCTGCGATAAATGAGTCTGCATGGGCCCCCAAAAATGATGACTTCTGGGGCGCGCCGCCTTCCAAGGCTGATCGAGCCTGGTAGGTCTGCAATCAGCCCCCCATCTCTTGGTCTCAGCGCCAAGTTCTGATGCGACGAGTTTCATGGGTTTTCATTGCAATCTTCAGTGTCTTACTATTATCTGAGCCTTCGGCTTCAGATTCCAAGTTATTGCCTGTATTTCGGTCACCCTTGTTTGTTCATTCTCTTTGATGTGCGAGAAAACGCGGTGGAATCCTTCTAGGGGTACCAGCAAATGTTTTCGAGGATCTATGGGATGTACAACAAGCTGGTAGGGAGATTTACCATCACTAATTTGTTAAGAAAACTAAACAAAAGCACAAAAAAAGATTAAAAAAATGCCAATGAAAACATCTCTATTTGATTCGTCTTGGAGAGCACCTCGTAGAGCTCCTGCCCTAATTTAGTTGCACTTTCATGTTGACCCTTCCCCCTCTCTCTGTCTGTCTCTACAATCCATCCAGTCCTTTCAAAGTCACTATGCATCAGCTATCTATATATGCCTTGATTGCTCTCTTCATCTCGTTCGCTACAGCTCTTCGTAACAAACACGACCACTGGAATGAGCTTCGAGGCCTTAACCTGGATACGCCGAACCAGAACTCAAGACTGCCAATCCTCATCGACACCTTCGAAAACCCAACGCACAATAATCTGGGCTTCTGGCATGGCTCAGGTGAGAACCTCACGATACAGCATGGCCCAGGCTTCATCCGTCTCTTCCCAGTCGATCCCGATCAAAACTTCCACACCCAGTTCGATACAAACCGGTGCTACAGCCTGGTTCCCTATTTCAACGAGTTCCTGCACGTTGTATTCGAAGGAACAGATCAGTTCAGCGTCTCTTTGAACCAGCACAACGACGAATGTAACCCACGCCGCAGTCCCTTCCCCAGCGTTGCGGATTCAGTCCAAGCAGAGCGCTATGTGATGCACCCGGCCTCTGGGTCGTCAGGCAGACATGACTGGGACGACGAGGATCTGGATGAGGACGACGATTACGATTCAGACATTCTGAGTAAGGAACATCTTCTGGGCAATAAACACCAGAAGCATCTCCGCAAATCCGCTCACCACAGGTACCTCAATGGAACTGCCAAAATTCCCAAGGGACCTCGCGAGCTGTATATCCCACTCACCCATTTTGAGATCGATTTCAATCGAGTCGTTTCTGTCTCTTTTCATGGCTTCTATACACCAGAGCCTATGACGCTGCGTCTTGTCGAGATCGTGCCGACGGTGCCTTCGCCGTCGCGCGGAAATGGATTCTTCCGATTGCCTGGGAAGCTTCCCAGTGGAAGATTGGTGCTTAGATGTTCGCGGCCGAATTCATTTGCCTTTGGGATCGATGATGGTCAGCCTCAGTTTTCGCAGCGAGTTATGCGCATTTTGGACGAGGAAGGTGTACGAGTCACTTTCTTTGTGGTTGGAACTGGGTTGAGAGATCGGTCTAGTAACTTCACGGAGTTTTATAAGGAGATGCTTCATAAGGGTCATCAGGTGGCGCTTCATTCAAATACTCATCCCAAGTGAGTTTGCATGAGAACTGTTATTCCTTTCGTTTGGACTAACGGCAGATAGGATGGAAACTCTTCAAACTGTTCGTGAGATTGACGAGGAGATCATTCAGACGGTGGAAGTATTCAAGACCCAATTGGGGATCGAATGTAAGTGGACTGTCGTGCTGGTTCGGAATATCTTCCTAACATGTTGATTTCAGCTTCATACTTCCGCCCGCCGTTTGGGACTGTGGCTGCTCGTCTGCGCCAACAGCTCGCACGACATATCCCCAATCCATACATTGTGAATTGGAGCGTGGATGTCGAGGACTGGCTGTGGGCCAATACTTCTACACCAGAGAAACAGCTCGACGCTTTCTATCGCGGAGTGGACAAAGGAGGTAACCTGGCTGTTATGCATTACTTGAATCCCACCACCATCGAATACTTACCGAAGTTCATCCAGCACATCAAGAGGGCAGGATATCAGATCATGCGCATTGATCAGTGTTTGGAAGATGTGTCTGCTCCGCCGCTGTAAGCCTTTGAGGGATATGACAGGTCTGTATATCATTAGTGTAGAATTTCCCTAAGTGTCAATGACATCCTCTCTCATTCTCTCATTCTATGGCTTTAGCCAAGTAAGTAGTCAGTATTCATGAACTCTCAAAGCAATTTGACACACAATGTGTGTCTGTATTGAAGCAAAGTATATAAACCAAAAAAAACGCCAGCATCTATCCAGAAACATCAGCCAGACCCAAAACAATGGTAATACATAAGAGAGAAACAAGTTCTCTATCCAAAACAGTCCACAGCCAACATCCCTTCTGGCTCTCAATGCAAGAAATCCCAAATATAACAAACCACCAACCCCAACAATAAATTATATCAAAACACCCACAATCGCGCAACTTAGTCCCCAAAATCAGGCTTCCGACACATCCCCTTCTTCTCAGTCAATTCCCGAATCCGTCCAGTAACCCACCCAGATGTAGCATCCGAAGCGGCATTTCCAAGACGGGGATTCGCACTCGTGAAACACTTGTTGTCCCGGAATGTGAATTGCGCGCAGGTTTTCTGCGCGTCGCAGAGGATCCGGCAATCCTCGAAGGAATGCGCGAAGGGTTGTTCGTCGGATGCTAGGTTATCCCAGTTTAGGCGGGTGGGTTGGGTGATTATTTCTTGGTATATGAATTCGCGGAAGAGGTCGCCGTGGAGGAGGATACGTTTGTTTTTCTGGAATATGATTAGTGGGATTATGGGAATGTAGGGTGAAAATGGGGACGTACATTACGCCAGCGCTTTTGTTCAAAGTTCCAGAGGTTCTCAATGTCGGTTGGGGAGAGGTGGTGCAGGGCAACGGCGATAAAGCACCAGGGATGGCGGTAGAAGTCGACTGTGAACTCGTCCAGTTCGCCTATGTTGGAGTTTTGCAGAATCGGCCACGTGAAGTGTAGATTTACTCCGGCGTCGGCGAGAACTTTGCCCAACACACAGTCTCCTGCCCAGTGTCCGTCTGTGTATGCGTTCAGCTCGACTTCGCGGGCGGTGTATTCGTCCGAGGCGCGCTGTAGAGCTGGGTTGGAGAGCATGAAGCCGGACCCTCCGTGGGCGAAGATGACGTCTGCGATCTGGGTCTCGGTGCCGAGATACTGGGGCTTGGTGTGGTCGAAGCGGGCTAGCCAGGCGAGGATCGTGGGCCAAGAGACGTAGGTGTCTGCTTCAATGAAGATGAACCATTTCGCGTTGGACTTGTGTCGCAGTGCTGCCTGGGCCATCGGGAGGAATTTCCATTTATCCAGTTTCCAGCCTGGGTTGTTGGGTTTGCCGATGGCGGAGTTGGCCTCGTCCGCAAAGTCCTGCTGCTCCAGACCCTTGCGACCGTATTTGACGATGCGGTTATAGAATTGGAAGTCCGGGTTTTGTTTCGCGGCCGTGTCCATTTCGCGGAGGACATCGTGGATTTGGACGCCTTCGATCTCTTCTTCGAAATCAGAGTAGATTACGTAGTTGGGGATGCAGCGGAGCGTCGTTTGGAAGTGCACGGGGACCTTCTCGCGCGCTTCGGTCACTCCGGTCTTCATAACGACCAGGACATCCTCGATGCCCGGTAATGGGGGACAGAATGGGGCGGGTTCCCCATGTTCATCTAGGTCGGGGGTGATCTCGTTGAAGTGCGGTCGCCACGGGCGATTCTCGAGGGTGAAGAAGTGGTAGATGAAGAAGACCACGAGGGCGGTTGCTAGGGCCAGCAGCCGGCGACTAAACCGACGACGGGGGACCATGATGAAGAATCAATTGATCATCTTGACAGTCAAGATCTCAAAGAAAGCAGGGAGAGCTCACTGATCGACGGCTGACAACGCGTACTCGTGGGGCGGGGGGCTGTGTACTATAAGCTGTATAAGTACAGTACTTGTAGACAGTAGAAAGGGATCTGGAATAGCTGCCCCTTGATTTTGTTTTTAATTTAACTTATACTTACTCGTCAATCAATACACACTATACACTACTATATTTATTATATACTTATTACATACTAAATAATATCCAGTCATCGCGTCATGAAATAGTCGATGACACGGTCTATACTTAACGACTCTTATTTTTTTAAGGACCTTTATAGGTAGAAATAGATCTATTTAGTCCCTTTGTAAAAGAAAATGGAGATATTTTTGATATGTACAGCTAAGAACTCTTTTCAGCCATCTTCGTATGTAGCTTGATCAACTCAGGAATGATAATACTCTCAATTTCAATCCCATCCCGACTCGCATCCGACATCTGGTCAGTCTCAACTTGATCAAGGGGTACAGCATTCCCCTTCTTCGCTTCTGCCAATCCAACCTGATCCTCAACCCCAGAAATACTCTTGCTGCGCTTGGACTTGGGAACCCGGATCCAGCGCTCATGCGGCTCATCGGGAGTAATAAAGACAACCTCCCACTTACGGGTCGAAAGCAAATTTCCAATCACCAAGTGGTGGGAGTAGCGTTGGAGCGCAGTGCGCGCCTTGTACACAAGCAAGGAGGGATCTGTCTCCAATTTAAAGGAAACCACCATGCTCCCCTCGGGCGCCCAGCCATCCACCAACCGGTGCAGGAACTTCGGGACGGGATCGAGGTTGACAACCAGCTTCTTGCGATTAGAGGGCTGCTCCTCGTTCTCGCCCGTGTAGATATCATCTGCACCAGTTGCCTGACCTTGCAGATGGGCCGGGAGTTCCGAAGATTGGATCTTATGTTCGGCCATCCGGCTGCGGGGAATGAAGAAATCACTCACGGCGGCAGCTAGATAGAACAGCGCATTCGAACCAATGGGTCGCATGATCTTCGCCATCGATCGCAACTCAAACATATACTCGGAGACTGTCGTGAATGGCAGCAGCAGAAGGCGGTTGTTCTGTTTCGCGTACCTGTACTTGCGCAGGACGCTGCGCATCTGGTCCTGGTACTCGTCGCGGACCATGATGGAGCCGTGCCCGGATTCCGCTGAGTCGGCAGAGGGAGGCGCCTCGTCCATGAAGTCCAGGAAACAGTTCGTCGAGTGGCTGTAGTGCCGGGAGTACGGGAGGAGACTGTACTGGCGGTGCAGGAAGATCACGGCGTACCCTTGTTCCAGGAAGTACTCGGCGGATGTCGCACCGCGGGTTCCGGCAGAGAAATTGTCGATGAATCGGACGGTCTGCGCTTCCAGGGGGACGGTGGTTCCTCCGGATGTGACGAGGACTACACGGCGGTTGGCCTCCACGTGGAGTTGGATGAATGCGCGTGCGAGGGCTTCATGCTTTGGTAAAGCCTTGGGAGGAGGGTATTCATTGAAATACACCGATTCTGCGGCTGCAGGCTCCATCTCGCCAACTAAGGGGGCAGCCATGTTGTAAGAAGTTGTATTCAGGAAGCTGTCGCAAACTGATAAGATAGGCCCCGCGCCCTACGCCTTGGTGGGGGGTAAAGGTGGTCTGTTCTTTGCTGCGAATATTCCAGTCTGGGAAATTGGTTCCTGTCCCAGTTTCTTCAACTCCAATCTTTTCTTCTTTTCTAAAAGAGCTGTATGCTCGGCGTGAAGGACGTTGAGGCCGTCCGTTTCGGTGCTAGCGTTGCCGTTGGACCGAAGTGACAGTTGACACAATCAGATCAGTAAGAATGGGGGAGAATATAAATAGTGAGAACAATGAGAATAGTGAAATAGTTAGAATCGAAACAGTAAGGATGAGAATGGCTGGAGATGGAAGAGAGAGTCGCTCGATTGCTACGTCACGTGTATACCATATCCGGAGGGTCTGAAACCATAGACATGATAATACTAGCCTAGGTAAAAGATATGTGTATAGAGCTGTCACTGCCGACTGATGTGCTATGGAACTACTGTAGGTAGCGACTGCGAAGTGCCTGGCTGATAGTGCTCATCCGACTGGCCATACCACCATGCTGCATGTTGCTCAACAGAGCCTCCTCCAGAGCTGACTGGGTGACACTAGCATCTGGAAAACATCAGTAACAGGTAATTCACCAGGCAGAGAGAACATACCGTCAAGGTCACTGAAACTACTCCCCATGCTGGGGGTGCCATCGCTGGTCTCGCGGCCAGATGCATTGGACCTGCGTGAGTTCTGACGGGGCTCAAGGGCCCGAGGTCCTCCAGTCGGTGCTCTGCGGTCTGCTCGTCGCGTCTCCACGGGAGATAGACCGACAGGGTCAGCAGAGCTCATAGAGCTAGTAGAGGACTCGGATGCCACAACCCGGTGGGGAACTCGTGGATCTGGGCCCCGACGTCGCTGGGTGGCTCGCTCGGCATCTAGTCGAAGGGTAGCACTCAGCTCCTGGCCGGGGCGCGGTGGGTGAGACGGCTGGGACTCTCGGACAAGTGGGAGGAATGCAGGTGTGTCATCCTCGTCATCCTCGTCATCCCGGAGACCAGACGGGTGGACCGAGGCTTTCCCAAATCGTTTGAAACGAGGAGCACGTCTGGTGTCTTCCTCGTCACCTTCTGATTCCTCTGACATGCTCGAGGAAAGAGGCTCTTCCTCGAACGGAGGAGAGCGGGGCAGGGGTGAAACTGGTGCTTGTTCTCGTCTAGCGGCCGATAGACGACGACCGAACGAGTCCCATCGTGAGTCGTTGTCGGTCACCGGTATCTCAGTACGCGGTGGGATTTGCCCGCGAGCCTGACTAGGATGTGTCGATGCCACACTAGTAGGCCGATTTTCCACAGCTGCAGTCTATGTTAGGTCCGATTGCTTTCGCGATATAAGGGGCAGATGCCTGATTGAACCAAATACCGTACCTCTCTGGGTAATATCCTGTTGTTGAGATACCTGTCGGGACGGCGCCCGGGATCCTAAAATGTATCAGTCTCTGATTACCGCGAGAAGGAGAGCTCAGTACCGGGAACTATCGTCTCTCTTGACGGCTGTCCACCCAACGCCGTACTGCCAGATACAGAGCCTGGAGCCGGGGAAGGAGAGTTAGATTGGGTGGTACCGACTTTGCGCATCTGAGCGCGCACTTGGGACAGCTGGCGGTCATAAAGCCATGCTGCCTGCTGGAGTAAGAATTGCAAGGTGACATCAAAATGCTCCGCGCTGCACCAATCACGTCAGCTCTCGGGTTGAAGGGCCTCAGGGCAGAGGAGAGTTACAGGGCTTTCCCTGTGGCGTGTCAGCGATGTCAACCCGAGAACTCTAAGTAGGAAGTGCATGCATACAATCTATATCGCCTTTGGATGGGCGCGACAGGATGTCCCAGAGGTCTAGATCTTTTGTTGCATTCCATTCCACCTACTTTCATTAGCAGGCCTGGGATACAACCACTCTTCATGTACTAACCGGTGGAGGATCTTCAAACTCACCCCTTGGGAATGGGAGTCGGATGAAGACTGTGAAGTTAGTATCGGTGGGCGTGACTTGGGCCATTCTGTAGACTGGTAGACCGATAAACGGCGGTGTAGGAGATTAGGGGTGTAAGAGCTGCGATCCCAGATAGCATCCCACTGGATGTGAGTGATGGGTTTCTGAACTGTGATATTTAGTAGAACTTGTGGTTTATAGTACAGAGTAGTTGGGATGGCGATGGGAGATGGCGGGACTCATGACATGGGTAGAAAGCGGGCATGTCAGTGTCTTTGGATTATGTAGTCATTCTTGGCCACATTACCATAATCACCGCCCGGGTGGTCTAGTGGTATGATTCGCGCTTAGGGTTCACCCAAAGCATAATTGCGCGAGGTCCCCGGTTCAATCCCGGGCTCGGGCCTGATTTCTTTTTTTTTGGCATTTGCAATGCTAAAGTTGCCAATGAAATAAAAGATATAGCTATCTATCTATTCCTTTCTTTTATTGCTCTTTAGCTGGTGTGAGTGTGCTCACCAGGGTCCATAGTGCTAATCTACATAATCCACGGGGATATACATACTTAAGTATTGTGGACTAAAGGGAGTATTGGAGTGGTTCGGTGTATATATACAACTTTAGAACCATCTATACTTGAGTACGAGTACATCGGACCATCTATACTTAAGTATTTGGTCACAGTACACCATTATGTGAGTATCTCTAGAGCTTCAATCTAACGAAGTGTTTATGTAGTTATAGCAGACGGGATTCCTAGCTTGTCACATGCCAAACTTGAGTTATTGTCACTTAAGTAGAGCCCGAGAAGCTATTGCGCTCAAAAGTACACGGCTTCCCGAGGCTCTGATAGACAAGACCACAAAACATCCAGCCCCCAAGCACTAGCGTGGTCCAAAAGAATATGTACTCTTAGATGCCAGGTGCAGTTGAAACATGTTTGGTTCGGTGCTCAAGTGGATCAGCGGACTCACATTAGACCTCGGCTCCAGGGCTGTTCAAGCATACTGGGCAACATACAAACCACCACTACACAACTACCATGTCCTTCAATTATTTGATACAGAAATGCCTTGCTGTGATCCTACGATTTGTAGTTAGCCTTGGCAGTCGAGTCTCGGCGAGCCCAGATGAAGTACGTCTTATCCAGTCAAGGGATGCCAGCCGAACCCTCAAGGCCCATCTGTATCGGGCTGCCCGCCCCAGTCCTGGCCCATCTCCCATTCTCCTGAACTTCCATGGCAGCGGATTCATGCTGGCCCTCCACGGCAGCGATGATGAATTCTGCCGCCTGGTCAGTCGTCAGACCGGATACACGGTGCTCGATGTCCCTTATCGACTGGCTCCCGAACACCCCTTCCCCGCTGCCCTGCATGACGTCGAAGATGCCATTCGGTATGTCCAATCGCGGCCAGACGAGTTCGACCAGAGCCACCTCTCTCTCTCGGGCTTCAGCGCAGGCGCCAACCTCGCTCTGGCCGTCGCCTCCAGCCTCTTCCCCCGCGAGACCTTCCATTCTTTACTGGCCTTCTACCCTGTGACCGATCTGAGTTCTGATCCCACCCTCAAAACTGCCCCGGTAGCTGGTGGCCGAGTGATTCCCGTGTGGGTGGGACGCCTCTTCAATCGGTCCTATCTCCCTGCCGGCCTCGATAAGCGGGACCCACGTATTTCGCCCCTTTTTGCGCCGGCCGACCGGTTCCCACCACGGCTGCTTATGATCACGGCGGATGGGGACTCCCTGGCCCTGGAGGCAGAGGCGTTGGCTGCGAAGATCCAGACCGAGGGGGGACATGTGGTCAGCCAACGCATGGCGGGATGTTCTCACGCATGGGATAAGCGCACTCTGCCGAACACCCCGCAATCCCAGGCTAAAGACCAGGCTTACCAGTTGGCTCTTGATATGTTGTGAAGTCACATTCCGTTCCTGGCCTGATCCAGTCTCTGACAACGGCGTGTTAGGGCGGCACGGACCGTTGAACAGCCCTAGCCCTAGGTACTGATTGGGATTCCCCTTCACTAGTTCACTAGTTAAATACTTTACATTGCAGGGGTCAGAGTATTAGAATTCGAGAATTAAGCTAGAAGCTAGATTATGCAGATCATACAGAATCACAGATCATATAGATCATACTCATATATGGTATACATACTTTACGTGATTATAGATATCCTACTCAAAGTAGTTATAGTAGCCGGTTTCACATCATAGGGTTGCGTCAGGCCGTGGGTCAAAATGGAGAATTAAAATGAAATCGAAAATAATCAAATAATCAAATATTGAAATAATAAAAAAAAGGAGACATTGTGTGTCTACTACTTGTATGTCTTGAATTGTTTAATAGTCAAATTGCCTATGACTTTGGCTTTGACCTCCACCAAAACTCTTCCAACGCATGCCGTCATAGAACCACTTCCTTCTCGTCCCCCTGGACGTGTCCACTCTTTTACACCTGGATGGGCGCCCGCTGGCTAGGCGTCAAATAATGGATTTCCTTGATGAGACCCAGTATCGCCAAGAGGTCCTGGGTCTCTCCGCTGAATCCGAAGAAGCGCAGGCGCAACAACTCGCCGTCGAGGCGCAACAACTAGGTCTGAATATCTCCGAGGTCGAAGCCACCGCGCCGCTGGCCGCTTCCATAGCCGGCAATGTCGACCTCGCATCGCCAGTCCTCTCTTCAGGCTCCTCCGATCGAAACTCCGCGGGTGGCTCGGTGACGCCCTCCCATGAGCCCACCTCACCCTCCGCCCCCACCCTCGATCCCATCGTTGCCGGAATGTCGCAGGTGACGCTGGCCTCGCGACGTCTCCAACCGGGCAGTACGCGATCGCTGGCCTCCATGTCGACTCGCCCCACGTCCTTTTGTTCCAGCGAGGGGAGGGTAGCGCTGGCGGGGTATGGCTATAATAATGATATGTTGGACGCCAAGTCCAAGCGCCATTCCATGCTCAGTGTCGCTTCAGCGGATAAGAAAGAAAAGCGGCGGAGTAGCTTTCGATCCGCTATTGGGCGAATTCATTTTCGCAAAAAGCGCCCCTCATCTACTCTTCTCCCGTCAGATGCGACAGTCTCGAGAACCGGCCAAGAGTCGGATCGGGTCTACTGGGAGTCTCCGCTAGAACGTCAGGTTCCAGAGGATGCTATCGCCGAGGACGGTGGGGGTCCGCTTCCCAGGCTGCAAATTCCACTGTATAGCAAGGAATCTTTGCAAAGGAGCTTGGATGATCCTGAATTGAGCAAAATGAGTGAGCGTCATCGGTTGGAAAGAGATCGCCATGTCGCTTTCCAAGATGCTGCCCTAGGGATTCTTCGACGGAGACACGAGACTGCCGTCACCGAACGGCAGTCTGACAATCAACAACAGCAGGAGCAGAAACGCGAAAAGGTTTGTGATCAGGCCCGAACAACCAGTACATGGGCTAACTTGAATTCTCCCAGAACATCGATGATATAATCCGCTTGGAGGAGCGGCAGCTAGCGGTGGAAATCGAACAACAGCGTGAATTTGACCGCGCCAAGATCAACTCGAGCACTCGCATCAAACATATGGAGGGGTACTTCCGCAATGCAAGCCCACCCCCGTCTCCTGCAGGAGGCTCGACCAGAGCCGAACGGTCATCTGAATCATTCTCCGAATCCGACTCGACGGCACCAGCTCGTGTGTTCACTCGACAGCACATGGAACAACTGGAGCAGCAGTACCACAGCCACGAGTCCATGGACAAGCTCCACGACGCTCGCATCAAGGTTCTGCGCGATCGCCAAGAACTCAAGCTGCAGGAAGCCATGGTCCGCACGGAAAAGGAACTGGACGACATGTGTAATCGACATGTCCAGGAGATTGCTACCTTGAAGACCGAGCATCAGCAGGAAGAGCTATCGCTCACGCAGGGTCTGGAGGAAAAGCAGAAAAAGCTGCGCCAACGCTGGTACCTGGAAGAAGCTGTCATACGTCGGCGTCTTGAACTGCGCTATGGCACTTTGTACGGTCCTTTGCCTCCTCTCTCATTCAGTCCACCAGGCACTCCATCCGTGACAGTGTCCACGCCTCTCAATTCATCGAGTACCCCAGATACCATCCACCCCGACCAAGAGGCTGTACCGTTCTGATCGGCCCACGATCTCACGACATCCGTTATATTGCTTAATTACCCCCCTTTCTCTTGATTATCCTTTTAATGCCTCTCTACGGGAGAGACTGCTTGATACTCGATCAGAGTACCGGCTACCCCCCTGTTATGACTACCCTTGTAATCTCTTTGCTCGCTCTTCACCCAAGAGCCACTTTCCATGCATTGCGGCGGCTTTTTGATCTCATTGTTGCATATAGCATTTGGCGGAGATCACCTACATAGACACACGGAATGACTCAATAGCTTAATTGAAATGACTAGCTGAACATAACACGGGGTATCTCACGCGGAAATCCAAACTCCAAAAAAAAAAGGCACACCTCACGGCGAAAGAGAGACCCTTTCCACTCGCAATCGATCCAAAACAGTCTCAACCCTCCCTCCCCCTCCAGTCATCGCATCTTCCGTCTTCTTATCCCGTCCCTGATCCCCAATCACCACAGCCCGCTCCACTATCCCTCCATTCGACAACGTAAACCGTCCAACCCGTCCATCCGCCCACTCCAGCCTCACATACCGCGTCTCCAGCGCAACCGCAGCCACCGAAACAACCCCAGTATCCCGATCCGGCGACCCATCCACCACAGACCCCTCCAGACCCAGCTTCTCACGCAGAAACTCCACCGCATCAACCCGCATATGCCACCCCACTAATTCCCGTCGTAGCTCGCGCGCAAAGCCCTGCAGATCCTGTCTCCGTGCCTTCTTGGCTAACTCGGGATCCTCAGCCAGACGCGGCAGGTATGCACTTTCGAGTTTCGCGATTGAAATGAATGCTGGGACTGTGTGCCGGTGGACGCGGAGTCGCTTGCGTTCGTTGCGCAGGAGGACATAGTATGGTTTTGTGAATTGGCCATTGCGCGTGCAGACTTCGATGCGGATACCCAGGAGGTTTGAGGGGGTGCTTGGGGTTGGGTCTTTGAATGGGAATGCGGTTACCCCGAAGGCGATGCGGTGGTGGTTGGTTTCATTGTGTTTGCCTGCTGCTTGGGCGAGTGGGGAGAGAGCTGCTAGGTCTTCATTGGATGTTTGGTTTTTGCGGAGTAGCTTTTGGATTGGGTCTGTTGTTAGGAGACTTGAGGTGAGGATGCGCTTGCGCTTTTGGAGATTGCGGACTTGGTTGTCAGTAAGTGGGTTGGGTTTTATTTTGGGGGGACTCACTCTCTGCATGGGTAGATGTGATCTCTGTATCCAGTCCATCTGGATCTGGGGTGTGTTGCATGTTGATGTTGTTGTGTTTAACACCAGTCGTTGTTGTTTGTTGATGTTGAGACACGTGACCAAAGCTTGGTCTCGGGGGTTTTCTGCAGTCGTTAGTTACTTATGTAGTTCTTAATTGATATTGATATTGATATTAACATGTATGATAATTTTATATGTATATTTCTATATTTAATTCTATACAATACTGAATTACAGAGTATATCCAGAGCAATTAGACTCTATCCTATATAAATACTGAATACTACCATTTATACCTGTTTAATGTATAGATGACCTCATAAGCATTGGCTATTTTAGTTACACGTCAGAAATATACAAAGTACTTAAGTACTCAACTGTATATAATTATATATGTACGAGTAAACATAAATATCCAGTCTAATTCCCCATACTTAAGTAGTAAATTAGTTGTGTGCCCCGGATCTGCAAACCCACCTAAAAAAGCCAAGAGGCCAGCTTGCCTCAAACATCCTTTTGTCATCTTCCACTCCCGGTTCCACATATCGAGGTTTCGCTCATTTATAACCTTCATGCCTTCATTCCTTTAAACTATCTGGGTATCTGATCCCTTACACGGTCTCTCGGGAAAACCGCCCTTCCCCCTTATACCTTTCACTCCCTCAACACACATCCTTATTCCAACTGGAAGAGAGGAAACGACTACATTTCACAAGATATTCCAATGACACGCAAAAACGCGAGCCTTTCCAAACGCCGTTCCAAACCCAGCCTCAAACTCGCTACCGGGTCAAACGGACATGCGAATGGCAAGATGAACAACAACATCGAAATGCGCAGGAGGGACACTCCCTCCGCGGAATCCTCGGCAGAGCGAACTGCCCAACTCATGTCACGACCGAGCTTTTCCCTGGATAATGAGCCACCCTTTGCCCCGCAAACCCCGGTCCAGACCACCACAACCTTCCACAATCTGCCACGCAGTGATCGTCGCAACTTCATCCTGCTAGTCCTGCTATACTTCCTTCAAGGAATCCCCATGGGCCTGGCCACCGGCTCAGTGCCCTTCCTTCTCAAACCTTACCTCTCATATGGCCAAATTGGTATCTTCTCACTCGCCTCGTATCCCTACTCGCTCAAGCTCTTCTGGAGCCCCATTGTCGATGCAGTATGGAGTACGCGATTCGGACGCCGCAAGAGTTGGATCACCCCGGTGCAAGTCATTGCGGGTCTGGCCATGATCTATCTCGGGGGCCACATTGAGGAGATGATGGTCCAGGCCGGGGCCAATGGGGGTGCCGGAGTCTGGAAGTTCACCTACTGGTGGTTCATGCTGGTGCTATTCTGCGCCACCCAAGATATTGCGGTGGACGGTTGGGCCATCACATTAATGTCTCCGCCCAACATTTCCTACGCTTCCACGGCTCAAACGGTTGGCTTGACTGCGGGCCATTTCCTCTCGTACACCGTGTTCCTGGCATTCAACTCGAAAGACTTTGCCAACCGATGGTTCCGGGTCATTCCCGGCGAGACCGGCCTGTTGTCCCTCGGGACCTACCTCAGCTTCTGGGGATGGGCGTATCTGATTGTGACCTGTGGGTTGGCCTTTCTGAAAAAGGAAGACAGCACCAAGGATCGCGACAGTATCATGGACGTCTATAAGAGCATGTGGAGTGTTCTGAAGTTGAAGCACATTCAGACCATCATTATCATCCATCTCATTGCCAAGATCGGCTTCCAGGCGAATGACGGAGTCACCAGTCTCAAACTCCTGGACAAGGGCTTTGGTCAGGATAATATGGCTCTCGTCGTGCTCATTGACTTCCCATTCGAGATTATGCTTGGATACTATGCCGGCCAGTGGTCCACCAATTACGGAGCCATGCGCCTATGGGGCTGGGCCTTTGTGGGGCGACTGGTAGCTGCTGTCCTCGCGCAGTTGACGGTGATGATCTACCCCAGTGCCCCTGAAGTGCCAATGTGGTATATGCTCACTGTGATTGGTGAGCATGTCCTGTCCACCTTCATGAACACCGTCATGTTCGTTGCCATCTCGGCCTTCCACGCTCGCATTGCCGACCCGGCCATTGGTGGGACTTACATGACTCTTCTCGCCACGTAAGTTTACTGTTATGCTTCTTTTCGCTTCTTGAACATCACTGACAAACCCTAGTGTCTGCAATCTGGGTGGTACATTCCCCCGTATCTTCGTTCTCAAGCTCGTCGACTTCTTCACCAGTGCTACCTGTTTGCCCCCAACGGTGGCCCCTCCTGCCGAATCACTCAAGGACACTCTTGTGACCTCTGCCTTCTCCTGTGCCCTTGAGCCTGAGAAGAACCGCTGCATCAATGGCGGTGGTACCTGCCAGGTCGACCGCGACGGGTACTATATGACCAACATGATCTGTGTGCTCATCGGCACACTCACATTCATAATGTTTATTAGGCCGGCCGCACAGAAGCTGCAGGCTCTGCCATTGCGCGCGTGGCGGTTGAATCCTGGTCCTGGACGGGAGTGATCTACGTTTTAATGGCCTTGTAATGCTATATACCTTATCCCATAGACTGGATAAATGATTAGACCTGTCATTCTTTACACAAGACACTATTTTCATCTATTGAGTAGGAAAAAAAGTATGTAAAAGTTGAGCCACTATATGGTTAATCATACACCTTCGTGGATACAATTACCATCGATTGCAAATGTTCGATTTACAGCCCTAAGATATCAAGGGTCTGTAGAATAAAAACCAGGGATTGGAGAAATAACCCTGAATCAAGTTGCCACTAAAAAATACATGTGGTCCAAGGCCATCTCTAGTCTCACTGAACTGAAATTCCGTCTCAGACCTATCATTCAAGCCCCCAGAGCTTCACTGTGCGATCATGACCACAGCTAGCAATCCACTTTGCATCGTCACTGATATCTGTACTCAAGACATTGCCAGAGTGACCACTCAGCGTCTTCACCAGAGACCAATCATCCGCACTGAAGACGTTGACATTCTTGTCAAAGCCACTGCTCACAAAGAACGTGCCAGACTTCTTGGGCTGCACAGGCTCTTGAGTCTCTGTATCAATGTCCATGCCATCTCCAGAGGGCAAAAATGAGGCTGATTCAGCACCCTTATACCACCGCAAATCAGAGACCACACTTTTGTGAGCTCCAATTCCTCCCGTGCTCTTGACTTGTCGCAGATCCCAGAATTTGACCCAGCCATCACCAGATCCAGACAGCACTCGGTATCCATCCACACCCCAGTCCAGACCGAAGATCTCCCGGATGTGGCCTTCCAGAATCATCACTGTCCGTCCTGTACGCAGATCCCAGATTCGTCCGTTGCTGTCAAATCCACCACTGGCCACCAATGAACCGTCATTGTTGAAGGACACTGCATAGACTTCCCGTGAATGACCTTCTTGCAGAAGTAACTCGGTCTCCTTTTCAATATCCCACAATCGCCATGTGGTGTCAAAGGACGCAGATGCCGCATAGCGGCCTGAGGGATGGAATTCCGTGCGACACACACGCCCAGAATGTCCAGATAGAGTTGCCAATGGCTTTTCCTGGTCCAAAGCCCAGAGATTGATGGTACCTTCACCACCCCCAGAGATCAGATTGACGGTGGACGGTGAGATATTAGACTCAGGCAATGTAGCCCCAGGAGCCCACGACAACCCACCCACCCGATCAGTGTGGCCCTTGAAGTTCGCCGTCTCCTCCATATTCGGCACGCTCAGCAATTTTATACCACCGCTCCAATTTCCCGCTGCAACAGTCTGTCCACCCGGTGAGAACCGACAGATACTGACCGGTCGATCTCCGGCGATCTGCGACCCGTACAGATCGAATCCTTCTAATTTTTCCCGCACTGCTTTCCGGTGCTTAACATGTGTTCGAAGCGGGATGGTCGATTCCTCCTTCAACCGCGCCACTCGAGCTTTAGCCCGTGGTAAAGAGTAATGCGCAATGTTCTTGCGTGCCGCGAGCAACTCCTCACTCCCAACGGTATAGAATTCTTCTTGTTGCTCTTCGTCTTCTTCCTCTGGTTCCTCCATTTCGATATCTCCCCCCTGCTGCTCCGCCATGTCTGTCAGCAGTTCGCGGAGACGATCTCGTCGCTCGGAAGGCCCTTCGCCAAATAGTGTGATGGGTTCGCCGAGCTCGCGGAGTCTGGCGCGCACTTTCGTATCGTCTGTTGGAACTACCATCGCTGCTGCGCGGCGTTTGCGCCCAAATTGCGAGATGATCGCTGATGCGCGCGACGACGGAATACCGGCTTCCGTGCTGGGCATGTCGTAGTCTTGGTCGACCGCTGGATGCTGTTAGCTTTGGTTTTGGAGCTTGAGTATCGGTGTTGGGGTTGCGACTCACGCAGATCAGCAAAGTTGATACCCATGTCGGTATCTTCCTCGACATAGGCTTGTCGTGATGGGTGCATCATTTTGGATAGGGAAGCGTTCAGCTTCACTGGAATTAGTCTGTAGTCCTGTAGTCGCAAATTGGCAGCTTGGAGAGAAAGATGGGACGGCAGAATGGGAGGGTTATTGGGCGGTGTAGATGTATAAATTGCGGCGTTTCAACAGTTTCAGAGATCAAGTTATTTGAATGTCAGATACATTAGGTCTGGACATGTTGATAGTCTCAATTCTCCCTATTCTCCCTATTGTATATAAAAGTATGTCTATAGCCCATAGATATCTCTACTTATAGCTATGGTGATTTGCATAGTATTGAGTGCTGCCTCGTTACTCAGGCATCTACACGATGACGCCAGGCGGTCGGGCGATAAGACGTTATCGCTATCCAAAGTGGTCTTGGCTCCGGTTTTTTTCTTTCTGCACTTCTCCGTCTCATTCACCCTGACTCTGGCCCTGGGCTACTCATAGTCCCTTAGTCCCTGGACGAAAACAATGCTTGCGCCGAGTCTTTCCTCTAGAGCCTGCAGCTCCTGCAGTCTCCGACTCTCACCCTTATCCCAACACTTCCGTCTCAACATTCCACGAACACAACCCTTTCACACAACCCCCTCCTTTAAATCAAAAGTCTCCTACCGCGTCGCCGTCTCCTCCACAGGCAAAGGCCGCCGCTTCCACCCCCTCAAAAATGCCTACAACTTCGACCCCGCCGGTCCAGCCCTAGGTGTCACAAAAGAAACAAACTCCGTCAGTCGCCGACGCACCAGACCAGACAGCGGCGAAGACGCCTTCTTTGTCAGCAGAATCGGTAACCGCATCTCAGACCACCAAGAAGGAAACGCAGAGGCTGTCGCTTTCGCTGTCGCAGACGGCGTAGGAGGCTGGACTGAATCCCGCGTCGATCCGGCAGACTTCTCTCACGGAATATGCGGATACATGGCGCACACTGCTCAGACCTGGCATGAGCCTGCAGAGGCACTTAAGCCTAAAGCACTACTGCAGGCTGGGTATGATGCCGTCGTGGATGATCCGACTATTCGTGCCGGTGGGAGCACGGCTTCTGTGGGAGTCGCGTTGCCTGATGGGCGCGTGGAATTGGCGAATCTTGGTGATTCGGGGTCTGTGTTATTGCGGAGGGCGGCGGTGCATTCGTATTCGGTCCCGCAGACTCATGGTTTTAATACCCCGTTTCAATTGAGTGTTATTCCACCGCGGATGCGTGCACAGGCAAATGTCTTTGGGGGCGCTTTCCTCGAGGATTTCCCTAAAGATGCTTCTGTCACCAATGTTCAGATGCAGCATGGTGATGTGCTCATGTTGGCTACGGATGGTGTCTTTGATAACTTGAATAATCAGGATATCCTGAAGCTTATCACCAGTCGCATGGTGATGACAGGGGCCTGGACTGCCACAGAGTCTGGTGTTGGTGTATCCGATAACTTGCGGGCTCTGGCTGCCCCCGGTGGGCTGGCACAGGCACTTCCCACGCCGCCTGGCTCGCCAATGAAGGATTCAGAGAATACCCTTGCAGACGAGGTGACGCTACAGTCTCTATTGGCTGCTACCGTTGCTGGAGAAGCGAAGAAGGCCAGCGTGGACTACCGTCGTGACGGACCTTTTGCGAAGGAAGCCCAGCGGTATCATCCTGGTGATTATTACCGTGGGGGCAAAGTCGATGATATTTGCGTGGTGATTGTGGTGGCTGTTGATGATAGCTCTGCGGCTAAGCTCTGAGCGAACATCATGGTTTCCTTCTTGTTTTTGGGGATATAAAAACGGCATGGAGTGCATATAATAGGGCGCGGGGATTTGATTTACATGAGCATCCTGTACTAAGGCTTCATAGACTTATAGATAATTAACCTGCATAGTACACTCGGTTACCTACTATATACATCTAGAGCATTCTACAGAGCACTTTATACTCGTATGAAATCACCAATATCTACAGGTGCTTCCCTCAGATCTTGCAAGCCTAAAAATACTTAAGCACGAACTCTACCATAGTGTGTACACACTCCATGAATAAAAATATCAGAGAACAATCACATTTTCCATTTGAAGTGTGGCTGGTTGGTCCAGCCCCGTATCCCAGTATTGCATAGACAAGTTACAAATAAGAATGAGGGAACAAAAGAACTGGCAAAAACACGTAGATCAGAACAGACACAGAGAAGAGAATAACATCAATCGCAAAAAGGACGGAAGCAAGCATCGCAATCATAGATCTCAGACTTAAGCGGTAGCCTCGGCCTTCTCTTCAGTCGGCTCTTCAGCCGGCTTCTCGGTCTTCTCCTCGGACTCGGTGGGCTTTTCGGTAGTCTCTGTCGATTGCTCAGGCTTCTCACCCTCAGCCTCCTTCTCGGGCTCTGGGGCCTTCTCAGCATCGGCGTCAGGCATTGGTGAGTCGATGTCCTTGGCAGACTTGGACTCGGCCTCCTTTTCTTCCTCGGTCTCTAACTTGGGGGTCTCGGCACCTTCATCCTCCTTGGATCCATTAGCAGGGGGCTTGTCACTCTTGTCAGCAGGTCCGGGGGTATCGGCATCCAGAACGTTCTTCCAGCTGGACAAGATGTTCATGGCACGGGAGCGAATGTTGAACTCTTCGTCACGGGGAATCGTGTTCAGCTTCACAATCATCTTGAGGACCTTGTTAATCTTGGTGGACCGGATGATGGAGACTTCCAGATCGGCGTGCTTCTCGAGCTTATCAAAGTAAGTGGCCATGCTAGCCATTTCATCTTCCGCTGGGGGAGTTTCGCGGGAAATAAAGCCCTTCTGGAGCTTGTGGCGGAGGAATAGAACTGAAAGGTATAAGTGATCCGCATCATCCGGGGGTTCGTGGATTGGGGGGCTGGATCCAGGGGCAAGCATACTCTCTTTCTCCTTCTTCTTCTTGAGGTCCTCCGGGTCAACGGGCTTCTCGGATTCCTTGGGATCGGCGCTCGAATCGTCGTCGCTGGGGGCTGCGGCAGCCTTGCCTCGCTTGGTGGGGGCCTTTCGTTTACTGACTGGGGTCTTCTTTTCCTCTGCGGGTGCCTTGGGGGTGGTCAACTTCAGCTTCGTGTTGCTCTTGGGGGTCTTGGCGGGCTAATAATCAATGAGCGCGGTCAAAGTTAGAACAATGCGATTCCCTTACCTTTTCAGCCTCGGCATCGGTATCGGCGTCCTTCTTGCGCTTCTTAGAGGCGGGCTTGGCCTTTTTGGAATCATCGGCATCTTCCATTTCGACATCGGTGTCGGCCGCCTTGGACTTGCGCTTGCCCTTCTTGGTCTCCTTAGCAACCTTGGCGGCCTCCTTTTCGGCCTCCTTCTCAGCGTCCAAGGCCTCGGCCTCGGCCAATTCCTGCTCAATGGCCTCCTGGTGGTCGCTCAGGACCTTCTTGAAGTAATCGAGATCGTGTCCTTCAGATGCGATCTTGTAGGCAGTAACCAGGCCCTTAGATTTGTTCTTTTCAGAGATGTCTTTGCACTCCGCAGGGTCCAGGGGGGACAGACTCATATTAGGAATCCACGCGCTGGTTGGAGAAAAAAAAAAGATTAGCCAAAAGAAGGATCTTCGTTGGAAAACGGGCGCATCGCGTATCACTTACAATTCATTGGTCTGAAGGAACATCACGGGGAAAGTGCGCTCGTGGGTGCGGCGACCACCATCGGCGTACTCGCCCTTGTAGGAGCCATCCTTTTGCATGGCAGTCACAGGACGACTCTCGAGGAAGGTCTCAGGGAGAATGTCATCGTCGCAGATGATCGCGGGCCAGGGCGCATAGCTGCGCAACCGCGCCAGGTAATATTGGCCCGGCTTCGCGTCCAGGTGGGTAATGCGACTCTGGGACTTCTTCCGGTTCAGCTTGGGGGTCCCGGTAGAGACGCGGCGGTTCTTGGAGGACTTCTTAGCGGAAGCAGGGGTTCCGTTGACCTCTGCCGTGGCAGGCGCAGCCTCCGCATCGGCGGGGGTAGCTTCGGCAGCATCGCCATCGGCCGGGACCTCAGCCTTTGCCTCTGGCTTGTCAGAAGCGGGCTCTTCGGCCTGAGCTTCAGGCTTGTCGGTCGATTCAGTTTCTGCTGGTATGTTAGTGGTCGCACAGAGATGACCCCGAGCACGATGATCACAATCACTTACCCGGCTTCTCGGCAGTCACCTCTTCAGTAGGCTGCTCGGCGCGCTCAGTCTCGACAGGCTTATCTTCAGCCATGATGAAAGGATAAACTCAGATGATCTGGGAAGCGATTGGGGGAGGAGTGGGTGGGTGAGGAGCTTCCAGGGGAGATGTGGAGAAGAAAGAGTTGAGTCGCGAAAGGCGCGGGAACTTCAGAACGCGTCTGAGAACGGACAATGACGCCACAACTTCTTTTTTCTTCTCCGAAGTTTTCTCTCTTCTATTGATCTTTTTTTATATTGTTGAATGGTTACTGTCGAATTCATTTTGGAAGACATATTTTAAATAGGAATATGAATAGTATATTAATAGCATATTAAAAGGTTCACGTTCTTAGGGTCTTTGTTAACAATAGAAGTCTATTCATCCCATCTTCCAATAGGGTATCAATTGTGAGAAAGCCTTTCATCTCCCATTATGGGCTGCCATAACCAGACCCATTCTCACTGGGAGCAATCTCATCCAGCGCAGGATCGGGCTTGTGAATGCGCACCAGGCACAGGAAGTAATCCTCAATCGGAAGCAGATTCAGCAAAACCCCATTGAAGTACCATCCCAAGGCACAGACCAAAGACCCAGCAACCGCATCGAGGATAAAGTGATTCGCAGTGGCGATGATGGCGACCAGGATGGTGAAAGGGTAGAAGAAACCGAGGACCAGGCACAGAAGGCGGCGCCAGGAGGGAAGAGTCAGTCGCAACCGAGTCAACCGAGAGCGTAGAACAGTGCGCCTTTGAGCAGGGAGAGGAACGGTCATGATGGTAAGCCCAATCAAGAGAGAGTAGCCGAAATGCAAGGAAGGCATTGCCGCTGGGTCAAAGTTAGCAAGGGCTCTCGCAGTCTTCCCGAGATGAAGTTACCATATTGATTGCAGAAGCGATTCTGGGTCCAGACGCTTCCCGCTCCATTCTCGCCATGTACTGTATCGACGAATCCATAGCTCCGGCCCACCTCTGCTTCGCGTCCTTCGGGGGCGGGATCACTCAATAACCGAGGAGGCATACAGGGCCAGAGAGTGAAAACGACAAATGCCAGAAGATTACACACAGCCAGTGTTCGTCGACGGGCCTGGTAGAGTTGGGGCCCGGCAGGCGACCCGCTCACCATGCCCTTGGGTTTCCCAACTTGGGCCTCGTCGACCCGATTGCGCACCGTAGTGTAGTAATACAGACAGACGAGGAATGCGATTGTGCCGGGGATATGGATGAATGAATAGATCCAGTTGATCCAGACCATTTGGGTGGGATGACGAAGGAAGCTCTTTTGAATCAATATTTCCCAGAAGACCCCCAGTTTCATCTCGACGTTGATCACCTGCAATGCATGTCTCCTCGCAATATCGACTGTATCATCCTTGAGAGTTACGGCGGTGAAGGCACGGCCTAGTTGGTATGTCTACATATGAACGAGTGTGAGCCTCTTGCTCTGGATTGCCCATTGCGATCGGGGGATGGATGTTAAATTTGGAGCAAAAACCTACCCAGTAAACCAACGCCCAGTACCAACATTCCACCAGAAAAGGGAACTTTCGCAGTAGGCGGCTTAGGATACGGTCTTGGAACACGGCTGTGTTCGGCGATGTGACCTCCCATTTGAAGCCCGCGAGGCCTATCTGTCGCTTGTGCCACTTCTCATCCGGGAGTGGTGAGGGGGTGCGTGAGCCCAGCAGGCCATCCTTTGTCGAGGTCGAATATCCCGACTCTAACGAATCGGAGGAAGCCGCTCGGGGAAGATTTGATTTCCGGCGAGGGTTCGGACTGACCACGCGATTAATCCATGTTCCTCCAAAGAGAAGAACAATGACGACGAGCGGTTCCAGGATAGCTCCAACTCCCATGGCAAAGGATATACAGATGTCAAGGGGAAAAGGAAGGAAACCAAAAAAAAAAAAAAAAAAAGTTCCCAGGAACCAGGGCCCATCAGCTGGTCCTATTTTGAAGCAGGTGCCCAACCAGAGGGCAGGTGCCAGGACCAGCGAGACCTGTGTCTCTCTGCATTGGCAAGTCGGACCCCGTTGGCTCCGAATAGTGTAATGGAGACTTGATTTCGACCCACAAGGCTGGCCTAATCCCTTGGCATTTGCTGTCGTGTGCTCGCTTTCGCTTCGTATGGAGCGGGACTTTCCACGTATGTAGGCGTCCCGAAGCAGAAAAAGCACTAGTAGTGATCATTGTTCAGGCAACAGGCTTTCCTAGAGTCAAAGACTGCATGATTCAGTGCATAATTCAGTGCGTGATTGGTACTGATTGCAGTGTGATGGACCAAACATGCTAGAGTCCTTGGCATCGGAGTTCCGTATTTATGTGAATAAAATGATTTGTGCAAACCAGAACCTGATCAGCTCCACTCGGAATGAAACAATTGAGAGCTCCGGAGGTCGGCGGAAAAAGAGTACTGTCGAGGACCTTTGATCCTTCAATGTTGGCTTCAGCCCTGTGAGTAAGCGGCGGTCGGATCTACGGTAGCGCCGCGATCCGAGCATCCGAGATCTCCGTCCGTACTCGTATTCGTATACTCCTGGTACTCTCAGTACTAGTAGTACTATGTACTATAGTATGTAGTACTTCGTACCATTGATGTAATATTGACCACTTGTGAGGTGCATTTGACGTCAAATGCTTTCTTCCTCGAAGGATCAATTCACACCATGTCGTCCTCACTTCAATGGTCACTATGGCACTATTTACTAGCACGCGGCATGCTGGTTCACCCCGGTTCAAGTTGATTGCACCCCAGTGGAGGGGGCTTTCAATCACACCGAACAGATACAAAGGAGTCACCTTGTTGAATGATCAGGGTGGGTTTGGGTTCGCGAGATCGAACCCCAGGCCTGCGAAGCCGAGGTCCACCGGGGTCACTGAGATCAGAGGCCCGTATTACTCGGTGGGTAACACGCTCGCACGCCTGGACGGCCTAACTTTAACCAGGTGATGGGGAAAAGATATCTGGCCGATGTCCTGGAAACGTAACCCTCCGCAAGAACGGCCCAAGCCGACAGAGATCTCTAACAGCTGATAGGATGGGCGATCATGTGGACGGACTGAAGTTTGCCGGAGGTGAGTACGGCATTTCAAACCCACTGAACGTACTCGTACTGAGGCCGAGGGGCATCAGGGTCGTTCTCTCTATTCCATGAGAAGCAACTGCGCGAGCTGATCGATTTGGCTCACAGCTATGGGGTGTATGTCTCCACGGTAGGGCCCTCTCAGCTCTAGATGTAAATGGGAACTAATCGCGTGTCACAAGGGCGGCTGGGCCGAGCATCTCCTCACACATCCCGACCCCAATGCGGTCTTTGACCGCTACTTGACCAAATGCAAGGATCTTGGGCATGTTGCATTCCCCGACATCTGATAAGTATCACAAATCTGACAGGTCCGTTAGTCTCGATGTGATAGAGCTCTCGTCCGGTTTCCTATCTATTCCGGAAGATGACTGGCTCCGACTCGTGGACAAAGTTCACAGCTATAAGTTGGAGGCAAAGCCAGAACTGGGAATCCAATTCGGAGCTGGGGGAGATACCCCCGCCGGTGGACTCGAAGCTCTGGGGACTTCAGATCCGGGCAAGTTGGTGAATTTGGGGCATCGTTTCCTGAACGCTGGGGTGAAACGACTCATGATTGAATCCGAGGGCATCACGGAGAATGTCACATCCTGGCGCACCGATGTGGTCTCGAAGATCATGAAAGAGCTGCCTCCAGAGCAAGTGATGTTTGAAGCTGCGGACCCCAAAGTCTTCAATTGGTATGTCCGGGAGTTTGGGATGGATGTCAACCTATTTGTAGACCACAGCCAGATAGTGCAGTTGGAGTGTCTGCGAGCCGGGATTTGGGGCACCGCGGACACCTGGGGGAAGATTGTGTCGCTGCGTTGAACATTGAACAGTCCATGGAGATGCTGAGTACTCGTATATGAAGCTCATCAAATGGTCAATGGTCAATGTTCTCACAGGCTGACCTCAGCTAAGATTAGATAATTCCCCCCCACATGCCAAGATTCACCCCGATTTGGCCTTTTTCTCCAATCCTTCTATACTCCTATTCCTATACTCCTATACTCTCACTGAGTACTGGCTCAATGTCTTAATGAATCCAGCTCCATGACCCAGAACCACAACCCTCCACGCGCGAGAGACGATGCCTCGTGCTAGCACAACCCCGGGTGCCCGGCTCCGGTGCCGACGAGCCTGCGACAGCTGTAAACGGCGCAAACAGAAGTGTAACGGCGAGCAACCATGCACAATTTGTGTGCAGAGAAGCAAAGAGGCTGAATGTCATTTCTCCGATCGCCCCGCGCGGCTACTGAAGCCCGATGTCAAGGACTCGACAATGCTGCTTAGTGAGCGCATTGTACCGTCCCCACAACGAGAAACGGCAATGGACCGCCTGTTGAATTCTCTGGAAGACCAAGGCATGAATATGGAACACCAGGCCAAAGACGAAAAGGAAGGAACTGCGCCGGTGCCCAAGGTCGCGCGGCTTCTGCGCGATGGGCAGGGGAAGTTTATGTACATTGGGGACTCGGCCAGTCTGTCATTCTTACAGAGTGTGCGCCGAGTGGTCACGTCGTCAATTGGCCGGTGCGAATTCACAGAGGATAATTCGAGACATTCCATGCTCGAGGCTTTTCAGAATAACCCGGGCAATCAGCCCGGTCCCCTGGTGGAACCCCCACCCAACGAGGAAGCACAACGGCTGGCCCGTCAGTTTGTACTTGCTACCAGCCCATTGTTGGATCTGTTCGACTTGCAAGAGTTCCATCCCCGGTTGGCGAATTGGGTCGCAAATCCTTCTGGCGATGAAGACACTGTGAGCTCCATCTTCTATCTGGTATTGGCGATTGGCGCGCAGGTTTCCAGTATTGATCAGACGGTGGCCGAGCAATACTTTGGCAGTGGTCGCCAATTGGCATTCTCGGCGTTCCAGGAAACCCCGAGCATCCACACGATACAGTCTTACATCTTGGTCTCCATGTACATGCTTGGCGCGTGTAGGCGCAATGGCGCATTCATGAACCTCGGGATTGCCCTTCGCGCAGCTTACGCAGTGGGCATCCATCGTAAAGATGCCAACGCTTTGTTCTGTGGACGGGAGCGTCGGGCTAGAGAGCGAGTTTGGAAAAGTCTTCGGATGATGGATCTATTCCTTAGTGCATCTCTGGGACGCCCCCCTGCAACATCAGATTACGATTATGACATTCGTGACGATGCACTTCTATCAGGGCAATCGCAACAACATTTAACGCCAGACCAGCAGCTTTCTGCTGCAGTGACTTCACTGTGTCGAATCTTCGAACGCATTCTAACCGATGTCTACATGAAACAAGTCATATCGATCAACGTCGCAGAAACAATATCAAATCAACATCGTGCCTGGGTCCGCACACTGCCCACAGTCCTCAAGAGGCAAACCGAACGACTGGAGAACAAGTCCATGGAAGGTAGTCTTGCCGCAGCCCACGTCTTCGGCTCCTACTACTGGTCCATCATTCTCCTAACGCGACCATTCCTCATCTACCGTGTGGCCCAGTACGTCAAAGGCAAGCTGGACCCATCCTTACCTGAAAACCGAAATGGTAGCTCGCGCATTGCCCTGTTCGCCGATGCATGCGTCTATTCCGCCCTCCGTGGCTTAGACGTAGTAGACGACCTCAGCCATTATACCACCCTCCCCAAACGCCTCCCATTCCTGATCAACTCCGTCTTCAACTCTGTCATCGTCCTCGGAGCCGCTTTCTTCGCCGATTACGACAACCTTCTCCCCCTGGAAGAAGGAATCAACAAAGCAGAACGATTCCTGGCCCTCTTCGTCCCGCACGATCCTCACGCTTGCCGTTTCGCCCAGATCATCAAATATCTCCGCGCAGCTGTGGCAGAGTACGTCTCCCGACGTAATCGCCAATGGATGAATCGACGTAGCAAGCAGGTCGATCAACTCTTCGGTCAAGTAAGCGTGGATGGCCCAACCTCCCTCACCCCAGGAGGCCCTTCTTCAGTTACCCCTGTCGTGCCATCTCCCAGCTCTCCTCGCAAAACCCCTGGTGGCACGCCCTCTTTCATCCCACCTCAATCCCAGCCACAACCACAGACATCTCAAAACCTCTCGACCGACAACGATATCTGGGAAGCTATCTGTAACGGTCCAGACTGTACAGGGGCTATGTCCTATGATGCAGCTATCTCCGCCCTCACAACATCTGGTATCCCGGTGGGCTGTTCGCCTGGGGGAACTATTCCACCTGGTCCACCCCCTGCCTCTGGTCCATCTCCCCTTTCCGATGTCATGTTCCCAGATAATGGACTTTTATACATGGCAGAGGATCTGCCGGTGTTTGGGCTCTGGGGAGACGAGAGCAATAACATATTATGATTTGGCACACTTCAGCGGGTGTTTGTGGGTTCTTGCTTGTTTGTGATATCCTTTGATGCGATTGTACTTTTTTCTTTTTTTTCAGTGTTCCGACGCAACGTATACCCCCAGTGACAGGTTATTCATTCAAACCATCTATGATCTACATGCATTTTACGAATAAACAGCTTAGACTTGATACTTCATGTATTCGATTTGACGTCTACACCATACGTACATCATCAGAAACATTGCAGATGCCGATAAATCCATTATGTATGAGTGGGTAAAGGGGGAAACATCAAGAGCTATCCAAACAAAGGAAAGAAAGCGAGAGGGAAATCCACACGGCCTCCCAAATAACGGGCCTAGAGAGATAGAGAGGGAGAAAAAGAAATGCATGGAGGCATCAGAGGCAGGTCAATATGGATGAAAAGGGGATTCGTGGCACGCTCTCGGGACAAAAATATGTACGGGATCGCATTGGTCAATACGGCAAACTTCCAGTGATCATCCTGATGAGTGGAATTATATACGCATGCGCCAAATGTAGATCAAAATCCAAAGGGATTGTGGGGGGCTGGGATTGAGTTAGAATATGGTATCTTGGGTGAGGGATCATGGAGATTACTTACTAGCCTGCGACAGATTGGCCCGGAGTCCCGTTGCCTGCGGCTCAAGCTTCTTGGGACCATCTGGTTTGACTCCAAATCGGATGGTGGGCGGTGGCCCTGTTTTCTGGGGCGAGAGAGGCATGGCAGTGGGCTGCTGGGGAATTGGCGGTACTGGAGGTGGTGATGAGTAGGACTGGTTGCCAAACCCATTGGCAGTGGGTTGAGGTTGCAATGCAGGTGGAAGAACAGAGTTGATTCCGGTCTGCATGGGTTGCTGAGGCTGTGCGTATCCATATCCAGTTGGTTGTGGCCCAAGACCCTGGAACCCAGTTTGCTGAGGGGCCATCTGGGCATATTGGGGCTGCTGTTGCTGCTGAATGCCAAATTGTGACTGGGGAGTGAACCCGGTAGGCTGGGGCATCAAGCCGTTCTGGAATTGATTTTGTCCCATGTACCCAGTTGCTTGAGGCTGCTGGAAACGTTGCTGGTTCATGTCCATCTGGTTCAACCCGGGTGCCGCCTGGGGGACCCCGGTCAGCTGGGCTTGCAGTGGCGGAGGACCAAAGGCGTTCTGCTGCTGCGAGAAGTTCTGCGGCGCAGATAGAGGACGTTGCGGCGGAGGAGGCAGCAGCGAGTTTTGAGCCATTGCCTGAGGAGCCTGAGGACGCTGTCTGGCTTGCTGGCCAAGCTGCGCCACCTGGGCAAACAAGCTGGCGTTGGCACCTGTTGGCTGTGGCTGCTGTGGTGGTGGTGTTTGCACAGCGGTGACTTGTGGCTGAAGAGCGGGGGCTGGAGGAGCTGGCTGAGCAGCCACAGTGGGCTGAGCGGGGGTCGGCTGTAAAGGAGCTTGAAGCAACGACAAGTCGGCGATGGCACCAGTGGGCTGTGGGACCTGGGCGGCCGCAGGGGGCGGAGTTGGGGTCGCTGCTGCAGTGGGACGAGCAGGTTGCTTTGGCTGCTTGACCTCCCAAGCATCATCCTCAAACCCGCGGGGAGCTGGTTTTTCGGGTTCTGCAGCGGGGGGTGGTGGACTTGCTGGAGTCTCAGGCGAGCTGGGTTCATCCGACTGCCCGAAAGCTTTGGCATTGACCTCCCCAACTGTGACGTTTGGTGCTGGTCTGCCCCGGCCGGTGTTGTTTCGCAGCATACCACCTGGGCCTGAGAAGAGACCACCCTGTCCATCACCATTGCCGATGACTTCCTCGCCGCCGAAACTGACGTTTCGAGGCTTAGATTTATCAGGTGCCCGGCCGTACTTGGCGTCCAAAACCTTCATGACACGGAGAGTATCACCTTGGTTCAGACCCAAGGTCTGAAGGATCTCGGGGGTGATTTCAGGCAAGACGGATTCATCTATTGCGTCCTTGTTGAAAGACTGTGCGTATCTCTCACACCGATGTGGCCCAACACCGGCCTTCAAGAAGAAATCAAACCAGTCGTAGTCGTTGTTGACCGAAGCTCCAGCCTTGGAGGTCTTCTCGGCCACCACTCGAGGTCGGATGCTTGAAAGAGGCTTGTCTTCATCCAGTGAAACACCAGCAATCTTTTCAACATACTCCAAGTCTTCCACGGACATCTTCGCAACGGGAACAGCGATTTTGATTCCGTTCACTTTGTGAAGTTGGATTTTCCCATCTGAAAGACCGATGAACTGCGCCTCAACGGTGAAGTCCTTGGACCGATCGGTCCACTTTCGTACTTTGCTGGGATCGGGCTTCGACTTCATCTTGCTATCGCGCTTGCTTTGGCGTTCTGACGACTCCATTGAGTCCGTCCGTGATTTGCCTAGAGCAAGTTTGCTCAACCGCATCTCCTCTCGACGGTTCTTTTCAACGGTAGACAGGCCAGGCTCCGCAGGCAAGATCGGCGGCTTAGGGATCAACCCAATCACTTCAACGTAGCTGCTTGGGACAACGCCCTCTTCTTTGTTCTTGAGGCGCCGTACCATCCACCATTCCTCAGACTTGGTATCGTCAAGAACAATGACTTCATCCCCGACAGCCACTGTCACTTCATCATCGCCTTGCGCTACAAAGTCATACAAAATTTGACCCTTCTTTGGGCCACTGCCCTCTCCTGCTTCTAGGACTTCACGCAATCCTCCTGCGCGGTAGGCGCCTGCAATTTCGCCAAGGGCCGAGGCGATTTCGTGAGCGGTATCCTTGGCACCCGCGTGGAAGTCAATGCTCTTGCTTGGCCTGACAAGATCAACGAAAACATGCTTCCCTTCAATAGAGTAATTGCTGAGCTTCTCTGCGCTCCATTCTTGCTGCCTATCATCACCTTCGGGGGAAAGGAAGATAATTCCTGTGACCATATTAATACCCAAAGTTGTGGGCATCTTCTTCCTCTTGCCCATGACCTCTACCATTTCGTTGATATTGTAGATATGGTAGCCTGAGGGGGATCGCGGGGTCATCTCACCCGCCCGGTTGTAAGGAGGGGATGCTTTTACATGTGTGGCATCGCGATTGAGGGTGGCAGGAACTGCCTGTTGAGGTCGCGGTGGCGGAGAAGGATCGGGCGAAGACTGCTGTGGTATAGGTGGAGACGCGTGTGTAGAAGGAGGCCGGCGCGGCATTGGGGGTGGTGATTCCTCGCGGTCCTGGTCGTACGACGGGCGAACCGGAAGACTAGGTGGTGGGGGCTCGTCTCGAGTGGGCTCGACATATGTATCCGCAGGGGCATGCTGTTTATGAATGATGCTGGCAATGGCGGCCGCGGCGGGGTTATGGGACATGTCGACCGGCGAACCAGCTGGCGATGCTTCGGGCTCGTCGGGTACCTGCGGCCGTTGTGGAAGTGACGGCGCGGCTGCCTCAGCTGCTGGCACGGGTGGGGGAGGAATTGTGGCAGCAGACCCCTCATCGAGGATTTCGATATAGTTTGAGGGTGCAAATCCATATTCTGAGTTGGTTCCAACCAATGTCCAGTCAGGGTCCGAAGTATCGTACACCATCAACTCGGCGTCTTCGGAGAATGACACCTCCTCGTCGGTCTGTCGCGTGTAATCGAAGAGAGCCGTGGCTCTGTGCGCGGGTTGCGCCTGTATCATCTAGATCAGCCAATGCCTACATTGCGCCGAGACCGGCGCATTGTTGGGTATGAAAGGTCGACGGAGACTCACTTCTTCGACATAGTTGTTCGGAACTAAGCCTTCAGGTTCATCTTCATCTTCGTGTTCACTCTTTCGTTTCGCCCTCCACCAGTCATCGTCCGCATTCTTTTCCAGGATATAAAGGAGGTCGCCCTCGTGAATCTCGAGTTCACCTTCTCCCTGAGGCTTGTAGTCGTACACAGCCGAGTAGACACCGAGAAATCCCATATTGGCGATCAATTAGGACCCAGGTTCCCACTATTTCCGCTGCAAATGGCAGCGTTTCGATGTTCCAACTCCAATGGGGGTGTCGGAGGGGACGGATAATTGGGGTGGTTGCTGGTCAGCCTTGGCGCTAGTGCGCAGCAATTAGTAACGTGCGGACCAAAGGTCTAAAGGTCAAAAAGAAAAAAGACAATAAATTAAAAAAAAGAAGGGCAGAGGGGCAACAGACGAGGATAGGGAGAGGTTGGGGGACAGGGAGAGAGAGAGTGGGAAGGTGGAGCAGACGATCGGAGAGTCACGTTGGCTACGTATGTCCATATACAGCCACACCTCCATATTACGAATCCCCCTATATAACGGTAGTTCCACTACACTACAGAGCGGCCTCACCTCACGGAGCATGGCCAATATTACGTCCAATCTTCACTCAATTGCATAACTTTAAAAATGACTAACCAAACAGCTCCTTGTACTGCACTCATTGCTCAGATGCTCCAATGACCTGGCTACATGTAGCCCTCAGTGTCCTTGATGGATGGAGACAGCAGAGTTGACTTTGCTGCAATCGTGCCTGCAAGCGAAGCCAGCGGCTTATTGCTCAAGATGTCAAAGACGGAGACGTCACTCTTGACCTCCTTGAAGACCCAGGCACGGATTTCAACGGCAACAAGACTGTCGACGCCATACGAGTTTGCTGGTCGGCTGGGATCCAAGTCCTCCAGCTCCATCATCATAGCCTTGGCCAATTTGCGGACGAGGGCCACACAAACAGCGTCAGCCGCCTCGGCCAGGGTGGCAGACTCTCGGAGAGCAGCCTCAAGGTCGGCAGCAGAGTCACCGCCGCTGCCTCCAGACTGTGCTTGCAATTCTTGGGTGTCGAAGACGCGGAGTGGGCCGAAGCGCGCCTCGCTGAACCAGAATGGATCATCGTGTCCGTTCTTCTCCAAGTGGCCTCCGGTAGCGAGTCCGACGACCGCCTGAGCTGGCATTTGCCCTGAGATGGCGGCTTGAATCACCGCCAGGACTTCTTGCTCGTGGATTCCAATCATTGCACCGGTCTTGAGATACGACAGAATCTCACCACGCTCGGCCGTGATACCGACTCCCAACACAACTCCAAGGTTGATACTCGTCGCAGGATATCCCTGAGCCCGGCGGTAGTGGGCCATTGCATCCTGGTATGTGTTTCCTGTGGGCAGTAGTCAGTTCTCTGTACTCTTTTGCAGAAGTGCAGATCCGGCTTGGCCGTCACCTTGAGGGAGGACCTACCAGCGTTGTAGTTACCCTGTCCCCGGGAGCCAACAATGCCTCCCGTGGATGAAAGGCAGACAAAAAAGTCCATGTCCTTGGGGCACATTTCATGCAGGTTCTTCGTGGTGAGAACCTTTGGCCGAATGGCAGCGTTGAAGTCTTCGGCCGTCATATTCTCAAACAGCACGTCCTGTATAGATTGGTCAAAACAAACTCGCAATAAAGACTCTGATGGGTGCCTGGACGCACCTGAAGCTGCATTGCGCAGTTAATGACTCCCTTGATAGGAGGGAACTGGTTGGCCTCCACGGCAGCAAGAACATCTTGAAGCTGGTTCGCATCGCTTATGTCACAAGAAAATGCGAGTGTGTTGACACCCCGACCTTGAAGCTCATCGAGAAGCTTTCTGGCCTCCGGTTTCGTCGCTCCCGATCGGCTTGTGAAGACCAGATGTTTTGCGCCTTGATCTGACATCCAGGAGGCGATAGAGCGGCCAAGGCCTCCCAGGCCACCGGGGATCAGGTAAGTCGCAGGTCGTGAGAATGAGTAGGCCTTCACCTTTGGTGGCACAATCTGAGATTATAGTTAGCATCATATTGTCTGTTCAAGCGGGAGGCCTGGGGGCAAATTCACGCACCGGCACGAGGTTGTCAGGGCCAGCCGTGAGCACCATCTTGCCGATATGCTTTCCAGATTGCATGATTCGGAACGCCTCCTCAATACGACTATAATCCATGACTCGCAGAGCTTGCACTGGACGAATTATTCCCCGATCCAGAGCCTCCATCACGTCGCTCATAATGCGACTAAAGAGAGGAATGTTGTCTCGGTAGACCGAGAGCATGTTCACGCCAGCAAAGGTAATATTGTGCATGAACTGGCTCATATCTATACCAGTGTTTCCAACTATGAAAGAGGTTAGCCACGTCAATTCAATGGGACCAAAGAAGTTAAAATCGCGATTCTTACCAATGTCTCTCTTGCCCAGCTCGATAAAGCGTCCGAAGGGCGCAACGCAAAGCCACGTCTGACGTAGCGCTTCTCCTGCCAATGAGTTGAGAACAACATCGACTCCCTTCTGCTTGGTCATGCGCTTAATGCCCGCAGCAAAGCTGTAGTCTCTGCTGTTGAAAATGTGATCTTCCGCGATACCGTACGTCTCCATCAGGAATTGCTTCTTGGGATCGGAAGAAACAGTGACAAAGATCTCCGCGCCAATGTGCTGCGCCAGAATAATTGCAGCCTGACCGAGGCCACCCGCCGCGGCATGTATAAGCACCCTCTCGTCTCTGCTCAGGCGAGCGACGTAAAACAGCGAATAGTAAACAGTGGAGTAGACACAGGGGATGGACGCAGCCTCTTCGAAAGATAGTGAATCTGGCACGAGTTCAAACATCTCTTCGGGGTTGCGCAAGAATGTCCTGAAGCAGCCCAGGCGGAAGGTAATGACACGGTCACCGGGCTTGTACTTGCTGACAGCGTCGCCAACGCGAGTGACGATGCCGCTACACTCCACGCCGAGGTCCGTATCAGCAATCTGGCCCATTGAGATCATGACGTCGTGGAAGTTCATGCCGACAGCCTTGACTTCCATTTCGACCTCGCCACTGGCAAGAGGCTTGACGTATTCTTCGTCGTCGACAAACTGGAACGTGTCCAGCATGCCTGGCGTCTTTATGGCGAGAGCAAGAGCTCGGTCAGGCTGGTGGAATGGAAGCATTTCTGGGGTTTGGTCGGTTTTGCTGGCTTCGAACATGGCATTCAAAATCTTGTTTGGAGTCAATCGAAGTGAGTGGATGCGCTCTTCGCGAACGGCGTATTCCCAGTCCGGGCAGTCCACAGACTCGTCTTGTGCTGTCAAGTGCAGTACCTGCTCGATGGATGCCACAGTCTCATCAGCCTCATTTGAGGCGAGAGGGTCCAGATCAAGCGTCGTGAGTTGGAAACTAGGAATTTCGGCTCGGATTGTCCGACCAAGGCCTGCAATTAGATTGGCCCCGGGTTGCGGGCTGTCCATTGCACCTCCTCGTGTGATCCACAGTGTCTTCTTGGAGGCGAGCAAAATATGTTTCATTTCTGCAAAGCCCGTCGCATCCACTGTCTGTAGGAACGGAGTATCTGCCTCGAGGAGTACGACCGATGCCGTATTGCCAAGGTCAACAGCGGCGGCCTGAGAGAGTGTCATGACTCTGATGCTTGGTACCTGCGATGACAGCGCGGCGGCCAGCTTCGAAGCGACAGCGTTCACGGAAGCGTTCACGTTGGACGGAACCACTATTGCGACGTCATCGCGGATTTTTGGAGCTGGTGGACGATTTGCAGTCGACATCATGAGCGAAATCGAGTAATCATCGGTGCTGTGGTCGCGGAAACACAGATCGAGTCCACTGAAGCCGTGCTCACGAAGTTGCGTATCCCACTGCGCTTCAGTAAGTCTGGGACCCCATTTGCGGCCGTCATTCTCGCCTATAACCTGTTTAGCAGACTCAAACATACCGGTAGAGTCGCGGTTCACATACCATTCCACCATCCAGAGAGAGTGCCGAAAATCATGGGCACTCTGGCCAGCGTTGTGGTAAGCTCGCCGAGTAACAAGACACCGCCACTATACGGCCTAGTCAATAATGGCAGAAGCATGAACAGAGAGAGATGTCACTTACGGTCGCAACATGTCCCTGCAATGACCCAAAGTGGTGCTGATAGACCTTGTGGCGTGCAAAACGTTGTTCGCAATGACCAGGTCATAACTGCCGGTCAAGACGCCCTGCTGTGCAGGATCCTTCTCAATATCCACGATCTTGTACTCCAGGAATGGTGCCCACTCTTCGAAGTCAGTAGCAGCCGCTCCAAAGAATCCGCCACTAATGTCAGTAAATGTGTATCGTTCCAGCCTGGAACCTGCCTCTTCTCGCTGACCGAGTGCTGACAACACCACGCTGGTGGTGCCTCCTGTGCCTGCACCCACCTCCAAGATCCTCAAGGGCCTCTTATGCGACTTCAGCTGCACGTATTTAGCAATGATAGGGTTCCACTTGTTAGTACCTAGCGCATTGCGATAGTACTGTGTCAGCAAGTTGTCCTGCATTAGCACTTGAAGAGGCTCCAGCTCTCCACGCAAGATCTCGGGAAAGTGAGCGCCCTGGTGGCAGAGAAGTCGGCCATCGATAGATGCTTTGGACACTCGGCTCAGAACGGCATCATCGAATTCTTCAGTTGTGTTCAGCCAGTCAATACCGTCTGCTTCAGTTCTCTGACAGTCCAGCATTCCCTGTTCGCCGAGTTGATACCTGTGCATCATGTACTCGTAAAAGAGGCGGTGATGAGGAGAGAAACTGTTAGCAGCCGATGCAGCAAATTCGCGGATTGTTCGCTTGCAAAGTATAAACGAAGCAAGTTCCAAGTCGCGAATAATCTCGACGTCTACGTCGGGGATGATCGCTCCGTAAGGGGCCAGGAGCTTTTGGGCCTCTTCAACAGGAAGATGCTCAATGTCAAGGTTCCATTCAGGATGGGAGCCCAACTTTCGCAGCGACAAGTTTCCAGAAGTCGAGTCCAAAGAGAGGCCGTCGGTCATATTCTCCAGAGATATGATCCTGCAGCCCTCAATAATTACCAGTGGCTTCTCCCATGTTTTGTCAGAAGCAACAATGGTTCCGATAGACTCGTTGAAGCCGTAAGGCTTGGACTTCGAATACCCATAGTACCTGGTGCCGGGCTTGGAGCTAATTTTGTTGGAAATGTAGAGGCCCTCGATAAATCTCGGGATCTTGGCCTTCTCTAGCTGAACTCCAGCGGGTGTGCAAGCCGGGATCACCATCTGGATGAAGTTATCCAACGTCGCAGGGTGAATGACGTGCGGATACTCAAAGCCCTCTGGCATGAACTTCTTTGTTTCAGGCACCTCAAGTTCGCAGTGCGCCTCGTAATCGCCCGAGCTGATGTGAACTAGCCCTGTGAAGGTCGGTCCCCATTGAAGCCCAAGCTCGGCTAACTGTTGAACAGGTCAGTTAAGAGGCATCTAAAACATACTGATGCACTTACAGAAGCGTAGACTTGACGTGGGTCATCAGGCTTGAAACCTGCGTTGTATAGCCTCTTGTATTCCTCGCGATGCTGCAGCGACAGAGAGACGTCTTCATCGTGGAACGTCTGGTTATGCTCTGACACATATTTGACGGTAATAAGACCGGTACAATGCTGCGTCCAAACACCTTGGCGACTCCTGCATGAGATGGTAAACTCATTCCAGGAGGCATCTGGCAATCGAGTTCCAGCCCGTCGGGGTCTAAACTGAATTCTCGTCTCGGTCGGGGTATCGGACGCGAGGACCATTGCCTTTCCAACAGAGACGTCCCGAATCTGGAACCCGTCGATTTCCTTGGTCTGATCCGCGAGCTGACGGGCAGCTTCAATCGCCATGACCATCATGCCGGAGAGAGGATACAGAATGGTGCCTTGGACTTTGTGATGCTCTATCCATGGGGCTTCTGAGACTCGCAAGTAGTTTGTCCAACAAGGCTCGGTATCGCTGGAGTGCTCGCTGCGTACCCCCAAAAGGTCGAAGCGAGGCAGCTTACGATGTCGAAAAGCTGCGGAGAGCGCCGACTCATACCAGTATCGCGTGGAATGATTCCACGAGAATGGTGGCAGGTTGCTGAGCAGTTGAGGCTTCTCGCCGGATGCTGAGGCCTCTGCATTCAACCTGGCAAGATCAACATGACAGTTGCGCTGAGCTAGCTTTCCTACTGCGTCAAGACAACTGCGCACAGCATCGGTATTTCGCAGTAATATGGATGTATAAACGACATCTCGCTTCAGCTTGTCTCGGTTTGCATCCAATATCTGCTTCAACGGGCCCTGCAGCGCTGCGTGAGGTCCAACCTCCACCAGAATGTTGACATATTGAGCCTTTCCGGCAGTGCGTCGCTTGCTGAGATTGAATTCGAGCACCTTTTGCATAGCCTGGCTGAATTTCACAGGACTGACCATATTCGATCTCCAATAATCGGCGCTGGCAAGAATGTCACCACCAACGATGTCACCAGTGACGGAAGAGAACATCGTAGTGGGTGGTCGGCTGGATGAATCTTCTGGGCGAATATCTGCCAGCGCCTGCAGGTAATCGCTCTCCAATGCCTTCATGTGTGGAGAGTGGTACGCTGTCTTAACGGCCAGTCTTCTATTGAAGATTTTCTCATTGTCCAAAAGGCCTTGAATGTCGGAGATCGCGGCCACGTCTCCAGACAAGGTGACACTGGAGGAACTGTTGACACAGGCGACAACAACTTCACCGCTGCTCTGAAGTATCTGCGATATGAAGGGTAGAACTTCCTCCTCCCCCAGGCCAACAGCAAGCATGGCGCCCTCCTGCGTTAGAGTGCTTGAGAGGCGACCTCGATGGTAGGCAATTGTCCACGCCTGAGGACGTGATATGGCGCCTTTGGCATATGCAGCCTGTGCAAAAACATGATTAGTTCCAAATGTACATAACCACTTATGTTTGCAGAGCCTTACCGCAATCTCTCCACTTGAATGGCCAACAACTACCGATGGTGTGATATTCCACTCTGCTAGAAGATCGACAAGCGCAATTTGCAGCGCAGTACACACCGGCTGACTGATTGCAGATTCGTTCAGGATAGATTGCTCCTTGGATGCGCTGAGCTCGGCTAAAACACCAATTAGTACACGTCAGTGATTTGGGTATGCCGTCAGACTGCTCTATGTGCTTGGAAAACACAACTTACCAACGAGATCCCATTCGCTTCCAAGCTCTTTCATAAAGCTACTTGCATCCTTGATGGCTTGTGCAAAGGTTTCATATGCCATGAGCTCGCGCCCCATGGCAAACCACTGTGCACCTTGGCCAGTAAAGACGAAGCACAGCGTCGGAAGTTGAGATGACCTCAGCGGTTTCGGGTGGGAAGCACTCGTCAGTGATGATGAAAGTTCCTCGACCGTTGAGGCTACCGTGTATGTTTTCCAAGGAAACCGGCTACGGGCTGTGGAAAGAGTATGGCAAAGGTTGGTGAGAAGGCTGGCGTCTGTTTTGTCTTGGCTTGTTAGATATTCCACGAGTTGCGATGCAGTCCGATTAATGCCAGCCTGCTCATGGGATGTCCACATTAGCAGCTTAGGACGCGACAACAAAGAGGGGGTTGCTAGTTTCAATTCCTCAAGCTCCGACTCCGGGGTTAAGGGCTCTTTTCTGTCGCTTGAAGAGGCAGTGCTAGCGCTAGCGCTGAGATCATCAGAAGTCGTGCTGCCTTCACAATCTATGATTCCGGGAAGCTCGGTCGTATCGTGAGATCCTTCTAGCGAACGGAGCTTCATATAGTGGTAGGCGTCATCCAACACGCAGTGCGCATTGGTGCCACCGTATCCGAACGAATTGACGCTTGCTCGACGCAGCCCTGTTGTTGGCCATGGCTGAAGCCTTGTTGGGACCTAAATGTCACAGAAAAATGTCAGTAATTGGGGCCAGTAGTCATAATTGCGCATTTCTCAAAAGAAATAAAGAGACCTGTACTAACATCTAGACCCCATTTAGCCAGCGGAATCCTAGGATTCGCCTTTTCAAACCACAAGTTGGGAGGGATAAGGCCTTTTTCCAAGGCGAAGACTGCCTTTATCAAGCCGGCCAGTCCACTAGCGCCCTCCATGTGCCCTATGTTGGTTTTGATAGATCCGACAAGGAGCGGGCTGTCCTTTGGACGGCTGGCGCCAATGGTGGCCCCGATCGCCGCGCACTCCAGTGGATCGCCTGACGGCGTACCTGGTGAGGATGCTTAGTGAGAAATTCGTGTATGCTGGGTGGGACTTGGTTTACATACCTGTTCCGTGTGCCTCAAAATACCCTGTTTGATCAAAGGATAGGCCGGCTGCTGCGTACACGGACCTGATGAGGTCCTCTTGTGCCTGTGCCGAGGGCAGTGTAATTCCTGCACAAGAGTTAGCCAATTAGGTTGACGACGGCAATGCTATGCCCAGTGTATATACCTGGTGTTTTTCCGTCTTGATTCACGCCCGTGCCTCTAATGACGGCCCGGATAGTGTTCCCATCCTTGATTGCATCAGCGAGCGGCTTGATAACAACAACAGCGGCTCCCTCGCCTCTAGCATATCCATTGGCCTTGTGATCAAATGATTGGGACTTGCTGTCCGGGCTCAAAAAATGAAGAGATGTCATAGCCGTCTGCATCTCAGGCATCAGGATCAAATTGGTGCCGCCCACCATGGCCTGTGTCAGTCAGCACACTACTAAATTCATCAATGGGCAGTCTGGTGCACTCACACACTTGGTCTCGCCGGTTCGGATACTCTGACAAGCAAGATGCAGTGCCACCAGAGATGAAGAACACGCAGTGTCTAAGCTCATACTGGGGCCTTTAAGGTCAAAGAACCACGATATTCTGTTGGAAATCATGGCGGACCCATTTCCAGTGCCTTCATACATCCTGCAAGAAGATCAGAGTCAGCAAGTGTAATGTCTGATCATACATAACGGCGATCTCACGGAATATCTTCGGCGTCATGCCCACGTAGTGTAGCATAGTCTCTGGTAAAGGAAGCCATATAACAAGCCATGGAAGACCCCGAAACAGCTTCCATAGGCATTCCCGCTGGATTAAAGTCAGTTTTTGCCTAGGGAGCAGCATGCAGACGAGGGATCCGTACCATTCTCGAGAGCCTCATATGCTACCTCAAGAGCAAGCCTCTGTTGGGGATCCATGGCGTGTGCCTCCTTGGCTGTGATGGAGAAAAAGGGAGCATCAAATAGGGCGACGTCGTCTTGGAGAAAGTGGCCACCTCTGACATTCATGGTTCCTTGACGCTCAGCGTGAGGATGGTAAAATGCATCAATGTTAAACCGATCCTTGGGGACTTCAGTCAAAGCACTCCGACCATTAGAGACCATATCCCACAGCCGGTTGGGGTTCGTGGCTTCGCCGGGGAACCTGCCTCCGATGCCAACAATGGCAATTGGCATAGAGGCGTCCTGGAATTCTCCCATCATGGATTCTTTTTAAATGGTCACCGTCTCAAATGATATGGGTACAGTATTTGAAGATTGGGTTGGGCTTAAAAGACCTGGAAGGACAAGCATGCACAGGGCATGGCTTCCATTGGGGATAGTTCCCTATAAGTACTGGCGCGGAGTACGTAGATGAAATCCTTCTCGTATTAGCTTATACAGCCCCTAACTGGACGCCTTGGAGATATTCTACAAAGTAGTAAGCACGCAGCCCCTGTGTGGTGCCATTACTTCCTGGTCAACAGCCCATCGCGGAGTAGCTGCGGCGAGGCTGATAGCCCCCATGTGACAGCGTATGCATCTCTTGCATTGGTTTACTGCAGGATATAGTACTACATATGTATTATGGACTCGAATTTGTACAACCCGAATGCAAGCGCCACTTACCGCTAGGAATTAATTTAGTGATTTTACACCAGATTACACAGCTTGATGAGAACATTTATTAGGATGGATACCATACAATACACCGCGCTAGTCGCTAACCTGCATGCAATTTCTTGCATGCATTTCCCTAATTCTTGTCCGGGAGTACGGAGTACGGTGGGTGAAAATCCGGGGACCTCTTCGATGCTTATTGCGCAGGATTTCGGTCCGCGGTTCTCCGCGATTCTCCGTGAAAGACGAATTTGCTTGGATTCTCCTACTGGGACAAAACACGGACAATTTCATTCTGAATTCAAAATTCCATACTCTCAATATACTTGGATTTTGGACAAGCCTGGAACGAGTGTCCCGATAATCTATAAGCGCCCCATCAACACGATCATCACAAAAGCCTCGCGTCGCATCTTGTCTTTTGCAACCCCATTCCACACTCACAATGCGCTTCCTCTGCCTCCACGGACATGGCACAAATTCCCAAATACTTGAGAGCCAACTGGAGCCATTGAGAGCCCATCTGCCCACTGATTGGGAATTCGACTTTTTGGACGGAGAAATGGAAGCAGAGCCAGCTACCGGTAGGGCCCTTGCCTAAGATAAAGGGACTCAATGATACGTTGCTGATTGGTGCATTTCGAACATAGGCATTGACCAAATATTTCCAGGGCCATATCTCTGCTACCACGGGGAACCGGTGCCCGGCGATGTGTGGAATGCATACAATCTCATCTTGGACGTAGTTCGAGACGAGGGCCCATTTGACGGCGTCATAGCGTTCTCACAAGGCGCCGCGGTGGCTGCGACAATAATTGCCCACGAGGCCAAGAGCAATCCAGAGGCGGACGTCTTCAGGCTCGCCGTGTTCCTCTCCGCCACCATGCCTTTTGACATGGAGGCCGGCACGCTAAAACTGGCGTATGACGGGCATGTCGACACTCTAGAGGCAAAATATCAGCGCCCAACTAATACAGAACATTCCAAGATGGATGAAAGTGTCAATTGGCTTGAAGACTGTCGAACGGCTGGCGTCATTCAGGAATTCAAGGCCAGGAGAGCGCATCTCCTCAGTTCGGGCCAACAGAGCATGGAGGTCTTGCTCCGCTACCATCCGTCAATCCACGATGTAAAGATTGGCATCCCAACAGTCCATGTGATTGGTGAGAAGGACAATTACGCGGATCACGGCCGTAATCTGGCGGGGATATGCGACCCCAAGGTCTCGCGGGTCGTGACGCATGAAGGGGGTCATCAATTACCTAGAGACGTGCGCATTCTTGCTAAGACTGCCGAGGCAATCCAGTGGGCGGTCGACCGGACGCTATTTCTATAAACTAGAGTAGAAAATGGACCTTCATTATTACGAAGTTTGGTCTCCGCCCGGTGTACATCTAACCCTTCACCTTGTAATGTTGTAGGTCCGACCTAGCCCTGGAGATATCTTTCAATTAGTATTAAGTGGTAGAGCTGTCGGGTTCATTGATTATTGGCGCATTTCCGGCGGAGTTTGATCCGTGACTTGTTGGCCCCTAGCCGTAGGCTGGGTTCGCAGGACTAATTTGGATGGCTCGCTGACATCAGGCAGTGCACAAACCCCTAAGCCTGTGTGGATTTGCATGGCTCAATGCCGATTGGAGAATCTCGCAAGCTGGGGCTGCCGTTAGGGCTTACATGCGGGGGGCGGAATAGCGCGGGCCGCAATGAGGAGCACCAGAGTAAGCATCAAACCATTGGACAATATTCTGGAACATTGATAGCTAGATTAATATTATGGTCAACTATATTGGATGGCACCACTTTCCCTGTGGAACAATATCTAGAGATCCTTCCAGGAAGGCTTTCTTTCCCACGTTGCCAACTCTGCTGCTACGTGCTGTTACATGCTGCTTTACAGATATTGCAATTCAAATTCCCCGACGTCACAATTAGAGGTAATCACCATGACCGCCCCTTTGGTATTGGGGCTTTCCATGCTGCTGGCTATTTCGATGGCCGTCACAGCCCTGTACAGACTTACCTTGCACCCACTAGCCCACATTCCTGGGCCGAAGATAGCGGCCGTGACACAGCTCTACCAGACATTCTACTGCTATTACGGAAACAAAAGCCGCTTCTACCAGAAGATCGACCATCTGCACGCCAAATATGGCCCGGTGGTCCGCATCACGCCAAATGAAGTGTCTTTGAACGACCCAGAAAACTACAACAAGATATACCACGTTGGGACGAAGTATTGGAAAGCGCCCGACTATTATCGCGTCTTCGGTGCACCTGCTGCTTTCTTCACCACGGTGGAAAACCGAATTCATTCTCTCCGTCGTGCCCCGTTGAACACATTCTTCTCTCGCAAGAGTGTCTTGAACTTGGAGCCGGTAGTGCAAGAGAAGGCTCGTATCCTTATCACGAGACTGCAAGAGGGCCTGAACGGCGGCGACAATGGCCGAGGTGTCGTGGAGCTCCATGATGTTTTCAGTGCCCTCAGCATTGATGTGGCCAGTGATTATTCCTTTCACAGCTGCTACGGGCTCTTGGGCGCAGAAGGCTACGGGCACAAGTTTTCGTCCATGGTGCGAGGCGTCCTGAAATCGTTCTGGTTCTTCATGCAGTTCGAGAGGGTTGAGAATTTGGCGTTGCAGCTTCCACCTTGGCTCTCGTCAGCATTCAGTCCGGCACTGAAAAGATATAATGCCATGGTTGAGGTCTCTCATCCACTTCGAGTTCCTTGATAAAAACTTTTGTTTCCCATTCTGACATGCTTTAGGGAACACGACGTAATGTTAAAGCCGTCAAGTCTCAGGTTGATGGCGGACATGATAAGCCTCTCCGAAGGTCCATCTTCCACGAGCTCCTCGAGTCAGATCAGCCGCCCAGTGTCGATGATATGACAGATATTGCGTTAACCATCATCGTGGCGGCGGCGGCCGCGACTGGCAATGCACTGTCCATTATGGCTTTCTATGTCATCAATGATGCGAATATTTACCAACGACTGCGTTCGGAACTTATAGAAGCGTTCCCAGAGGAAAAGCCGGACATGAGCTGGTCTGCCTTGGAGAAGCTCCCATACCTGGTAGATACCTGCGGTGGCACCCATGGTCGCAGCTTGTCCATTTTCAGAAAGATTCTGACACGATTTTGCAGGCTGCCGTTGTCAAAGAGAGCTTGCGTCTCTCCTACGGAGTCATTGGAAGACTGCCTCGCATTGTTCCAGAACCTGGCGCCGAGTTCAATGGCTACTTCATTCCCCCCGGTGTAAGTCCAGATTGCCACTGCGACCTTCGCGAGACCATGTTGACATGTCTACCAGTCCACAGTGGGCATGTCCAGCTGGACAATGCATCGCAGCCCATCGATCTTCCCCGAGCCCGACAAATTCGATCCGGGACGCTGGCTTGACTCAGCCGAGTCAAGCCGGCTCCAGCGTTACTTGGTGTCGTTTGGCAAAGACAGTCGCCAGTGCATTGGGATGCCGTAAGTAAAATTGCGTTTTATACGGAGTTGTCAATTGACGTGCTGTTCCAGGCTGGCATATTGTGAGTTGTATGTTACCGCAGCGGCCCTTTTCCGCGCATTCGGAGACCTGGAGATTGTCGATACGCAGGTCGGTGATCTGGTATTCGACGACTACTTCTCGGGCTACCATCCAGAAAACGCGACACCGCTACGAGTCACACGGCGAAAATAGTGGACAATTGAAGCAGATGTGGCGAGACTTGGAACTGGACCAGCGCCATGGACCGGACATGGTCCCATTCCCTAACTTTTACCTCAAGTTTTTAAATCAGAAAATCAGATCGTTTTTTTTTTTTTTTACGGAATCTATAACATTGTTCAGTGACTAATGGTGGATAGATAGTTATGGTGCTAATACCAGGTATGTATCAGTAATAGTAAATTACTGCTGCCTCAGTCCTGTTGAGGGTATTGAGGAACGATTCCAGGTAGAGCACCGAGTAGATCTACTTAAGTATACCAGTTTATTGGTCTGCTCATGAGTGTTGTCAAGTTATAATCAAGTGAAAGAGTCACCGAAGTCCAACTTTAGAATGTTAAACACAAGTAACAATGTATGATTGAAGACCAAGAACTAAACTAAGTATATGAATGACTTCAGGAGTGTCCTTATATATCTTTCGTTTCCTGGAGTCGACCTGTGTCCTTGGAGTAGATCCTACTCTTGCCCTGGTGACTACTACATACCCCTGCGATCACGTGATTAGCGAGGGTATTCAGTTGACTAGTGGCTGCTGGTAATCGTCTTCTCCGCGCAGTCCTCTTGCTGTCTCAAACACATGACTGTCTGGTTTGGTTTCCAGTGGTGTACCTAGGGGGTCACGGCTGATTGGTGACGGGTAGGTCCGTAGCATTAATAAAAATACCACACCAAATGATATACTTATTTCGATCGAAAATTTATTCTAAGTCATATATTATAAATATATTAATCTCTCATATTCTCGGATATTTGAGTAAAGTCCATTACTTTTATATACTTAAGTATTAAAACTGCGATATTATATGGAGTTGGCAAAACAGGTATAAATAATAGTCATTTATTACATAAAGTCAGCGAGTAATACATCCATTTTGGGGAACTTGATACATTGGTAGGTATAGTGGGCATACCCGTCATAGGCCTGTCATAGGCGTTATGGACGGGCACTCGATAATCCAAATAGCCTACCGCCTACTGTGGACGATAGGCACCCCATGGACAGGCGATGTTGCAGTCTATGTCTAGGTTTTGAAAAAAAAGATGAACGCGGGCAGCCTCGGGCCTTAGCGGCACGGGGTGGGCCGAGCCGTCCGCATCCAATGAGTTTAGCCTCTCAGCTTGAGAGCGGTCCCACGGGTTTCCAGTCTCGGGTGGGTCCAGAAATATGCCTTGCAGGCCATATGGGGCGATGGACACCTCCCGTTTCGTCCTTCTGGATCATATGATAGGCCGGCAAGGCGGAGTCCGGGCCTCCGCATGAGCTCGGTCTGCGTTCGACCATCCAGCATGGTAGTAGCGAACATGAAGGACAGAGAGATATGGATATATTAGGTGTAGAAAAGCCAAGCGGCACCAGCCTATCACCTGGGCACACCCTACAACCAGATCAGACAGGAAGATGATCTTAAACCGTACCATTGCCCTCGTCACTGGCGCTAACAAAGGCATCGGGCGAGAAGTCGCACTTCAGTTAGCGAAGGATTACGGTTACATGGTGCTCCTGGGCTGTCGCAATACGACCATTGCTGCTGACATGGCGTCCAATGTATAGGCGAACTGGTATCTTGCCGAGCCGCTTCCCCTGGATCTCGACTCGGATGGGTCTATTTCCTCCGCGGTCGAATGGATCAACCAAACATACGGTCGCCTGAAATGCTCGTCAACAATGCTGGCGTGTTGCTCGACGCTTGGGCGTCCGGCATGACTAAGTGATCCCCACGCCCGCGGGCGAGGTCTACACTAAAACGTCCACGACAAACCTCGTAGGCACCGCGTGCCTGACGGAGGCACTGCTGCCCCAACACCTCCACGCGTCGTCTTCGTCTCCAGCCATCTTGGATCTCTTTAACCGAAGGCCTCAACCGCCAGGGCATGTTATTCCACGCCGACCTCCAGGCCTATATGTCCAGCAAGGCGGCCGTCAACCGGATGGCGTCGTTTACTCTCGCATGCCCGAGGACATGGGAGGGCTCGTCAACCTGGTTGCTCCGGGCTTCGTCCAGACGAACCTCACCAACAACCATCCTGCAGGAACAACAGCTCGAGAAGGAGCCGAGCGAATTGTAGAGTTAGCGGTGGGTCAAGACGGGTTGCTACATTTACAGATAGGAATGGCCCTGTGCCCTGGTAGATAACACGTTGCGGTTGTCTGTAAGATGGAATCATGTCATGGCTTGGCGTTTCTGCCAGGCCCCCGGGGCTACTCGTATTTCTGCCGGTGGGGGGGCGAGATGATTTTGGGGGCCATTTGATTTCTGGGGCCATTTCTGTCTCTGTTTCGGGGGCACCATATTAGGGTTCGACAAAGCCCCACCTTGAATGATCAACGTCTCTTCTTCCTTTTCCATTGCTTATGAATTGCGATGTCCGACTCTCTCTTCCTATATGCGAATACGGCGCGGGACGCGGTTGGCACCGTCGAAGGCTCTGGGCAAGTCCCTGCCTCAGGCAGCTCAACACCCAAACGACTGGCTTGCGAGTAAGTGATCTCCTTGACATCAAATAAGATGCTGACTCGACACACAGCGCCTGTCGGGATCGCAAGATTCGTTGCGATAAGCAGAGACCGGTGTGTGGACGATGCACGAAAGTCGGCATCAGCTGTCGATACTCGTCACGTGCGAGGCCCACGCCCTCCAAGACAGACTTGTCAAGGTTTCTCGTTACCTTAAACAATCGCCTGAGTCAGTTCACTTGCTGTGCAGACTAGCCGTGAGGGGGGAAAACGCCATGGCTGACACTATGTTATTGAACAGACCAGGCGGAGGCGCAACTGGCGGTAGACCCTTTTTCGCAGAACCCTCAGTCGCTTCCGATGCTTTGGGACGAAACGAACATCGGCGGGCCATCGACAGGTATCCCATCTAAGAGAAGCTCTCCGGACCAGGCGGCACTACCACATGCAGGGATTCGAGACTTGGATAGCGATCGAGGCCTGTCAAGCGATAGCGTCACCGATTTAAACACCTCGAACAATTGGTACGTGTGCAGTGGTTTTCTTTCTTTTCTTTCTTTTTGTTTCTTCTTTTGCCTCTTTTGAAAGACACCTTGCTAAGTCCTGCCTGAATGGGCGCGACCAAACAGTTCTGAACTCTCCGACTTCGACTTTGCTACATTCGCAGCCACACTGTCCACCGACCAGGCCATGATACAAGCCCTAGGTGAAGTGGCCGAGAATCACGGCGTCAATCTCATGGGCTCAGATATGCCCTCCACGCCTTCTAGCGACAGCGTGGCTAGCATGTTAGACCCATATACACAAGCACTGTTCGTAAATTTCTACTACATGGCCTAGGGCACGGAGCTAAGAAGGAATGGTCACCAGGCACGACAGGTTCTTCAACGTCTTCCACCCAAGTCTTCCTATAGTTGATCGAGGCCGTTTTGAGAGAGAAATAGCCCTAGTACCACCGTCGATTGAGGTACAGGCCCTGTCGTACGCTATAATGGCGCTAGGCGCCTCCTCATCGCCAGAAACGCACGGACAAACAGAGAGAACATATCAGGAAGCGCGAAGCCTACTTGATATTTGCGAGAGGCAAGAGAGCGGCGAATCTCTGACCAGCATTAACACCCTGCAGGCCTGCACCCTTTTGACCCTCTACGAGCTAAAGCGACCAAATCTGGCCCGCGCTTGGATGACCCTCGGACGCGCCATTGGCCTAAGCAAAATCATGAGCCTAGAGCACCCAGAGGGTCCATCAAAACAGACCACGGACTGGAATTTGCCAACCCAGTTTCGTCCTCCGGCCTCCAACTCGAGGGAGGCCGAAGAAAGGCGACGGACATTCTGGATACTTTATATACTTGACGGCTTCTCTAGCATTCGCGTTAATGCAAGCCCAGCCTTTGGCAAGCAGGCAAGTCAAGCTCTGTCACTCGCTTATAGCGGGCTGTCGCAGATGATGCTAACTCGGAGTGTCCAGGTCCTGCTGCCCTTGCCTAGTCCCAGCGATCACGCGAACTCGAATGTGGCTCCCATGCCGACGCTACAGCAAGTGTTTAATAGCGAAGTCTCTCCAGACACGCCAATATCGCCTTTTGCTGGTAACGTTATCATGATATTTCTGTACAGGCAGTATCTTGACCATACACGGCCGAGTCTGCAGGATCAAACATATGCGTTCTGGGAGGCTCACTACCGAATCGACAAGACCATTAAATATTGCCGCACGAGCCTGCTCTCCCACCACCTGGGCGGCGATAGCTGCCTGGAGCCTCTATCGCTGGTGTTTCGTATGAACATGGACGCTGTTGAAATGTGCCTGCACAAAACGGCTCTACAGAAGGGTCGAGATGACGAATTGCCGGCCGCCTTAATGGCAGACTCGACATCAAAGTGTATGGCGGCTGCACAGGATGTTGCTGATGCATTGTTAGTTACTCGGCAGCTTTGGGGACAGAGGCTTGACGCCTTTCGACAGCTAGATCAGTTTATCGTCTGGCCAATTACCACGGCCATCCAGAAGTTCCTTGATCGGATGAAGCAGGGCGAGCGAGAGGCACATGTCGGCTACTACGCTCGAGCACTGCGCGTTTTGATAAGTGCCGTTGGCGACCTTTTGCAACCTGGGACTATCTCTACCACCCTCTTGGAAGAGGCCAGAAAAGCTGGCGGAAACGGTGGCTAGGTAGGATATGAGAAGCCACTGTTGCGAAATTGCAGGGCTTCTTTCAGTGTGTTTCGCGGCTATGTGTGTACATATATGGGGGATCAAACGTCTGTGTACACTCTAGTTTTAGTCCGCCTCCTTCCTTCTACTCTACCAATTAAATAGATTGTTCCGAGACAAGCAACATGCTTCGTATTCTGCTAGTATTTAGTGTCAGCCCTTTACCACAAAAGCTCTCACCAAAGGTACACTATTTCCGAAGCCTCAGGGAAGAGCACGCGGTGACATGCCCAGACTACCAGTCTCGGATATTTCGAGGAAAATTCAGGTTTGTCATCTTTATTCAATCACCAAGCCATTGAACAATTGTCTCTCCTCAGTGGTACCCAAAACCAGGAATAATCTGCGAGAGTCGGAGCTCAGCTGTGATGGCGCCTGTCTTCTCGTCTTTCACGAAGCGCTGACTGGAAGCAAACATCATGCCTTCGAGAGGCTTATAGGGCTCGTGCCCAGTTTCAAACCACATATGATTAACTACAAAGAGGCGAGAATTGGAGAGTAATGCTTATTGGTCTGATGGACAGAGCATCAACGTACCTCTGAAGCCAAAAGGGTTGGTTTTAGCGTTCGGGTCTCCCAGAAGCAACGGCAAAGTGTGCTCGTTGAGGTCAGGAATGCCGTCAGCAATGACTCTCACAGCCTGACCTTCGGCATCAGCAGCTACGGCGGGGATAGAAAGGCGCCCAAACTTTTTGTCGGCATCGACACGGAACCAATCGTGTCCTGCTTTGATAGTGAAGTCAACCTTAGGCTCGAAACTCTCGACAGAGCGGATGTAAGTTACGATGGTGCAAAATACGGTACCGCATGCAGTGGTCTGGAAGAGGGGAAATCCTTTTATGAGAGAGGAGAGGGTGTATTGTACAGTTGCTACTTAAAAAATCATCCCGCCACGCTCCGGTCGACTCCGGTCGCTCTGGCCGCGAGTTCAGTATTGTCATCCGCAGACACACCATCCTTTTCGTCATCCACCAGCCCAAATTCAGTGACGAGTTCCTTTCGGAGAGGCACTTCTTTGATCAAGCAGGAAAGGGGCACTGCGATGACAGTGAAAGCAATCAGGACCTGCCAGGACTGCTTGATACCCGCAGTGTAGATGTCGATGAGCTCCGCCTTCGTCGTCAGGTCGCTGTTAAACGACTTCATGAAGGAGGCAGTCGCGTGCTCGTACGCTCCGCCGCGCTTCAGTAATTCACGGACTTCTGGGTTGCTGACTTTATGAAGCAAAGAATCAACCCGCGAGTTGAAGATGGCCGCGGGAATGGCCGCGCCCCAAATAGAGCCAAAGCTGCGGACGAATGCCCAGCATGCGGTAGCGATGGCAACGTCTGACTCTGGCAATGGTGCCTGGACCGCGGGAAGCGTCGCCGTCAAGGCCAATCCGCCTCCAATACCGCAGATGAGCTGGAAGATCACCCATTTTGCGGTAGAGGAATTGGCATCCAGGAGCGTCAGGCAGCCCACACCGATAGATAACAGAGCGTAGCCTGCTACCATGGTCGGCTTATACCGGCCAAACTTGGCTATAATCAGGCCTCCAACAATTCCCGCCGGCATCAAGGGAATGACAATGGCGAGCAGGTCAACTCCGGACCTAAGAGGACTGGCCTCAAGAAGAACCTGGAAGTAGACGGGCAGGAAGAAGCTCAGCCAGCTCATCTCGATGCCATGGAGGAACGTGACGATGTACGATAGCATCGAAGTGCTGTTGCTGTAGAGGCGCACCGGCATGGTCGGCTCTGGGGCATAGATCTTCTGATGGAGGAAGAAGGCGACTAAGCCAGCGGTGCCGACGAGCAGCGGGACGAGCACATGCCACGAATCCCAAGGGTGTAATGTCCCACCCCATGTCAGGGCGATGAGGACAGCGACGACGGCCCCCGTCAAAAGCAGGTTCCCTGTGAAGTCGACCCTTTTCAGGCGGCCAGCCAGCGTGCCTTCACGTTTGTAGTGGACTCGTAGGAAGAGAAAGACCAAGACCAAGGCCGTGCCGCCAATGGGTAGGTTGATGTAGAAGATCCATCGCCAGGAGATGTCGTTGACGATGACGCCTCCGATGATGGGTCCGATGAATGTCCCCAAGGCAAAGGTTCCCATGACAATTGACATATAGAGCTGTCGATCACGCAGCGGAACCAGATCGGCCACGATGATGTCGACCATCACAAACAGGCCGCCTCCCCCGAGTCCTTGGATCATGCGGGCAGCAATCAGCATGGGCGTGTCTTTGGCACCCCCACAGAGCCCGCTACCCAGGGTGAAGAGGGCAATCGATAGCAACATGGGCATGCGACGGCCAAAAATGTCCGACGCTTGGCCAAAGAGTGGCTGCACCGCTGCCGTGGTGAGAAAGTATCCATTGATGGCCCAGACGTACAAGGCTCCGGATCTGAGGTCTGCGGCGATTGTGGGCAGGGCCGTCGCTACGATTGAAGTGTCCAGACCGGCGAGCAAGATGGAGAAGCAGAGTCCTGGGAACACGGCCCAGAAACGCCAGCCATGAGTTTCGCGGTTTTGTGGAGATGAAGCCATCGTGAATACGCAGCTGGTCCGATGAGCAGCCACAACACGAGTATATCTCCGATTTCCCCTTGATAATTAGGAGAATTTCTAGGAACAGGAGAAAGAGAAGTGAGGGGATGAGCAGAAGGAGCAAACAAAGAAACTCGGATTGCGGGATTCCGCTCTCCGAGTCAACCCCGGTCAGCCAAAGTACATTCAAGTATGGGACCAGTACAGAGTAATTCTCAATGTCTTTCGTGTTTACATTTTACATTGTACTCTGTTTCTTGTTTTGTTCAATTCTCTTGACATTCTGCTACTGTTTGTCCCCGGAGACTGGGGCAAACCGAGGCTATCAGTGTGAGAATCTTGGCCAATCCGAAGTACTAGTACGGAGTATCATAACTCGTCTTTAAACGTTTCTTCGCTCCCTTGCTCTTCTGCCAGATCCGTTTGCTCAGCCTGGACGTCTGGCTTGCGTTCTGAGGTGTGAGCTTTTGAATCTGACTTGGCCTGGGGCTTGTCCGTGTCTTGCTGCTCGGATGAACCCTCATGGGAGTCTTCCTCGTCATCCAGCACACCTTGGAATTTGATCACGCCGTTGCTTTCCACAACTTCCAGCGTCCAATCTTTGCCCTCGGCTTGTTCCTCCAGTAGCTTCTTCATCTCTTCGACTTTCTCTGGGTCAAGGTCATATTTCTTGACAATTTGTTTAGACATTTTGCCAATCTCGCCATTGACTCGTTTCGCAACAACGTCCACTCGCTCCTCGCCAGTAGAAGCCACCCGTCCTTTCTCAATGACCTTGCCCTCCATGCCAACGAGCTTTCGGCCGCCAACGGCAATGCCCCCAATGATCGGCAGTTCGGGTTGAGTGTCAGCATCAGCTGCGGCTTCGGCCAGTTGATTGGTCGTGTACCACTCTTTGATAGCTTCCCACTCCGCAATCTCTTCGGGCATTAGAATCTCGCGACATTCGATATTGTGCACCTCATCTTGCTGGGGTGGTAGGAAAGCGACGTCGTCACATAGACGAGGCGTGTAGATGACCATGAGATAAGAGCACGTGGTCAACTCCTTGATCCACCCAATATGATCTGTCGACTGCGGGTGGCAATGGAATTGGACCTCGACCTTGCGCTCCCGTCCTGTCAGGTCGCACTTGGTCCCGCCGTGAAGGTGTTGGACCAAGTACCGCGAACCGCCTTTGGTGTGAAGCTCCGCCACGTCCGTTTTGGTGGACTTCTTGGGTCGTTCTTCCTTGTCGTCAATGAATCTGCCCAGGATGAAGGAATGTGTCGTAGTATCCTCGATAGGCGGATAGTGAGGAACCCCCCGACCGGCGGGAAGAGCATGGAACTGTTTGATCTGCTTTTGATAGCAGAACGAGTAGGACCACCAGCCTGAAAAGTAATACATGCACTGTCCCTCCATCTCACGGAGCAATTCGATACCACGGTCCGTCGCCCGAGCTAGTTCCTTTTGCTGCTCGGATTTGCTATCTCCCTTGGTCGTCGCATTATGATCATCTGGGAGAACGCGCGGGATTTGACATAGGAGTCGTCTGTCTTCCAAAATCATTTCTTCATATGTGTAGGGAGATTCGTCCGACTGTTCGGTGGGATCCGTTTGGTCTTTTCGCATGTAGACTTGGGGATTGTTTTGGTCTTGGGTATTGGGACCATTTTGGGATTGCAGTAGTGCTTCGGCATGCATCTCGAGGATGTAGTCTTCGGGGAAGGTCACTTGATACTAGAACAACGTCAGAGCTCGTGCCTCGTCGGGGCGCAAATCCCACTTACCTGAGGATAAGCTAGGATGTCATCATTGATGTTGAATGGCCTGGCCTTGGCCCATACTGTAGATGCAGCACATGCCAGTGCAAGCCATGGCGACAGCCGTGGTGCTGGGCCCATGATGAGATCACAGCTTAACTTCGGTTGGAGGTCGGAGCTTCTCCACCTGGGCACCAACGAGGAGCTTCAATCCAGATGGTTTACTGGAAGATATGAGATTTGAGCATATGGGGTGTCAATGAGACCAAAGAAGAAAGCCAGCAAATCCAACGCTGTACATGAAGCGGAGAGGGAGCTGCTCCGTGGCCTTATCTGATAAGGGGAACTGTGGCCACTGCGAAACAACTGGACAATCTTAGTTCCCATTGTAGTTTCTACACCAATGATATAGCAGCTGTCGGATAATCAATGCTATGTGCTTTCGACTCGAGCTTAATAATATCAGTAATCCAATTATTCCCACGTAGACAGTATATATGCATATACATCTCGTATGGTCTAGAGAGATACCGGTGTAAGACTTAAGGGCCTTGAGACTGATCCTGGTCCATTTTGATAGCATCCTGCCTTCTACTGTCTGATGTGCTCTTCACTAATGTACTTAGTTAAGTCTCTCCAAAATATAGACACAAGAGAGAGAAGTATACCTCGATATCACATGATCCAGCACATGACATGTCATGTGACCTCAGCACTAACCCAATGCAGCCTGCTGACAGCATCGTTTGTCATAAATCCGCGGGCCTCGTTGGACCAATGACAGTCGACGTGACTGATGGCTTGCAAAGCAATTGAAAGCAATTGTAAAACCTTGAGTATTTAGGACAGTCATTTCTGGGGTCTTCCAGTTTTCTGAACCCTGATATATAAAATACTACCACCTCCATGAGACTTTTGCTTCCTCTGCTAATTTGCATCACAGCAATCATCTTGGGCTACCCATCCATCAAAGACAAAGTCACATACTTGTTCGAGCACTTCAAAGACCAAAACCAATCGACTCCCAAGATCAACTTTGAAGCTCCAATAATAGTCAAACCAATCACCAAAATGTCCGTCCCACGCGCAATTCGCCAGGCCTTCCTAGCTATTGAGCAATCCGAAGGCGCAGGGGCCCGTGTTCGCCGTTCAATCGGCACAGCCAAGCTCCGCAACTTCAGTCCCTTCTTGATGCTCGATCACTTCACCATCGGCAAAGGAGCAGGTTTCCCTGATCACCCCCACCGCGGGCAGGAAACCATCACCTATCTACTCTCGGGCGGAGTCGACCATGAAGACTTCGCGGGCAACAAGGGCACCATTGGGCCCGGTGATTTACAGTTCATGACGGCCGGCAGAGGCATCATGCACGCGGAGATGCCTCACGAGAACGAAGACGGCAGCCCCAATGTCGGCATGCAATTGTGGGTGGATCTTCCGCAGAAATTGAAGTTCTGTGAGCCGCGGTATCGCGATCTGCGCGCAACTGAGATCCCGGTGGCGAAGGTCGATGATGGCCGTGTCCAGGTCAAGGTCATCTCTGGGCAGTCACATGGGGTGGATTCGGTCAGGGATCTGGCCTATACTCCTGTCTGGATTCTGGATATCACTATCAAGCCTGGTGGCAGGATCTCGCAGCCTTTGCCTCAGGGGTGGAACTCGTTTGCGTACACCCTGGCTGGAGAAACGGTATTCGGCTCAAGTGACTCCACTCGCATCGTGAAAGAATTCCACAATGTGGAGTTTGAGCAGGCGGGAGATCTCGTGGAACTTTCTGTGCCGGATAATGCGGAGAAAGAGGCTCGCATTTTCTTGGTTGCAGGGCAACCCCTGGACCAGAAGGTCGTGCAATATGGTCCTTTTGTGCTGAATACTCAGGAGGAGGTTTACCAGGCCATGCTGGACTACCAGACGGCGTCAAATGGCTTTGAGCGCACGCGCAACTGGCAAAGTGAGATTGGCAAGCGCATGGGTTGAGAGGTCTTGGAACATTCGAATTTTGTTGATATCTGATGTATATATATCTAAATTATGGTGTTGGTGGTAATGATTAAATGCCTTTCAGGGTTAAAATATTGATATTCTGGCATCTTTTACTTCATTAGTTTGAATATTGAGGAACCAGTTAATTTCCAAAAATTTCTGTATTCCAGGTAGAGCGAACATATATGCGCCCTAGATCGCTGTGAACCGCAGCGGAGGGCTCACTCTGGGATATGATCATTAGACAGTCTCCGTTTGAGCAACTCCATCAATTTTGACGGTAGCACCCACAGTACCGATGACAGCAAGCCCTCTCGGAATGTGAATGTCGCGAACATTGAAACAAGCAAAGACGACCAGTCTCTGGAGGGCTGGGCAGCATCGGAAAATACTCATCGTAATGTAATCGTCAACCGCCGGGCAGAACGAGATATCGAGATATTTGAGCTCGGGATAAACCTTACCCTCGGCAAAGACCTGCTCAAACGCCTGGTATGGGATATGCCGGCAGGAGGCCACGTTCAAGTGCTGGATCTTCCCCCCTGAGTGCTCCATCAATGCCACAAACCCAGATGACGCGAGCCCAATGGGCTCCTCTGGACCATTGGGATTGGTCATATCCACATCTCGAAGAGAGTTCATATCCACGTAAGTCAGGGCCTTATTAGGCCAGTTTGTGAACATGGCGGCCAGACCTTTGTCAGTGAAGGTGAAGTTCTTGGAGAGACGGAGCTTAACGAGGGAATGACACTTCTCGTGAATCAGTTGAAGGAGGCTATCATCGGCGAACTCAAACTCTTCGAGCGACAGTGTCTTCAGCCGAGGGCCGACATTATCAACGATGGTCAACAGATGCTTGGGATCAATCTCCGTCTCTTTCAGGTAGTGCAACGAGAGATGCTCAAGAGATTGGAGGGTCGAAATTGCCTCGAGTGTTCCATTGCCGGTCCGATGGAGAAATTTGAGTTTCAGTCGTTGTAGATTGGGGCAATGCGTGCACATCACTTGGGTGGTTTCGTCATCAAAGGCCGAGTTCAGGTTCCAAAGCTTGAGGCTCAGGAATCGATGACCAAGCTTCATGAACAAAAGACGCCAGCAGGCATCAGTCACCAGATTTGGTCCATCAAGATGAAGATCCTTGATTTGCATATCACGGTCCACCATGTATTGTATTATCTCGTCCTTCAGTGGAGTGGTGAATCGAAGATTGACCCTGGTTAGATGCGGCATCGATGCAAGAATTTTATGGAAATCATCCGTGTCAAGTTCTATATAGTGTCAGAACGGTTGTCTTGCGGTCTAAGGTCATGCCTCAACTTACTGGCACAGTCAAACAGGTCTATCGATCTGTATTGAGGCCGAAGGAATAAATCCAATGTCTTCGGGGTCACGGCTCGTCGTCGAGACAAGATCTGCCCCAAACGTAATAGCAGAGAAGGAGGAAGGTCTCCGAAGTCTTCCACGTCATGAATGTAATCTGCAACTTTCTAAGGGATCGTGAGCAAGTGTGTTTCATCGCGAGATTCGTGCCACTGACCTTAATACAGGTCTCTAATAGACTCTGGGTGCCATGAGGAGTCAGGCCATCGAGCAAGTTGGCCTGATTTTGTCGACGACCGATGTTGCCTGTGGCTCGTTTTTTGGCCGGGGGTTTCTTCTCATCTGCCTTATGCTTCTTCGAGCAGTCCGGGCAGAGCAAGCCTCCAGCTGGGCCCGCCTTACTATAGGGGGTCACGGTGAAACGCTTCTCGCAAATTTCACAATTTGCCAACTGGCCGGGCTGTGGTCGCTGTCGTTCTTCGTGGATCTGATTTGCCAGGTCCTCATCATCATAATCCGGGTCATCGTTCCCATTAAGACGAGCCTTGCGCTTTGCAAACTCCTTGCTGTTTTTGATTCTTGCAATGGCTTGCTGTCGCTTCCGCTTTTTGATCAAGTCTTCCGGTGAATTGGGCTCTGACGGGGATCTGGCTTGTTCAGCATCCACCGACTGACGCTGTGTCTCGTTGGCTTGGCGCGCTGCCTCCGCCTGGCGGTTGGCGTAGTCATCTTGAATCTGCCGTGCGGAGATATTGTTGGACTGGGAGGGAGTTAGTACTAGGCAGTAGGCAGTTCACGATCGGAAATGATCTCCATACCGCCAGGAAATCTGTCAGGGCAGATTGTCTATGGAGGTCAGTATCTAGACATCAGTCCAAATCAGGGGGAGACCTACGGGCCCCGAATAGCTCGTGCTTGTTGTCTTCTGTTTGCCCTGAGAATGTCAATATATGTCTGGCCTTGATGGGGGGTGTCATACATTGTTCAAAGTTCCCGAAGTCGACGCGAATGACTTCGTGGCAATTTCGCGTTTCACTTAACGCGCCTCTTATCTGCGATAAGCGCAATGATGCAGTTACCGGGGCAAGTCAATAGAAGTGAAGAAGTCGAAAGAAGTACCTAAGGAAGAGAAAGAATGACAGTAAATCAGCAAATTGTCAGAAGTTTCCCTGTTAAGATCCTTGCCACATCGGGGAAAATTTTCTGGTTCAGGCACCTGCCGGGATCTCGATCGATCAACTTTTCTCTCTTCTCATCACTTTCTTTTCTCTTCCTTTCAATATATTCTTCTCTTTAGTCTCAACCCTGTCATTTTGGTCATTTTGGTCTCAACCAGCACTTTCTTTCATCTGCTCATCTTCAGACACCTCAGACACCCGTGACACCCGGGACACCCGCACCGCAATCAGTGAACAGTATGGCAACCCTCCTCTAACACAGTATATACAAGGAGGAACCCAACTAACATATTCATGATGATAGTTGAATCTTCACACACCTGTGCCCTGTGCCCTGTGCCCTGTGCCCTGTGCAACTACCTCTATTCCCTACCCTCGCTTTCACCATGAACAGATTACGATCCAGAGCCACAATACCGGATTCTGAGGACTCACAATTCAGTGATACGTCATTTCAAAACCCCTCAGGTCTCCGTCGATCAACGCGATCGAGTCGATCGGGACCCCTGCGAGCAGGTGGGTCATCCCTTTCAGAGTCTCGGCCCCAGCGCGTCATACAAGATTCCGAGACCGATGAGGATGACGATCCATCGAATGTGGCAACTCCTGAAGAATGGGCATCAGGAAAGCCTGCAGTGGTGGTCCCAGTAAAGAACACCTCGCCAAGTGACTCGGTAGGAAACCAGTCCACCTACAGTACACCAGCCACGAGCGTCGGGCCTACTACAGACACCGATTCCAAGGCCCCTCGTACCGATGCTTCTCAACGCGCCAAGAAGCTACAGTCGAGCGCGTTAGCCAAGGGACCAGCAGATATAAACGATCGGGCGGCAGATTCATCGACTGATGACGATGTCTCTGACCAACCACTGGCTAAGAGAAGGCCAACCAAACAATCTGCGGCTACATCTTCCAACGCGAAGGCGCCAGCCCGGGTGAATGCCACTCAACGCGCAAAAAACCTACAGTCCAGCACATTGGGCCTGGCAAAGAGAGGTACCAAGCGACACGCAGCTAATCTAACCGATGATGATGCGTCAGATGCTCCATTGGCCAAGAAAAGAGCGACCAAAAGATCCGCTGCAAAGTCGACTGCCCCTGACACCGATGCCTTGGATGCCGCGCTTGCTCGTTCCCTCCAGATGGAGGAATACGGGCAACAGCCCGCTAAAGGGCCGAAACAGTCAGCCAGTTCCATGTCTGACTCGGAGTTGGACAGCGATCTGGATGACCTAGATTCAGTAGCATCGGGCCAGGGCCTGCGGTACCTGCCGTCACTGGGGTATGCATCGACCAGTAGCTCGGATTTCGAAGACTGGCAAACGGACGCGGAACTTGCTTCTACTCGACCTGCTCCTCGACCTGCTCCTCGGCCTACTCCTCGGCGACCTCGGCCTGCTGGTCGGTCTACTGCACGGAGAACCAGCGTCCCTGAAAGTGATCACGGGTCAGATGAAGATTTACCTCCTAGTTGGGAAGAGCAGCGGAAGGCCAAACGTGCAGATGCAGACCGCAAGAAGCTTGAAAAGAAACATCCAGTTCTCAGCACCATGTGGGACCTCCTCAAAGCACAGTCTGTCCTACCAGCAGAGGCAGCCAAACAACCAGCGTCGATCACTCGTAAACTTAAACCCTTCCAGTTGGAGGGATTGAGCTGGATGATCCGGCAAGAACAAACCGAGTATCGCGGTGGTTTGCTAGGTGACGAGATGGGCATGGGCAAGACCATCCAAGCAGTGTCGCTCATCATGTCTGATTATCCTAAGCCGGACCCCACGCTCGTGCTTGTGCCCCCGGTAGCTCTGATGCAGTGGGTTGCCGAGATCAAGGCATACACTGATGGCAAACTCAAAGTATTGGTCTACCACAATTCTGACCCCAAGATCAGAAAGTTGACTCCTGCTGACATTCGCAAATACGATGTCATCATGGTCTCTTACTCCAGCCTGGAATCCATTCATCGAAAGCAGGAAAAGGGCTTTGTTCGCGGGCAGAATATTGTCAAGTCTAACAGTGTAATTCACTCCGTACACTTCCATCGCCTCATTCTCGATGAGGCACATAGCATCAAATCGCGTACCACCGGTGTCGCGAAAGCATGCTTTGCTCTGGAGGCCAACTATAAGTGGTGTCTCTCCGGCACACCGGTGCAAAATCGCATTGGAGAATTCTTTTCCCTCCTTCGGTTCCTGCAAGTCAAACCTTTTGCATGCTACTTTTGCAAGGCCTGCCCTTGCGAGCAGCTTCAGTGGACCCAAACCAAGGAGGGACGTTGTACCGAGTGCTCCCACACCGGTTTCCAGCATATCTCGGTGTTCAACAAGGAGATTCTCAACCCAATCACCGAAGGTCGCACTCAGGCCCAGCGCAAGGCCGGACTGGACAAGCTCCGCCTTATTACCGATCATATCATGCTTCGTCGCATGAAGGAGGACCATACCAGTTCTATGGAGCTCCCTGCCAAGCGAATCACGTTGCACAATGAGTTCTTTGGCGAGATCGAACACGACTTCTCTCGCAGTATTATGACCAACTCCACGCGCAAGTTTGATACCTATGTCAGTCAGGGTGTCATGTTGAACAACTATGCCAACATCTTTGGTTTGATTATGCAGATGCGCCAAGTTGCCAACCACCCAGATCTCATTTTGAAAAAGAAGATGCAAGCTGGGTTTAATATTGCCGTGTGTTCCGTTTGTGATGAGCCTGCCGAGGACGCGATCCGGTCCCAGTGTCGCCACGAGTTCTGTCGTCAATGCGCCAAGGACTACATCCAGTCTTTCCAAGATGACAGCAAACACGTTGACTGTCCCCGATGCCACATCGCACTCTCCATCGATTTGGAGCAGCCGACCCTCGAGGAATACGAGGATACCGTGAAGAAAAATTCCATCATCAATCGAATCTCCCTGGAGGATTGGACCTCTTCGACGAAGATTGAGATGTTGCTCTATGAACTCTTCCAGGAGCGCAGCAAGAGCCACACCCCGAAATCCATTATTTTCTCGCAGTTCACCTCTATGCTGCAGCTGGTTGAGTGGCGTCTGCGCCATGCGGGGTTCAATACGGTGATGCTGGATGGGTCGATGACCCCGGCCCAACGACAAAAGTCGATTGAACATTTCATGACCAAGCCGGAGGTGGAGGTCTTTTTGGTCTCCCTCAAGGCGGGTGGCGTGGCGCTCAACCTCACCGAAGCGTCCCGTGTGTTCATCATCGACCCGTGGTGGAACCCGGCGGCGGAATGGCAAAGTGCCGATCGTAGCCACCGCATCGGCCAGCAGCGGCCGTGTGTAGTCACGCGGCTATGCATTGAGGATTCGGTCGAGTCTCGCATCATCCAGCTGCAGGAGAAGAAGGCCAATCTCATCCGGGGAACCCTGAACAAGGACCAGGCAGCGGCCTTGGAAAAGCTCACGCCCGAAGACATGTCTTTCCTGTTCCGTGGCACCTAAGATCGAGATCTCGATTTATAATAATGACAAATTATACTGTCCATGTATTGAATTGACTCTAAATATAAGTTCCCACAGGGCTGAAAGCTGAAACCAATGTATAACACAGGGCTGAAGGAAACTCCATTAAAAGCGAGTAAGGCTGAAAGCCAAGAACCGAAAAGTGTCCAAGCAGGGAACCAGGCACATGACGTCACAGCGAATCTCTGTTGCCTGAACCACATCATTCCCCCTTTGGGACTAGTGGCATATATCACATACAGTGTCGCTTCTAAAGTTCTCTAAGGCTGAACTTCTCCCCTATTACTCCTCTTTAACCCTACTCGACCCTGAGACCTTGATTTTCTGAACACCGCGCGTACCATATATATTCTTAATGATCAGCGCTCGACTAACCGTGGATCCGGTGGCTGGTATCCATTATTATTATTACTAGGGAAATCTCGGAAATTGGCTCTCCATTTTGACATTGACACTACATCATGGCCGACGCACCCCGGGCCTTGCCCGTCCACCCAATTGACAAATATGGCCCCAAGTTCGTCGAGAAGGCTGACAAGATTCATCGTCGAGTCACCATGAATGAAGACTCTCAACCGGCCGGTGGCTTCGATGCCACCCCGATCCCGCATGCCCCGCCAGGGTATACCATGAAGATTACCTTCCATCGCGCAGATGATTTGCCCGTCGCAGACTTTGGCAGTTTCTCCTCAGACCCGTATGTGAATGCGCATATGGTTGTTGACCTCCCCAGGCGCCATAAGCAAGATCCCGTCGTGCGCTTTCGTACCCCGACCGTGCACAAGGACACGAACCCCGCCTGGGAATGCGAGTGGATTGTCGCGCATGTTCCCGCGTCTGGGTTCCAGTTGAAATGTCACCTGATGGACGAGGACCCGGCGGATCACGACGATAAACTCGGGATTGCCTTCATCGACGTGCCGGCCATCTCAGATGGCTGGGCTGGGTTTAAAGAGAAGCGCTTCAAAGTGAAGAAGCGCTTCGGCAGCAAGCGGGTCTATGTCTTTACTAATGTCTCCGCGTTCGCAACTGGTCACCATAAGGAATCGTGGTTGACGGTGAGTATTGAGTGCCTGGGCAAGACTCCGGGAGAGAACGGTGGCCAAATGTACACCATTGGACCCAATCACTGGTTTAAGCACTTCTCTCCCCTGATTGGCAGACTGGCAGGCATCAAGGACCAGGTGCAGAGCACCGATGGCAGTGGCAAGTCCGTCAGTCGTTACAAGTAGGTAACCCTCTTTTTTCTTCCTTTCTTTTTTTTGGTCCTGTGGCCATTCACTAACCTCTACTCTAGCTTCCAGGCCATTCAGATGCAGCTCACAGGACCCGTCCCAGGAGAACTGTATCATCGCTATGTGGAGTTCCGACCCTTTGTGGCGGGCATGTTCCAGGCGCAAAGTCTACGGGGGCGGATCCTGCACAAAGCACTTCACCACCAACATCAGCGCATCTACAACTTTGATCGCACAACCCAGCACGGTTCATTCCTCACTCCATGTCGCGAGTTGGCCCAGAAGTTCCTGGAATTTGCGCACTATGGCCAAGGGGGACGGATCTTCACTTATGTGCTCACCTTGGATGGACAGTTCCGCTTCACTGAGACCGGCAAGGAGTTTGGAATTGACATGCTGAGCAAGCACACCATGCACAGTGATGTGTCAATCTATATTGCCTACTCGGGAGAATTCTTCTTGCGCCGTCGCAAATACCGCCATCGACACAACTCCCCCGAAGGTCGCGCGGAACGTGCCGAGGCTGAATCCAACACCGTACCTACCGACGAGTACCCGGTGGAAGAGGATCAAACTCAACTGGACAATGGAGATCTCGACCAGAGCGAAGAAGGGATTCCAATTTCCACCAATCCTGCCGACTACGAATTGTTTATTGACAACGACAGTGGCACCTACCGCCCCAACGCAGAGAAGCTCCCTCTTCTGCGGGAATTCATGTCCTCCAATTTCCCCGGTCTTCACGTTACCACTCTCGACTGTCAAGCCGATGCAGAGCGGATGGGCAAACTCAAGGAGGAGCAGCGAGAGTTCAAGAAGAACGAGGGCAATGTGCTCACTTTCCTCCAGCAAAGCAGTGTCTCGTCGTTGTCGATCTCCAGTTCTGACGAGGAGGAGTTAAATGAGCGTAGTGGACAACCCAAGCAACGTGGTGACTTGGCGCGTCGTGTGCATGAGATGCGTGATCTTCGCGGGCAGGTGATGCGGTGGGTAGAGGCGGATGAGAAGCCCGACGGTCACAAACACAAGCATCGCTACTTCTCCGGACGAGAACGCGCGGTGTCCACGGGGGGTATCCCAGTCTCTCAGCGTCCGGAGCCTGATCGTTCGATCACTGAGCAGCCTCGATTGGCGACCTGATCTGGCTTTTCTTTTTATTTTTGTCTGACGATGTTATGATTGATACCATTTTTTATTAATAGGCGAAATGCGACTAATTCCCCATTTATTTACTTTACTATATTTATCTTGTACTTAAAGCTATCACATATATATATAGATCAAGTACTTCGTCTGATGTTCGGAAAAGAAGCTTTACGGAGTTGGTTGCCTGTGCATTTCTCCGAGATCTCGCCCCCCTCTAAGCTCCCTCCCTCACATCCTCTTCGCAACGACCGAACTTGAATGAAACGAGTCACTCCCTTTTTACAACTTCACTTGACCGATGGCCATTGGTCCTTTTGGTCCCTTTGGTCCCTTTCTCGTGCCGTGACCTGATCTCTCCCCCCCCCCCCCCTTCGCCATCATGGGGAATGTCGCCAGCCGCCTCGACGATGCGGGGAACTTGTTCTTCAAGGATCAGAATCGCTGTAAGTGGAATCGCATCGAATGAGGATTGATGAACTGATAAATTCGGTGTAGTCTCGATCGCATCGGTCACCATCAGCAACCCCCGGCGTCGACTTTTGACCTTAACCCCTAATGCGTTCCCCGCGGTGAGATTCGCTGCAAAGCGCGACGTCGGCGATGAGGCTCCGATCGAATACATTCAGGTGCGCCGTGGGAAGAACCCTGGGCTCGTGCACTGGCTAATCAGCAACTCAAAACACACAGGACCCCGACACATCCTCCGCTCCGATCCCGACTTTTATGCTGCGCCTGTCCAACGACGAAGAGCTGATCTTCAACTTCACCTTTATTATTCGTCAAACACAGATCGGAAGCGCTGCGAGCTCAACTGTCAATGGAGTCGCATCCTCGATGCCCGAGGTGGCGGATACCAACCTCACGGGGCTGACGTTTGCTCATGCGTCCAACTCAAAGGAACTCGATAATCTGATCACGAGAGAATTCCACGCGAATCCGAATCTCCAAAATAACTCGAATGTTCAGTTGATTGGAGACTATTCGACCGGGGGGACCCCCTCCGTGACCTTTGACTGGTCCTGGTCCTGGAAGCCCCCCAAGCCGATGGAAGACAAAGGGGGCGGTTGGCGCAACAGCTGCAGTTTCTTGGACTATGATCAACGAACAAACCGCCTCAACACTCTTGCCCACTTCTCCTTCTGGGTACACAACACTCCTCGTCTCCTCCCAAGCCCCAGCCCCCAGCTCAACTCTCCGAAACTCGAACTACCCGTTCTCCCGCGCTCGCGCATCCCGTCCACCCAGTCCGTTGTGTCACATTATAGCGACGCAGAGTCCATCTACAACACCGAAACCACATCCCCAGAGCCCACCGAAAAGGCACTGCCTCCTCCTCCGCCGACCGCACCCCCTCCCCCACCACCGGCCAAGGTGGATCTCCCACATTCACGAGCGGGCGACGAGATGAGTGGTGTGGAAGATGGACCCTTGTTCCGGGCAACGATGAAAGCCCTGGAATCCAAGACGACAAACATGCGATCGAAGATCAAAAAGGTGCTCAAAAAAGCCGAAAGTGCGCAACAGGCGCAAGCAAGCTGCAATGAAGCCGTGGAGGCGTTCCTGGGGTCGTTGAATGATGCATCCACATCCAATGCGAATGCCATCCAACCCGCATTAGACCATTATTTCGAAAAGATCGCTCGGCAGATTCTGAAATACGAACAGCTCAACACCCTCCAACTTCAAAAGCTGGTCATTGAACCTTTGGTCAAACTGTATCATAATGATATCAAACAAGCAGAGGCCAAAAAGAAGGAGTGGGATGAAGAGAGTCGCGATTACTATGCATATGTCAGCCGGTATCTGGGCCAGCGCCAAGATTCCCTGAAGGAGAAGAAGCGCGCCGAAAGCGACTCCAAGTATCAGGTCAAGCGACGGAACTTTGAACTCAGGCGCTTCGACTACTCCGCTTTCATGCAAGATCTCCACGGAGGTCGCAAGGAACAGGAGGTTCTCTCCCATCTCACCAAGTATGCCGACTTCCAAGCCAAGAACTTTTTAGCAACTGCCAAGAATGTTGAATGCATGACCCCCCAACTGGATGCCCTCATTCATGAAGTCAACCAGGCAGACAAGGAGTTCCAGTTCCAACGCACCGAACGCGAAGAGAAACGGCGGGCCTTGGAAAACGGCAGCAACCCGTATCTCGAACCCGACGCCGTGGCCGGCACAGCTGTTGCGTCTGTCACATCACCTGGAGCGAGCAACGGTGGTACTTCCGATGTTGAGCTTGGTCGTGCTGACAGCACAGGCTCGCAGCTTCGAGGTGTGATCAGCAACTCCTCATCAGTTTCGTCCCAAGCCAACGCAGGGTCCGTCGCTTCAGCCGCGGGGACTTGTGCACCTGCATCCAACCCGACAGCAGCGGGGACACCCAACCAGAACCGCTTCAAGGGCATTCGTGATCTGGAGGAGCAAACCAGTCTCGGTTCCGATCGCACAGGCGGCCAGCAGCGAAAAGAAGGTCTCCTGTGGGCGTTATCCCGCCCGGGATCACATATCGATCCCAAGGGAATCAATAAACAGGCATGGCATAAGTAAGCAAAACCCAAATAAGCACACATCCTGACCAGAGAGATGAGGTACTAACTGGTGGCAGATTTTGGATCGTTTTGGATCAAGGCAAATTGTCTGAATATAGCAACTGGAAACAAAAGCTGGACCTTCACATGGACCCAATTGACCTGCGCATGGCATCTGTACGCGAAGCACGCAATGCTGAGCGACGATTCTGCTTTGAGGTGATCACACCTCAATTCAAACGCATTTATCAAGCTACGTCCGAAGATGACATGTCGAACTGGATTAGGTCCATCAACAACGCACTCCAAAGTGCGGTCGAGGGCCAGGGGACGCCGCCCCCTTCTTCGTCTAGAAACGATCCCCCCAGTCGGGATATTGGTTCCGCATTAACGGGGAAAAGCTCCTCTGTATCTGGGCATCACGGCTACTCCAACTCTAGCTCAAGCAACAGTGCCGGCGTGATTCGCCGAACAACCGTTGGTGCACGCCCCAGCTACGTCCGCCATGACAGTAATAGCTTTGAAGAGAACCCCGCGAGACTTCTCCAGGTCATCCGCGATGCAGACCAGGGCAATAACTGGTGTGCCGATTGCGGATCATCATCCAAGGTTGAGTGGGTGTCAATCAACCTAGGAATTGTGCTTTGCATTGAATGTAGTGGAATCCACCGTTCACTAGGCACGCACATCTCCAAGATTCGCTCACTCACGTTGGATGTCCATTCGTTCTCCAATGACATTGTCGAGATTCTTCTGCAGATTGGTAACCGCGTGAGTAACATGATCTGGGAGGCCACATTGGATCAGACCTTGAAGCCAAACGCCAGTTCCACTCGCGAGCAGCGTCTGAAGTTCATCACGGCCAAATATGTCGACAAAGCCTACGTCGAGGGTCTCCCCTCTCCACGTTCCAGTTTTGCGACCCCGGATGAAACACTGCTGGCCTCCATCAAGAAGAACGACATAGTAGGCGTCCTCTACGGTCTCGCCCTTCGTGCCAACATCAACATCACAGACCGCTCCCGCAACACCCATGCCACATTCCTCGCTCTCGCTGCGGCAGATCCTGCATCCCCGGGTTCAACCCCAACATCCACCTCCACCTCTTCCTCCCTCTCCCGCACATCCACCAAAGCAATCCCATTCCCCGTCGCCGAGCTCCTTGTTCAAAACGGCGCGGAGATTCCTCCTCAACCCCCCTCCATTCCTCTCTCCCCAGCAGCCCGTCTCTACCTCAGCCAGCGCACCGCTCGCACTTCCGCATTCAGCGTTCCACCCCCGCCTTTGGGGGGCAAGTCCTCTGCCAACGATACCCTGGGCTCCCTCCCCACAATCCGCAGCAAGGAACCCGCGCACACCCCCACCCTCGCCGAAAGCCGAGACAAAGACCGTGAAAAACTGTCCAAGCGTGGAAGCGCCGGTGCTCGCTTTGCTGGGAAGGTCGCTTCCCTTGGCATCGATCGCTGATTTGGCTTCTGTCTATATCCGCCCCTTAATCGTAATTATATTGGGCTTAATGAGCTTTGCATGAACCCCCTTGAAGATGACCTGTTATGTTTGGATCTGGGACTCTGTTTTCCTTTTGTTGTTCGATACAGGCCTTTTTCTAGGTCCTGCTGTTTGCCTAGGACCAATCTTGAATCCAGGATTGGCTTGCTGCCTTTCCTTTGTGCCAATTGTCTTCTGAGTAGTCACTGTATATTTCATCTCAACACACCTAAATTGGTACGAGTACAATTGGTACAACCTAAGTCTATATCTCTACGGGGACACCATGTAGGTTATCAACGATACAACCCTGAGAGGGTACTACTAGGCCCAACGAGCATTTCCATGTCAGTCTACGCTGTGATACTAGACATATGGCCCGACTGACAACATTGTCATACATCTCATGCCTGTATACCCGTTAGTCTGCAGGTCTTACCCGCTTGATACTAGTACAGTGCAGATATGCACCCCCAGCATATTTATGCAGTCACCCGCCAACGTTCTCGCTCTCTCTCTCGCGATATTCAAATCTGCATCCATTGACATGTGCCCTGCCCAAACGAAGCTGCCTGTCAGTGGCAACAGGCTCAAGCCCCCACCGACTCGAGCCAACTCATATGACCCATTGCACTGCCGTGGGTCGTGGCGTCTAGCGGTGGCCGAGGATGGCAAGACTTGCACCATCCCCACGGCATAGTGGCACCTCGTACTCGTAGGCTTGTTAATCCTAGACAGGGGTACCCATCCACTTGGCCTCAATTGGCCTCCGATGGATACTCTGTATGGGTTTAACAAAGGATGTGGATGTGGTGGCTGTGTGTCGCTCATGCAACAGTCTCGTCGTGGTAATCCACTGCTGATCACCGATATACGAGTACACTCAAATCCATCCTTTGAAGCCACATACATTGGGCCAGTGAACTTGGCTGACTCCTAGTTCCAGGATCTGATATCACCCTTTCTTTGTCCAATCATCTTGAAACATCGGTCGATTGTTTCTGGTACCGTTTCGCTTTGTTCATACGTGTATGAGTACTCGTAGTCCGTACATCCGAAGTCTGGAGACTGGTGGGGCAGGGCACGAGTCGTAAGCTCCAAGCGGCCAAGGTCGGATAAGTGCGAGGACAGTGGAGTAGAGGGCTTCAATGTTGCGATCTGTCCTATTTGTGAGTGTATGTAGGAGATGGAGTCAAGGTCAGATAGTCATAGATCATCGCGAACCGTAGATCAAAGGCTGTGATTGGTGGCAGTATCCAGGAACATCGGGTCAGTGACGTCATGGGCTGTGGCGCCTGATTCTGCGGGTGTCGGTCAATTTCTGTTTCTGTTTCTGTTTCTGTCCACAGTTGATGTGCCCTTACATCAAGGATACATCAGTGGCTGAGTGGCTGAATGATTTCACCTGCACTCATACACATCGAGTACGTATGGAGTACGGACTCGGAGGACTCCATACCCTCTTGGGCCAAGCCCACAGGACATCCCAGTTACGCAGTACGAGTACGGCAAGAGCAGTACAATGTGCAGGCGGAATTTGTACTTGTCCCCGACATCAACGGGTGCACAGTACGAGGCGGAGATCAGCTAATCCGGAGTCCTTCTCCGGGATAATCCCTCCAATGAGGTGTCTGTGTCGTCGCGGTACGTTATACTGTACACCTTGGACCCAATGTGGTCTGCATGAACCCATATCCTGGTGCCAGTACGGAGTACGGGTACTCGGTATGCTGTACCTGGGAGTACTCGCAGGACCAAGTATCTCACAGCAGCGTCACCGCAGTGTCACTGCATCGAGTCAACCGGATACTCGTACGGAGCACACAAGTCCCCAAAGCCACGCGTGTGGGATGACTGCAAGGTACACATAGCCCAAGTGTACGAGTACTCGTACACTATAAGTGGAAGAGGGTCGTGTGGCTGTCTCTGGCACCTCTGATTGGCGTGGAATGTGGACTTGGTACTCCTAGAGTCTTACGGAGTACATGTGCATATGTCAGTATACTCCGGGTAAAAGAGAAAACTCATCACGGCTCAAGAAAGGAAAAGAAAAGAAGAGAGGACAGAGTCCATATAATGTTAGTACTCGTATATACATGTGTAGTTGGCTACTCTGATCTGTGATTGGCTGGCCTGAGATGCCGGACACCTCCAAAGTCCAACGCAGTGGAGTTTCTCTTCGCTTCTTGTCAATTTTGCTCATTGGCTCTTCTTTCTCTTTTTTCTCTCTTTTCAGTCCTTTTCAGTCTTTTATTTTATTCTTCCTTTGTTCCCGATCGGCCCTAATTTATGATTGGCCCGTTTCTCAACCGTTGTGTACCTTTGTCTTACCGTCGCGCTCCACTAGAACCGTCGACTTCTCATTCCCAGCAACTCGGTCTGACCCTGTGCCTCGGGACCATGACTTATACCCCGATGCAGAATACTCTATGTCGAGTACCTACAGGTATTATACACGGAGCCTCGGTCAAGCGCAGAGAGAGAGGTTCCAGACCCCAAACTGAGCAATTCCAAATGCGACTCGTATACAATAAACACAACTTCACCTGCCCAAATAGGTGAACGATCGGGGCCCATCCAGCATCACCATTGGTGGGATCATGATCGAGTCTAGTGGGAGGGTACCCAGACCGGGCTCCATCGGCCCAGAGCTTCCCCTTGTGGTCGAGAGGCGCCCGCCCGGATCCAGAACCCGCTCCCCCCCGAGTCTGATAGGCTGTCCCGGTAGCCTTATGCCACAGGTACTGGAATTTCGGGCGTCAACACTCTTCACGGAGCTGATGCCGTGGTCACATCTAGGCCTTTCTCCTCCTTTCGACAATGTTCTTGATACATAGGTCTCTAGGGGGACCGAGGGGTTCTCCCTTCCTTTGTGCGGGGGGGCCCTGGGAGCGATCTTTCTAGTGTCTCCTCCGAGGTTCCCCCCTGACGGTGGCAAATCTGTCATGCATTGCTGCCAAAGTTCATGCATGATTGGTCCAGACTTGAAGAGCCTCTCCGGATATAGCAATTTCTCACAGGTCTTCACCGGCTCCACTGGGCCCATCAGTACCACCCCAACAGTGTACGAATAAAAAAAAAGATTGTCGCGATCTACATCGTACGTTTGCCACACGCCGATGACACGGTACTCTGACCACTTGGACAAATGATCCATATCTTCATGTGGCTTGAAATTCCAAGTCTCTAATTTGAGCATTCCTTGCGGTGGTGCGATCTGGACCCCAATGACAAATTTTTACACACGGTGGACGATATCTTTTTGCACATCGGCGCTCCCGGAAGGTTGATCTACCAATGCAAGATCCGCCTCTCCGCCCACATTGAATGAGTAACGGGCTTATTGTGTACACTCCGAAGTGTCCGTCCTCCGATACTCGTACTCTGTATACAATCATCCCCATTGCTCTCTCGTCCCAGGGAAAAACACAGACCCACGTCAATATCCATTGCCGAACCCATTTCCAGACCGATCTCTGCCAATCGGTTCAGCCCGTCCCGGTCCCTTTTATATGATTTCCCCCTCGGCCTCGTTTCTATTTCAATCTCCTTTCGTCAGACCCTGTGGCACGAGTTGACACCCGGTCTCCAGCCACAAGAATTGATTGGTGTTGGAGATCTTGCACGGCATAGATCCGCCACCGTCTCCATTCTTATTATGCTGTAGCCTTATATATACTCTTGGAGTGCTCGGCCCGTTGCTTTGACACGTTAAGCTCGGGGTATAACTTGAGATCGGCCCTCCGGGACATTGGCTGTGCTTCACCAGCCACATCGTTTCTCTGTCGATTGCCCGGTGTCTAGAGTGTCTAGACCGAGTAGCACAAGAGCACAAGCGCAGAACTCTGAAACAGAAAGGTACGTCGACATGCTTTTTTAGCCCTATCCAATCCCACTCTGCATCTTCCCTGTTTATATCGACTTTGTCCCACCGTCTTTTGTGTTTGCTGGGGGTATTTTTTTGTTCTTATTTCTTATTTCTTATTATTCCTTGTTGGCTTAGGGGGGGCTTAGTGCGTGTCACTAACCCCCCCTTCATTTTCCCACAACTCACACTTTTCCCTTGATTTTGGCATTTCGATTTTTGGCCTTTTTTTTTTGCTCTATAATTATACTAACATCACTACAGCACATCGATCCTTGCAGAGCTGTCATCTATCAGGCTTGGCACAGGTAAGCATGATAAGGTGGTACTCATCAGTGAGACGCTAAAACTTGTAGACATTACAGTCCCAACGACCCTCATGGGTCATGTTCCTTCAGACAAGAAAACTGACGGGACTCCCCCGATATCAGGACCTGCGGCCGGTCAGTTACATGGAATCGATAGGTCATCGACTCACCAGTCTACAGCCTCTGCTCGACCTTCAATCAACCGGCAGGGTTCTGGCTTTGCAGGGAATAGATATGGGTCTCCCTCGCCATTGAATATGGGCAACATGTCCTACGCATTACCTGGTCATCCTCAGTATGATCAGATTCAATATACACCCGGCCAGGGCATGATCTATCCCATGCCAATGCCGTACGGTCCTAACGCTGGAATGGCTTACGGTGTGCCATATCCATATCCTCCTTATACCATTTCACCAGGACCACATTACCAGCAGTATGGAAACCAGCCCATGCAAAACATCCCACAGCATACACCGTATCCCCAAGGCTATATTCCATATGGCAACTACCCAGTGCACCGAGGCCAGACCCACGCGCCCCCGGTCGCCCAGCCCCCAACAAACGAATCGAAGGCAGACTCCCGCCCAGAAAACGACAGAAGAAATACATTGCTCGAATACGACGTCTCCAAAACTATCGTGGATGGGTCCAACCCTATGAAACTAGGGCCACGCCAACCGCTCCTCTCTGGTAGGTGTTTTTCAACTTTTTTTTGTTGTTGGTAACGTGTGCTAATGTATCATTCCTTCCAGACCATAGCTCCCCTTCCCACTCCGCCCCGTCCGCGCCCAGTACTCCCCGAGGACCACCACGAAAGCCGAAGCAGTCCGGTCATGCTCTCTGGGTGGGCAATCTCCCACCGGGAGCCAACGTTGTGGATCTCAAAGATCATTTCTCGCAAGATGCAACGCACGAGATCGAAAGTGTGTTCTTGATCTCTAAAAGCAATTGTGCTTTTGTGAATTACAAGTCGGCCGCAGCTTGTGTGGCAGCTTTGGACCGATTTCACGATTCTCGGTTCCAGGGTGTCCGCGTGGTCTGCCGGTTGCGCAAGGGATTTACTGCCCCGGGCTCGGGGTTGGGGGTCTCTGGTTCGGTGGGCACAGCTAGCAGTAAGCTACCTCTCCAAGAGGATGCTGCCCCTGCCATGGCTGATCCGGCTCCAATCATGGATGAGGAGGCACCGAGGCCGGACTCGGCAGCTCCTGCGACGGGCACCCACCCCCCACCCGCTCGGGTGATTGATCGGTACTTTATTGTTAAAAGCTTGGCCACAGAGGACTTGGATCTGAGTAAAATCAGTGGCATTTGGGCCACACAGTCTCATAATGAGGCGGCGATGAATCAAGCTTATGAGGTGAGTACTTCTTCCTTTATCGCCCTCAGTACTCCGTACTAACCGTGTTTTTCTTGGTAGACTGCCGACTATGTCTATTTGATCTTCTCCGCCAATAAATCAGGGGAATACTTCGGATATGCACGCATGATGTCGCCCATCAGTGACGACGATGACCTCGCCCTCGAAATGCCCTCTCGACCGGATCCACCGACTCCCGAAGATTTGGATGTGATTGTCACTGCCGCCACTAGCACCGCGCCTCAAGGCCGAATCATCGACGACACTGCCCGGGGCACCATCTTCTGGGAGGTGGAGTCCAATGAGGATGACACGCACAGTGAGAAAAGCGTGGAGCCCGACGACCCAGAAGAACAGACCTTTGGAAAACCTTTCCGCATTGAATGGGTTTCAACGACTCGTGTGCCGTTCCATCGAACTCGAGGCCTTCGCAACCCTTGGAATGCCAATCGGGAGATCAAAATTGCCCGGGACGGTACTGAAATTGAGCCTACGATTGGCCGCAAGCTGGTGCAACTTTTCCACGCTTAACCCCGTGGTCTATCGGAGGCCCGGGTAGGGCGCAAAATGCAAGGCCTTGGCCTTGCACATATGGGAAACGAGCAATACACGATGTACGTCTGAACTTTTTTTCTGGTTTTACTTTTATATTATCTTACGGGACGTGAACACGAATGCGAGTTCCCCTCTTTTCTGCATCTGGCGCATGTGTTGGGGGTGCTGATCTGTAGCTTAGGAGTTGATATGATATATGAGTAGATATATATGTTTAATGTACCTATCTAGGTAGTTAACCAGGCTTAGTTTTTAGCCCTAAACACTCTTTGCAATACATTATAATCTACTTACTTTACTACTATAATATACTATATACTATATACTACTTATTATATTATTAACCATTAGTATATGAAGATGACTAATCATCGACATCATCACTCCACTTAGCGCCACTTTTCCCCAGAAAATGCGAAGAGCTTAGTTTTCCTTAGTCCACTCATTGCTCACTATTTCCCCCCTCTTCTCTGTTTTCATCTCGGTGAGTATCCCTCGTATGACTAGTGGCACCATTCTAACACCCCCCTAGACTTCTCTTCCTGCAACTACTCTCCCCTCTTCCACCTGCAACACTACTGTTACCCTGTTACCCTTTTACTCTCTATTGCCACTACCCTGTCAGGCCACTGCCTTTTAATCACCCCCCTGCCCCCCTCTTCTTCTTCTCTCTCTCTCTTTCCCTCTCTATTCTATGAGAAGGGCGGCTAGTCCGTCCGAGATTCTCTCCTTGTTCTCAATTCAGACTTGATCATGTCGACCGATCGTACCTCCCCTATTTCGGTGCCAAACCCGGAGAACCGCCAGCGTCGGGGGTCTATCGCCGACCTGTTCTCCCGGTCCAACGCCACCCAGGCTCCCCAGGCTCAGGCCAATCAAAACCAAAACCAACGCCGAATGTCTATCACCACTCTTGGCTTATCAGGCTCGCCCACACAAACCAATACGTTTGGTAATCGGAATGGGAGCCTTCGTCGAGGTAGCCTCTCCAGCTCGATCGGATCCATCCCCAATGAGGATGCCGTCGAAGATACGGAAGGCACCTCCCCCAACTCGCAGTTTGCGAGACGGGTCTCCTTCGGGGCTCAGGCCCTACGTGATGCGCGTGGAGGATCGATTGGCACTGGTAGAGCTCCCCCTCCCTCTGTTGTTGGCCCTCGTCGCTCTCCCCCACCTGGTTCGGCCATTGTGGCCACCCGCTCTCCCGCAAGTATCTCAACCTCTCCTCAGGATGAGAGATCTAACGCATCCCGCCAAATCCTAGGCGAAGGCTTTAACTGGTCCGAGGCCCTCCGCTCCCGTGCTGAGCGTGCCCCTTCCCTCAGCGGCCCCCGCCAGAACGGGCACCACCGTGCCACCTCCATCGCGTCCATGGAGACCCCCAGTCGGGATATGCCCCGCCAGCCCAAGCAGAACAAGCCTGATTTCTTCCAGGAGAAGATTTTGCGGGGCGACTTCATGGACTAGGCATCTTCTCTTTTGTTTCAGTCAGATTTGAGGTTTCCATGTATCTTTTTCCTGAGGAACATGTATCGTGGGATAACATTTTTAACCATTGGCGTTTGGGGATTCTTGCATCCTGGTGATGTGGATGTTCTATTCTTATTTACCAAATTGACAGGGCATATGTAAAATGATATTGGAACTGCATTTATACTGTATTATTTCCTCTTTCGTCTGTCCACTCCTCGTCTGTTCATTCTGCCCTTTTTATCTTACACACACCAACCTCCTATCTCCCTCTGATACACACACACACACTCTCTCTCTCCCCCCCCCTCAACTAAAAGTTGGATGGCCCAGCTGCATCGTTGGCATTCTCAGCATGCAAATGTCCCGGAGCTCCCTCAGAAACCTTCTTGTTCGACGTCTCCTCTTCCCGATCGTACTTCTTCGCCACCTTTCGGTCCATCAATTGATCCGTCGTCAGTCGGTCCTGTGGCGACGGGGGCTGCCACTTGCTGCTCTTCCATGGCGGCACCCGCATCACATACATCATGTCCATCTCCTCCAGGGTTTTATCCTTGCCCTCGAGGACAAAGAAGTAGACAATGAGGACGGAGAAGAACAAACATCCCGCAAAGACATACCCATATGCAAAGTCGATATCTCCAGTGATGAACGGCGTGAAGAACCCAATCAGGAAATTCCACAGCCAGTTCGAGGCGGTGGCCATCGCCATGGCTCGCGCCCGGTATCGTGAAGGGTACAGTTCGGCCACAATGGCCCACACCATCGGCCCCCAGGTCATGGCAAACCCAGTGATGAACAGACATGCGAAAACAACCATCGCAGTGCCAGCAGCGGGAGTGTTGCGAGGTGTCTCGAGGTCAAGGGAAAAATGGCCCACCGAGGCAAAAATCATGAAGCAGCAGAACATCCAGATCCCACCGGTCATCAGAGACTTCCGACGACCAAAATGCTCAATCACGTACAATCCGCCAAAAGTCGTGCCGAAGTTCACCCCGCCCAAGATCATCTGCGTCACATATGTATTGTCGATGCCGGCGCCGTTGAAGATCACAGTTCCCTAGGGGTATTAGTATGTTATGTTGCTAATCTCGATGATACTCACATAGTAGAAGAAGTAATTGGCACCGGTGAGCTGCTGCAAGGCCTGGAGAACCACCCCGAGAACAATCCGATAGGGCATGCGTGGCGCCTGGAACATCTCCACCCATCCATATATGCCACCTTTCGAACCTTTCTCCGCGTCCAACTGTTCTTGGATCTCATTAATCTCTTGGACAATGACACGGTGGTTCTCCGGTACGCCATATAACTTGGACATGGTCCGCCGGGCCCGGTCGACCCGGCCATGTCGGAAGTCAAAACGGGGGCTCTCGGGGAAGAAGAGAATACCAATTCCCAGAATGAGACCCCAGAGGAAAGTGATCCCCAAGGGAATTCGCCAGGACGCCGAGCTGTCCATACTCTCTGTGCCAAAGTTGATACAATAGGCCACGAAAATGCCGAGTGTCACGAAAAGTTGGTACGAGCTACATGGTCAGTAGGAGAAGCATGGGGGACATGTTGAGAACTCACCAAACCATTGCACCTCGAATATGTCGCGGTGCAATCTCACCCTGATACATTGGGACCAGCAGTGAGCAAGCTCCTACTCCGAATCCAGTGACGAATCTCCCCATCATCATTTGATACCATTTGCCCCCCGGCGAAGAGATTTGAATGATCAATCCAACGTGAAGAATAATACACCAGAAGAAGATGGACCACTTCCGTCCAATACGGTCAGTCAATGGCCCTGCGAGCAAGGCTCCGATCAGAGTTCCAATTGACAGCTGCAAAAGGTGTTAGCCAATGGGCCCATTTTCCCCCAAGCATTTGAACTCACCATGGAAACAATCAGCCCAGACCGGACATTACTAAACTTATACGACCCATCTGGCTTCAATTGCGCAAACCGCTGCTTGTAGTTATGCATCTCCAAGAAGCCCGAGATCTGTCCGGTGTCATAACCGAAAATGATACCACCAATTGACACGAACGCGCCAAGCAGAACAGATCGCCATGTCGCCCACGGCACGCGCGATTCATCTGCAAAGCTACCGCGTTTCTCGCGGTCTGTCGATTCATTCGAGATGTCCGTCAATGGCGGAGATCCCCCGTTTTTGCCCTTGAGTGAGAACTTCATCTTTGCGTGACAATTGACCGGCACATACCGGACTTCTTCACCTTATAAACCATCGAAAATCAACCCTTCGTCATATCACTTGCCACCGCCGGAATGTCTGCGGAGTTATGGGCCCGTCATAGATCGAGGCGCCACCTTACGCTCTCAGTGCGGAGAACTGTTGCGGATGTGGCTGTCACTTTTATATGTCCCTCTACGGTATACTTTCTTGACTCAATGCTCGATTTTGTATTACTGTGAGCATACAGCCTTCTTATATCACCACAGAATGATCTGGGGGCATTATCCGGGGTAGCGTCCGGGGTAATGCTGTCCGGGGAAGCCCCGTCACGATGCTGAAGTCATGACGTCAACCATAGAAAAACATCGGAAAAGATCATTAGAATTGAGAATGTAGAGAAGAACTTTAGAAAGCACCAAATATCAAAAAAAGAACAGGAAAAAAGAAGACCACATCTAATACGGAATTCCGTTGGTCATCAGTTGGAACTGATCATAACCCTTGGTGGACACACTCATGTAGGACTTGCGGGTCAGTTCGCGCATGTATTCGGCAGCATCGCGTTCGCTCTTGTCCAGCACAAAGCGATCCCGGAAGTTCTTCAAGGTCTCAGGCTTGAAGCAAGGAAGACCGCTGTCAAGCATTAGAGACACAATGTGGGCCAGCTTGGTGCTGTAGGGTCGCGAGGCAAGGAATGCCTTCACGACCAACGATTCGAACCACTTGTACGGCTGCGTGTTGGTGGGGTTGTGGGAGCTGCCAGGGAGGTTAATGCCCGAGTTGCCGCCCTGGTGGTGAGCAGGGTCGTGGGTGCCACTCATGACGGCGACCATCTCCGAAGTCAGCTTGAACGGAGCACGCTCGAAGCGAACACCACCCGGGGCGATGTCGAAGCAGAATCCAAAGTCAATGTGGATAATATGGCCAGCATCGTCGATCATGATGTTTCCGTTGTGTCGGTCCTTGAATTGGAGCAGGTAAGAGATGACCGAGTAGGCAGCCATACTCTTGACAAAGTTGGTGCGGGCCTCTTGGAAGCGGATAGAATCCTCGCCTCCATACTTCGACACGAAGTAATCATACAGACCGTTGACGGCTTCACGGCCGAGCATGTCCCGAGAAATGGAGTTAGGCAGGACATCAATCACACCACACCCAGGCGCCGTGGAGGTCACTCGGTAAGGGTAGACCCAGACGTCAAGACCGACACTGGTGAAGATGCTTCGGAAAGCGGCGATCATCTGCAGCGCAAGCATGTCCTGGCGACAGTCATCACCGACCTTGAAGATGGCCGACTGCCACACTTCATAGGTCTCCTGCTCAGGCTCGGTATGGTTAGTCAACTGGCGTTGATGTCGGTGGTGATCACCGGCGTGGACCTCGGGCTTCTCAGTCAATCGAGGCCGAGTCTTCTGGATCCGGAATGTCGCCATGTAAGGCGCCTTTGCATGACTTTGCAAGGGCTTGCCAGACTTGCGGTCAATGCCCACAACCACACCGTCCGGGTTACTAGGAAGATAAACTCCGACCTCAACCTTGATCTTCCGCAGCTCCTCCTCAATTTTTTCCTTCTTTTCAGGCTTGCTCCTCTTGATGTATGGGCGCAGCTTGCCGGAGACATCCGTAACCTCGTTGAAGAATGAGAACTCTTTCTCGTAGAAGGCACGTTCCTCGTCCGAGAAGCTTGCAATCAAGTTGTCCAGGAAGCGGTCGATGGTGCCCTTGAGAGGATCCGGCTGGAAAATGTTAGCCATTGGCAATCCGAAATTTCACGAGAAGAAACTTACAATCTGAGAATCCTCGTCCTTGTACGAGTTGGCTTTCATGTTCCAAATCACTTGGTGAGCAAACAGTTGAGACAATTTGGCGGTTTCGAGAATGTATCGCTCGACGTAGCCTAGGCTGTCGTAGCGCAGAGCCTGAACCAGCTGGGGCACAAAGTAGAACCGAACGTCCATGGTGTAGCTTTCCAGCGCCCGCATGGCATATTGCAAGATGTAGGGATGATTGCCGTAAGATGGCATGAAGTATGTGATGGCTTCCGTGGGGGTCACAGGGGCCCAGTATAGCAGATACTTCAACTGAGAGTTGACGTCGTCCGGCAGACAGTTGTCGAACATAATCTCCAGCGCGCTGGGCTCCTCAATGACCTTTTCAGGGAAATTGAGGATGAGCAATCTCACATCATCCTGCATCTTTGGTGAGGGGAATCGGGCTGCCATTTGGATTGCCAACCCTGCATCCTCTGCCCAGGCAAGTCGAAGGAGAGAGACAGGACCCTCCGCTTGGTGTTTCCCTCCGATCATGGGAATGTGATGCTTGCGCTCGGGTTCCAGAGGGAAGAGCCAAACTCGAAGGCGGGATCGTTCGTTGTCGATCAGGACATGAAGGAGGTCTTGCTTAGGCTGCAAAGATTTGTAGGGACCTTGCGATTGAGCGGCAATTCCGGTCACCGATCGCAGAACCGTGGTCACTTCAGCGAGGATCTTGTCCTCCGCCTTGATCTGGAGTCGGTTTCCTCCGAACGACCACCTAGGAGCGTGCTTGAACCAGCTCAGACCAGCAGATAAGATTTGGTCCTTAAGCTTCCAGGACGCGCCAGAGTTTCGGGGACTAAGGTGTCTCAGCACCTTGAGTCCGAGGAGCACAATGCGGAAATGGATTTCTCGGGCCAGGGGGTGACCCTCTGTTTTAGTGAGGTTGACAACAGTGGTGCCAATCAAGCGACAGAACAGTTGTTGGTCTTGCAGATTGCCCAAGCGAATAGCATTGAAATGGCTTTCAAAGAACTGAAGAACTCGCAAGTGTGGCGAGATAGTGTCTTGGGCCTGTTGCTGCATGCGAAGCATGAGATCCTTGTCAGTTGGCAAGAGTTCAATTTTGGTATGCAATGGGTCGAGGTATCCGAAAGAAGGGTCAAACAATCCTTTGCGGCGGTTGATGCTTCTCTCCCAGGCTTCGATGACCTCGCAGAGGATGCGCGGCTCAGTGCTTGGGTTTTCGTGGATGACACCAAGCCAGAGAGAAACACCGAGCTTGATTGTCTCCTTGGTGAAGATTTGGAAAGGCAAAGCAACCAAGTAGTGGACCACCGAAAGTCGGGGCTTGCTGCTGCTGCAAATCAAACCTGCAGCCTGACGGAGGACATCCCTGATTTCCACGAGGGGAATATCTTCGCCATCGATGCTCCGTCCATAGAGACGACCAAGTGTCTCTTCCAGTGCATCGGCCGACTCTGGCAAGGCATTGATGCGTGGCTGAGCGAGGTAGCCTCTGCCGTCCAGCCCGTCGAGGGCAGGCATATCGGGACGTCGATACTTTTGACGTGTGGTGTAAAGTGCCATGAAGTCAGATGCAACATTGAACTCGTTGTTTCCATGGGCATCGATTGATCCAAGTCGTGGATCACTTTGAGGGATGAGAGTGCCCATTTCCAGGGCAAATGAACGACCCATTGAGATGTGTCCGTAGCCACCGTCATCGTCATATTCAGAGAGATATGTTTGAAGCAAGCCCTTGATATCCAGCGGGGCAATGTTCAAAACAGCCGTGACCCAGGTCCTCGCTCGTTCATGGAATCGGTTGAGAGTCGCCCGTCTCAGTGCATAGTTGTCCGGCAGTTCGACCCTCACAATGCCCATGGGGGAAACCAAAGATGGCTTCCACTCGAACTCATCGAGCTCTCCCTGGAGACACGAAGACCACATGACGGTCAAGATTTCAAGTAGCGCAAAGAGAGAATGCTTTTCGCATAACGCAGAGGGGCATTCTCGAATGATCTTGTCCGCACATTGTGCGGCAATGCTTTGGACCCTCTCGATGCGGTGGCAGCAAGACACTAGGAATTCAGCAAGCTGCTTTGACAGATACGGCGCCGAGAAGTCATCATGTTGTCCTGATAGTGTCAGGGAAAGATAGCAGGTAACCACCTTGTCCGCTGCAGCGTTCATGCAAACGACCATCTCCGAAGTTGCCAAGGCTGGATCAAGGAAGTAATCGAGAATCTTGGTGGAATCACCCGAGGAGGCACGCAGACTTTCGATCAAGATGACCGCATTTAGGAACACCGCCCTAGAGTAGTTCAGCTTCTTGATGTCAGAGTCACGGCCAGGAAGTTCAGAGATCAATGCTCGCTTCTGTTCCGCCATTCTCTGGGGCCCCGATCCGCGCCTGAGCACCGTGTTCAATTCTACATCGCTCTCCAGTGATTCCATATGAGTCCCAGCAACCAATGGAGGAGAGTGATGTGCGAGAAGACGCAGTTCCTTGAAGTGCTCTTGGGCAACATTAGAACTAAGATATATGCCGTGAATAGCAATATTGAACCAGGCGTCGCGGAACAAAGTCAAAATTGACTCATCGTAGTCCAAGACCGACCAAGAGGCATTGTTCGAGTTGCCCTTGGAAGATACCAGCAGAGCCAAAGGCTTCAGGAGAGGAGTGATGTCTTCGGCGGCGAAGAAAATCTCGCGATGATGTTCATTCTCAAGATCTGGAACGTCACCTTTGTTGATGATGCTTTCCAGCAAATGAACTAAATAGATTCGGTGAAGTGGTGACTCCTGATCCAAGGTGACTGACAGATAGGCCATGGCACATTGAACAGCACTCGAGATAGCTTCCAATCCCTTGTTAATTCCATCGAGATAAATGCGGGTGTAAAACTTCAACAGAAGCTGGAACTCAGCTTGTCCGCTGCTCAGAGCCAGAACTGCAGTTTCCTGGATGATGTAGGCATCTACTGCCACGTTGATCTTGCCGATCTTCTGGAGAAGCATAGACTGAGCCAGTGCACTGATCTTGCCATCATTGCAGTTGGTAGCAATTGTCACAATGGCATGAATGACATTTCGATATGTCACGTTGTCACTCTCTGCATTTGCCGAAAGGGAAGTCTGGCTTGCATTCCTGGGGTAGGCTTCCAAGTTCATTCCGGGACCAGTATGATCCCCATTCAGTTGGTCCTGGCTGGACTGATCTACGTTTGCGCTCGGACTCAACGCATTCCCGAGCGAGTAGAGAGTTGTAATAACAGCATCCTCGGAGAGAATGGTCAAAACCTGGGCCAGGCACCGCGATGCAACGGCGACAGTGGAGCGCGCCGACACGCCTCCTTGAGAAATGAATCTCAAGAGACAGCGCCTACCGATAGATGCACCGTTGGGTGACATCCTCGACAGAATGGCGGTACACTTCAAAGCGGTTACAGCCAGATCCCCATTCGACATCTGCTGGGGATCGAGAAGTGTATCTTCCAACCAGGATAAGAGAACATCATTGTTGTTTGCATCTTCGCCGAGGATCACGCAGTTGAGGAAACCGACCAGAGCATGTCCCTTGACAGAGAAGGCGAGGCGCTGTTGCCAAGGAGAGCCTACTTGTAGGTAGTCAGAACCATCCTCAAGTAAGTGGATCTCTTCACTGATGATGTCGGTGACACGGTCGATGAGAGACACATCGTCTTCATCATAGCTTTTGGCGATACCAACGCCGGTCATATAGTCATCCAAGAGTTGTTCATCTGTCATGTGTTGAGACCCTATAAGAGAGGCTGCGCATGATTTGACAAAGCACATGAAGCCTTCCTGCACTAGCATGGCACCCAACGGCCGTCCATGGGCAGCATAGCGGCGAGTGTATTTTTTCCAGTCTTTGAATGCATGTTCTGAGACATGCGCATTGCGAAGGGTAGATGAAGCGGTCTCCACTGCGATGATGAAATTCTCCGACAGCATCGCCCGAAGGAAGTCGACGATTTGCAGTTTTTCGTTCGCATGCCAGATAGAGGTGTATTCGGCGGAGGCTTCCAAGAAGCCTACCAGGGAGACCGTGATCGACAAGATAGTCACGGATTCATGCACCACCCCCTGGCGGCCCGAGTCGGACTTGGAGTAGTGGAATGGCGTGACCGCGTTGATGGCCTCGGTGCAATTATTCAAGTATCCATGCACGGCTTCGATCGCGACTGTTCGGAGAGCCGGGTACTTGGATCCCAGGGACAGAAGAGCCCGGGTCAGGTTGTAGGTCAATGTCTCCCAGGGCGATGGCTTTACATTGTGCAGGAAAGGCGAAGACCGAAACAACTGGCTATGAGATTCAGGCAAGTATTGAGATAATTGTGAGGCCAATTGGGTGGCATTGTCTGGGTCGTTCACCGAGGACGCTGCCTTGCATAGGGCGAGCAGGACATCTAGTTCGCGGGTTCCCTGTGCCGAGGTTAGTCCACAGTGCCAGCATCCGACGAGAAGGGTGGTGTGTTATATACCATGGGAACCCTGGCTGTTGGGGCCTGGTTTTGCAGAACTCCATTGAGCGCGCCATCCTCGCTAGGTGGTTGAGTGTGCTCGGTCAAGTCCAGGAGCTCCGCCGCGGGGGCGTCCACTGCCAACGCAGCGAGCTTTTGGAAGGCGAAGCTTCTGATTCCACCAGATAGACTAGACATTGTTAGATTTGTAAGTCGCTGGGGGAATAATGCGTCCCTTACCCGTCCATACTGTATACTCCAGGGCTATGAAGAAGAAACGAAGCCCTGGAGTCAGGGGCACGTGTTGACTCGGACATTCTCGTTTGTTTCTGTTTGTCTCGTATACTTCACTGTACTTATACTTAGGTATTTACTTATAGTTGTTTTTTATATTAAAGTAGAGTATACTATTTTTGTATTCTATACTATGTTGTATACGACATCTATACTTTAGTCTCATATACTTCTCACTAAATACAAATGTAAACACGAGTACATGATATCATGCAAAGGCGGAGAACTGGAATCGCGTTGTTTCCTCGGACAAGGACTTCCATTTACTCCCACTCCCAGCGTTAAGCATATTAACCATTTCCAGCATTAACATTGCAGATTCTACTCTTACTCCCCGCTATTGCCTGGTCTAGGCTTTTGGAACGTGATTCGTCCGGCTACCTTCGCCAATTGGCCTGGAGGGAACCCTTTGCGCCGAGGGATTAATAGCCAATATTATGCCTCCCCGCGAGAAGAGCTCGCTCAAGCGAGGTCGGGTAGGTCTCACTGCTCCTGTGGACCTTCCTTTGCTGACGTGGGTCACAATAGGCTACAGCCACGGCCGATGCAGATTCGCAAAAGAAGCCCCGGCGCTCTCAGAGAATCTCGAGCCAAATTGAACCCGAAACGCCGGTCGACTTGAACTATTTGCCAACGCCACAAACAGGTGCTCAATCCACCACTCCAGAAACCCGAAAGGACGTGACAGTCACACCCCCCGAAAGCCCGCACGAACAATCATCCCAACCTCATTTGTCCCAGCACGATTCCTCCCCACCACCGGAGGATACACAGGCACTTTCGCAGTTCGTGTATCCCCCCAGAGCATTTGCAGATGGGGTGGAGGACGAGCACGCGGAAGGGGTATGGGGCTACTTGCTCCCATTGGATGAAAAGGGTAACGGCCCCCTGGTGCTGAGGAAGCGTGACGGCTGCGACAAAGCCTGTGACCCGGAGAGCGATGCCAAGACGAAAGCTGGCAAGGCACCGCAGAAATCCAAGCAAATGCAGTCACCGGGCGGCTTCTTGGTGGGCCGTCATCCAGAGTGTGGTAAGTAACGGCCTAGTCTCCCACACAGGCCTATTCTGACCAATATCAGATCGCGTTCTTGAAATCCCCACAATCTCAAACCGGCACTTCCTCATCTTCGCTGAGAATAAGAAGGGTGAGACGGTGGCAATCCTGGAAGACCTTTCCAGCAATGGAACATTTGTGAATGATGCAATTGTTGGGCGCAACAAGCACCGAGAGTTAGAAGATGGTGACGAGATCTCCATTCTCAACGAGACGCGGTTTGTCTTCCGCTACCCTCGCACGCGGGAAACCCATGGGTTCCGTCAGCAATACCGGATTCTTCAGCAGCTTGGCAAAGGTCATTTTGCAACCGTCTATCTCTGCGTGGAGAAATCCACGGGCGACAAATATGCAGTCAAAGTCTTTGAACGACGCCTGGGAGACTCACAGAAGTCCCAATCGGACGATGCTCTGCAGCAAGAAATTGCCCTTCTGAAGGGGGTGAACCACCCCAATCTATTATGCCTGAAGGATACCTTTGACGACCACGATGGCGCTTATCTGATCCTTGAACTAGCTCCCGAGGGGGAGCTCTTCAACATGATCGTGGAGAGATCCAAGCTGAGTGAAGACGAGACTCGTGGAGTGTTCCGTCAACTGTTTGACGGTTTGAAGTATTTGGTATGTCTTTTTCGTTTGCACAATATGAGGTCTGGTAACGCTGACCCATACTCAGCATGAGCGAGGAATTGTGCATCGAGATATCAAACCAGAGAACATTCTGGTTGCGGATCAAAAGTTGCATGTGAAATTGGGTGACTTTGGACTTGCCAAGATCATTGGAGAAGAATCCTTTACGACGACCCTGTAAGTTACAGTGTGTTCCATGACCTGATGCGCACCTTTACTAACACCATTTTAGCTGTGGTACACCGAGTTGTAAGTGGAAAGCCTCCATTCCGGGTCCCATCCCCGGTTTTATCCCCGGTATTTTGGCCATCGATACTAATTGCCTTAGATGTGGCTCCCGAGATTTTACAAGACAAATATCGTCGGCAATACACCAAGGCCGTAGATGTATGGTCCCTTGGCGTGGTGCTTTACATCTGCCTCTGTGGCTTCCCACCCTTCTCCGATGAGCTGCGCACGCGGGAGAATCCCTACAGTCTTGCTCAGCAGATCAAGTTGGGCAAGTTTGACTACCCGTCTCCGTATTGGGACTCCGTTGGCGACCCAGCCCTGGACTTGATTGACCGCATGCTCACTGTGGACGTTGAAAAGCGGATCACGGTGGATGAGTGCCTCGAGCACCCTTGGATGACTGGCAAATACCCGAAGGTCACGGACAGCACAGATGGCCTCACCGGGGACTTTGGGAAACTCGACTTCTCCAAGCGCAAGGTGCAGCGGGAGCGCACTTTACTCAGCAGTGTCAACGATGCCCACTTCAACCAGCGCGCTGAAGGCAGTGAGACCCCGGTCAAGGTGTTTAACAACGAAGCTGGCAAGCGTGTTCACAATCGCCCGGCCAAGCGGGAAGAGTCACCCAGTGGCAACCGGGAGACCAAAGACTTCATCAACATTGGCGAACGTGGAGATCCCACGCTGTACGATCACTAATTGACTCTTTCTGTCATTCTATTATTGTTATTAAGGTATTGGGGTGTACAACTTTTACTTTTTCTTATTATCCGGGGAAGACTTGGAGTACTGTGAGAGAATTCCCTGCCGCAAAGGTATCGAATATTACTTTGATTTTTCCTACTTTTGTGATTTGACGTAGAATGCTAGCTATGCCAGCTATATATGATAGGAGTCCTTCCTTGTTGTCGCTGAAAGCTACAATTTCACAGTTCTGTCACCTCTTTCGAGTTGACGTTCAGACTTCGCGGCAAGAGCCACTTGAGCAGCAGCATGTCCAGCACGTCGCCCGAATACCGCGCCCGATGTGAGGCCACTACCCCCTGCATAATTGTTGTAGAAAAGTCCACCCATCATTTCACCTACACAGAAGACATTGGGGATCGGTTGTCCAGTAGATGACTGGAGCAGGCGAGCAGTTTGCGGATCAACTGCCAATCCGCCAAAAGTGAAAGTAATGCCACAGGATACCTTCACGGCCAGAAAGGGACCCTTGTCAATAGATAATGCCCAGTTTGACTTTGCAAGGTCCAGTTGCTTGGTGCTGGATTGGGTCGAAACCCCATCACGGATTGCTGGGTTCCATTCAGCGCGTGGGTTCTCTCGACGATGCGCGTAAACGGCCTCGTTGTACTCCTGAATGGTCCGCACGAATTGGGCACGGTCTTCCAACCCCCGCTGGGAGCACTTGTGGGCCAATTCCTCCAGTGTGTTCGCAGTGATTCGTTCAACGCGTTCCTCGCGATACTCTTCTTCACGAAGCCAAGGAATTGTCTGTGCGTCCCAAACCTGGAAGACAACATGATTTGGTTGGGCCAATATGGCCTTTCCAAAGCGCGCATAGGTATAATTCCGTAGATCAACACCCTCATCCACGAACCGAACTCCCTTGGTGTTGAGCATCAGGCCAAGTGGATACCCAGATTTGGTGTATTCGTTTGATGCTTCGCGATCTCCAATGTTGGCGGATGCATTTGCGTCCCAAGCAACTGAGTGACAGCCAGACCAGTTACCCACGGGCTTCGCATCCAGCTCGCGGATTGCGATTTCCAGACAGTCACCGGTGTTGTATGGTGTTCCTCGGACCATAGCCATGTCCCAACCAGGCCCCAAGAACTGGCAGCGCATGCGGGGATTGGCCTCAAATCCACCAGCGGCAAAAATGAGGGAGTGGGCGTGAATTGTCTTCTCAATCCCATCCTGAAGAACAGAAGCCTTCACTCGCGGAGGGTGCGACAATGCGCTGTCCTTGTCCGGTGTTTGTAGATCAACCCCAGTCAGCGCGGTGGACCAACAGACTGTGACCCCGTGGCGACGGGCAGCTTCTTTGTGATCATCGACGAGCCCCTTGCCCCCATTCTCTGTCTTCAATGCCAATCCACCCCAGAACTGGTATCTGTCGTTCAACTTGTATGCTTGGCGATTGAATGATAGCTGGAACCGAATGCCATTTTGGGCCAGCCATTTGATTGCGGAATTGGAGTCAGAAATGAGCGTTTGCGCAAGCTGCGGATCGGAGCGGCCCATGCACACGCGATGCATGTCATTGGCAAAGTCATCCTTGGTGTAAGGGCTCAGATCGATTCGAGTCGCCAGATCTTGGTCGACATTGTTGACCAGGGGGAGGAGATCATTCAACCCCTCGTGCACCGTACGGTAGGCCCCTGCGGTGAAATATGTATTTCCCCCAGCCCACGCCTCTGGGCACTTATCGATCAACATCACTGAAGCGGCCCCAGATTGAACGGCGGATACAGCCGCGGAGAATCCGGCGTTGCCGCTGCCCACCACCAGAACGTCACATTCGCGTGGGAAAGTCATCCTGGAGGTCATCCTGGAAGAGTCAGAGGTAAATGTCAATGTTTGTTAAAAGTGCCGGAGAACGGTGGGATCATTAAACCGTCTTGGAAGTACACATCAACTTCCCCAAATTGCGGGGACAAGAACTCGGACCTTCATTCTCCATGTAGATCATCCAGCTGGGCCTTCAATGGGGTAGAAGAAATTCAAGCATTCTTCTTGACCTTGGGAGGAAAGAAATGGTCCCATCCCAGCGGGAATTGCCAACAGTCTTCTTGGCCTCTTTTCCCTCTACCCACAGGACTGGGAAATAGTCTAATTCTAATCCCTCTTCCTTTTCAAACCAGAAGGGGAGGAACTCAAGAAACTCAGAAGTGGCGACGCAAGAGGGAAACGACCAGAAAAAAAGGGAGCTCTCCAAGAACAAGGATGAGGATAGAGCTCTCAGAAGCATCTATAATGAAGAATAGAAACAGCAGTAGAAGTAGCCAAGATCATCATTTTATGATCAAGGAAAGTGAGCGGTACATGACAGGAGTAAAGAGAAGAGTCTAAAAGGGAAAAAAGAAAAAGAGAGGTGTTTCTAAAATACTTGAACTTTCTCGCACTACGCAATGGTATACCACATCAACTGAGCTGAGCCCTAATGCCGATCTTTGAGAAGTCTATTGAATTCTAGTCAAGAAGTGCGAGTCTCGATTTCCCTATAATTCCCTCGGGTCGATTGGTTCAATAGTCCCCCGTACTACCTAGAAACACCCCTACATCGAAGTAGTGTAGTCTTAGTAGAGCCCATGGACTGATATTATACAGGAATAAAGCATGAAAATAAATCGTATCAGAGTCAGAACTATTACACGCCACTCAGCTACATGGAACATATGTACTAGTTTAGTAGATTGAAATATAAAGCAGAGTATTTAATATAGATTCTACTCAACAATTGAAATGTAGTTATGTTGCCAGGAACAGGGATAGATGTTCCAAGTCATGGACCATCTACATGTACTTAACAAGATAAATGTAGACACTATTTACTATTTACAATTTCTTAAGTATAGTACTTAAGTATCAACGACTTAATACTTAAAACTTCGGACGCTCCTTTTGCCGGAGTGGCGTGACTGAATACTGAAGTATGAAGGATATGACTGTCAGGAAATACTGTACTTAAATAAGTTACCAATAGGACATAGAAGATAGAAAATAGTAGTGATACTATACTTAAATGTATATATTATAATAACTATACTAAAGTAGTACTTAAGTATTAAAATGCAATATGCAGCCTTTAAAGGGGGCGGGTCTGCTCGTCGAATGACAGCGGTTGTAATTATTTTCCCTTCGCCCCTTGGCGATTTCTTGATTTCTTGAGATCTTGAGATCCTTCTTTCTTCAGCAATCTCACATCACATCGACACAATGGGCTTGTTCGCAAGTTTCCTTAATACTTTCTGTGAGCATTGCTCAACACAGTCTGTCTACACTTTGGCCACCGTGGGCGCATTGTCCTTCATCGCCCTATCCATCGTCGTCAATGTCTTCCGCCAATTGTTCCTCAAGAAGGCCCATGAGCCCCCAGTGGTCTTCCACTGGGTCCCCTTTGTAGGAAGTACCATCAGCTATGGTATGGACCCGTACGCCTTCTTCGACCAGGCACGCGCAAAGGTGAGAGACCATCGCAAAGATCCCCTCAACCCCCCCCCCTGGACCCAGCAAATGCTAATGAGAGCCATTGCAGTACGGCGACATCTTCACGTTTGTCCTCCTCGGCAAGAAGACCACCGTCTACCTCGGCACCAAGGGAAATGAGTTCATCCTCAATGGCAAGCTGCGCGATGTCAACGCCGAAGAAGTCTACTCCCCCCTCACCACCCCCGTCTTCGGTCGTCACGTCGTCTATGATTGCCCCAATGCCAAGCTCATGGAGCAGAAGAAGGTCAGTGGGAATTGGCATGGGCGGATTTCCAAAAGCGCATCGCTAACACCCCTCATAGTTCGTCAAGTTTGGTCTCACCTCGGAGGCGCTTCGCTCTTATGTCCAACTGATCACCTCTGAGGTCGAAGACTTCATCAAGACCTCCCCCGCTCTCCAGGATCCCAAGGGTACCTTCAATGTGTCCAAGGTGATCGCCGAGATCACGATCTACACTGCCTCTCGTTCGCTGCAAGGAAAGGAAGTTCGCGACCGCTTTGACTCGACTTTCGCGGATATGTACCACGACCTCGACAAGGGCTTTGCTCCGATCAACTTCATGCTTCCCTGGGCCCCTCTCCCCCACAACCGCAAGCGCGACGCGGCCCAGAAGAAACTGACCGAGACTTACACGGACATCATCAAGGCGCGCCGCACTGCGGGTGAAAAGAAGGACTCCGAGGACATGGTTTGGAACCTGATGTCTTGCAACTACAAGAACGGAAACCCCATCCCGGATGAGGAAATTGCCCACATGATGATTGCGTTGCTGATGGCCGGCCAACACTCCTCGTCCTCAACCGCTGCCTGGATCGTTCTGCGTTTGGCCACCTGCCCCGAGCTGGTAGAGGAGCTTTACCAAGAACAGCTCCAGGTGTTGGGCTCTGATCTTCCTCCCCTCACCCATGAGAGCCTCAACAAGCTGGATCTGCACGCCAAGGTCATCAAGGAGACCCTGCGTATCCACGCTCCCATTCACTCCATCATCCGCGCCGTCAAGAACCCCATGCCCGTGGAAGGAACCAACTTTGTGATCCCTACCACTCACAACGTGCTGTCTTCTCCCGGTGTGACTGCTCGTTCGGCCGAGTTCTTCCCCGAGCCCCTCAAGTGGAACCCCCACCGTTGGGACCAGGCCGAACTTCCCAAGGACGAAGATGAGGAGCAGATCGATTATGGATATGGTCTGGTCACCAAGGGCACAAACAGTCCTTACCTGCCATTCGGTGCTGGCCGTCATCGCTGCATTGGTGAGCAGTTCGCCTATGTGCAGCTGGGCACAATCCTGGCTGCGCTGGTGAAGCATTTCAAGTTCTCCAACCCCAGCAGCGAAACCCCCTTCCCCGATACTGATTACTCGGTGAGTTGGCTCTCTCTCCCTACTCCAGTTTGATCTCATCGCTAACCAATCCTCTAGTCCCTGTTCTCTAAGCCCGCTGGACAATCATTTGTTCAGTATGAGAAGCGTGGAGTCAAAGCATAAACGGAGTCATGTTTTATAAACGATCCTGATATGATGTTGGATCTCACATTGTAATGCCCCATTTCAACGCAATGCCCGGCCTGTTTCACACCGGTTCTGACAGCCTCTTGCATTGCTCTTCTTTTTTTGACTGGTGATGCTCCATGTAAATTATCTTGTCCTCTGCAACCTGGGCTCACCCTTCTTTTCATGTTCAAATAGATCATATCAATTTAATTGTTCAAGTTCTCCGTGGCTTCGAGAAGTAGTGGGAATTGAAATAAAGCAAATCATAGTTGCAAGGTAGTATGGCAAATAGTGTACAGTACAAAACAGGGAACTTCGGCTCAAGAAAATATGCAACACAATATTTCACTCGACTCATACCTTCTTCCTCTCATCGAGTCTCTTCTTGTTCTGCACCTCTCTGCGTCGTCGCTCACCACCGTCGACCTTGTGTCCCCGCTTGTCCTCCCACATACCTTCCTCCACAGAGATGAGAGCGGCAGTTCCATTAGAACCCTTCAGGGGCTGCAAGTGTGGGCCCCGGGGAGCCGATCCATGGTGAATTTTCATGCCGGCAAATTTGGCGATCGAAGCCGACTTGTTGTAGTGATATGTGGTGGCATCGGGGGCCAGGTTCACAAGTGCTTTCGTCATCCCGGGGGCCAGTGTTGCGGAGGAAGTCTGCACCGTCGCTTGTGTGCCTTCGTATGTCAGGCCCCGAGCGCTCACAGGCACTTCGACCACGCGCAATTGCGCAACACCGTCCACCACGGTGTGCAGGTCACCTCCTGGTCCGTACACGCCATTGCGGAACTTCTCGCGCTTCCGGATCAGATAACGTCGCTGGCGGGCTGGTTCGAGACCGGCTTGACGGAGCTGGTTGGAGTTGAGGTTGAAGAGGTCCTCCCATGTGGGGATCTTGCTGGCTTGCTTGGACATCTCACGTCCAATCAGCTTGAGAAAGGTCTCGACATCGGGGACGAAAGGGGTCGGGGCTGGAACAGGTCGGGCGGCTTTCTGGTGGAGTAATCGAACACATTGGTTGGAGACGTGCAGTGTTTTGAAAAGGCGCGATGAGAGGCCGCCTAGCGGTGAGTTGCGCATGGCCATGCTCATTATGGTGTGGATTACCGGGCCCCGCGGTTCAATGATCTCCAGAGACAGATGAATTGGTAGAAATTAACGAGAGGCTGGTCTGTAATTTGGGACTGAGGTTCACCGATGCCGTCGGAGCTGAGCGTGGAGGTGAAACTCCGAGAAATTTTGGCGGAGGCCAGCAGGTGCGGGATCAACGATACTCCGAGGTGCATCACTGCCTTCTAAGAGCTCACGAGTCTCTATACCACCTTGCTCCCTTCGTTTCTTTTGACCATGATCTCCTGATTTCTGCAGCCACAGAGATCTCGTGGCTGACTTGATCTATTCTTTATATTGTGCAAAGTATCCCATGAGCGACTACCCACTACGCATTTCAACATGGCACTTTCTCCCTTCAGCTCTCGGTCACCTTCTATGACTGTTCATTCACCAAATACTGCGATCCGACTTCGTGCGACGGCAGCCCAGAACGCAGCTTCTGGGACGGCTGCAGTCGCGGCTTCCAAGCCAGTTCCACACGAAGATCGCGAGCTCACCGAGCAGCTCAACATCGATGTGCGGGAGAGATATGTCAAAGGTATGTAGATCAGATGGGTTCGTTGGATATGAAGCTCACCCCTGGAAGATAAGAAAGTCGGAGAAGGAACCTACGCCGTGGTCTTCGTTGGCCATCTCCGGGACAATCCTTCCTCCCTCGTTGCAATCAAGAAAATCAAAGTGAACGCGGAATATAAAGATGGACTAGCGATGGACGCAGTTCGCGAGGTGAAATATCTTCAAGAACTGAAACATCCCAACGTCATTGCCTTGCACGACGTCTTCTCCTCTAAAGATCAGAACCTCAGCCTGGTCCTTGAGTTCCTTCCTGGTGGAGATCTGGAGATGCTCATCAAAGACAGTGATATTCAATATGGTGTGGCGGACATCAAGGCTTGGATGGGTATGCTCGCCCGGGGTGTATGGTGGTGTCACGAGAACTTCGTTCTTCACCGAGATATCAAACCCAACAACTTATTGATCGCGGCGGACGGTGAAGTCAAACTGGCCGATTTCGGCCTGGCCCGGTCCTTTGCGGATCCCGGCTTCCGAATGACCTCCCAGGTCATTACTCGGTGGTATCGTCCGTTGGAGCTTCTCTACGGGGCCCCTCATTATTCCGGCGCCGTTGATGTGTGGTCGATGGGGATGGTCTTTGCCGAGCTTCTGATTCGGGTCCCTTTCGTCGCCGGCAACACTGATCTGGATCAGGTGTCGAAGATCTGTGAGGCGTTCGGGACGCCCACGGAGGACAATTGGCCTGGGGTGAGCAAGCTCCCCCACTACATTCCCACCGATAAAAGCCAGGTGGTGCCATTACAAGGGCGGGATTTCTTTATGCGCCAATTTCCCACTGCAGGCCCTGTGGGTGCCGATCTCCTCATGGCGATGTGCGCCCTCGATCCTCGCAAGCGTCGGACGGCGACTCAGTGTCTCCAGCACAGCTGGTGGACCGTTGATCCCCGGCCGACGCAGAATGAAAATCTCCCGCGCAAATCTGGCGGTACTAAAAAGATGGGGGATGATCTTGCCCGCCGTGATCTCGACGAGGGTCTCTTCAAGAGTGCTGCCCGACAGCTGGACTTTGGCATGAAATAATGATACCCCGGGAATTCAGCCAAAAAAAGAAAAGAAAAGAAAAGAAAAGAAAATCAATAATCAATAAAAGCCGAACAATCCACATGGAACTAGGAGGCGTTATGCTCTGCAGGGTACTATTGGATCTAGAAATCTGCAGTCGAGATTGATAGCTCCCATTTAGCGGCAAGTGGGACTGTCATTCTGTCAATTACGAAGTACTTATGGCCAATCGAAACAGAATCAGTGTCAAATGTCCAAGAGTATTGACTCTCCTTGCATGACATAGGGCAAAAGAGGTTGGGCGAGACCTGGTGTACCCAGTACTCCCCGCTGTGGCAGACTCAGACGTGACCTCAAGGTATCGACTACCTGGGTGCCCAATACAAAGTACTTTGTACTTAAACCATTGAAAAGTACTATAAAATCGCCATCACACGGGAGGTGATTTCGGACGATCTTTACCCCATTTGTCTCAACTATCAACCGTTATCTGCTCCGAGACTTGTCCGTCCTTGTATGTACAGGGGTTCAAGGGAGTTCAAGGACTCCAGTTCGGGAGATATCCCTCTAGGATCCCTCTAGGATCGCCCCCGTGCTACCTGTGGAAAGGACAGAAGGATTGTCCCAATAATGAGAGAGGGAGAAAGGTCCACCGGCCAGAAAAAAAGAGTGACGGTCATCTCATTCGCCCCCCCTTTTTTTTGTAGGAGATGAAACACCCACTGGCAGGCTCATCATTGGACATGGAGTGCTCCGAGCGTGGAGGCTAAACATGCTTTGGCCCCTTTTTGTAGGTGTCACAGCTCATATAACTAGGTATAAGGTATATGGGAGAGGAGTAGAAAGTAAAGTAGAGAAGTAAAGTAGAGAGAGAGAGTACAAAGTAAAGTGGGAGTAAAGAGGGTGAAAAAGGGCACTAGGGGTGCGAAGACTAACCCATTGTACTCCATAGCCACCTAATATAAACAACTCGCGTCTAGCCCCGACTCTCTGCGGGGGAACATTTTTTGTTTTGGATTTCTCATCTCTCTGTTTTTTTTTTGGCTCTCTCTAAGTACTTTGTTAGGCTTGAATTCGGTGAGCACCCGAAACTTGTCTCTAATCTCGCGTTGGGCTAATGAAAAAAATATCGCAGACTCTCTCACTTCACCAATCCTGTATGGCCATCGCGTGAATTGTCTACTTACAGTCTCAGAGAGAAATTGGGCATGGCCTCAACTTCCACATTGCCACAGCCCTCGCGGTCAGGCAATCCTCCATCGGGGTCATTACCACCCCTCCCCAACCCCAAACCCAGAAAGACCGCGTCCGAGACGCCGAGAGCGGCATCCCCGTATGGTCCCTCCAAGCTACGCACGCCCTCCAGCCCCAAACCATCCCTCAAATCTCCGCTCTCCAGCTCCAACTCCACCACCAACCTCAACGCGCGGTCATCGTCGGGAGGCCGTCCACCGGGAAGTCCAGACAAATCCTTGCGCCGAACAATCAGCATCGCCTCATTCCCACAACCACCCAAAGCGGGAAGTCGCCCGTCAACGGCATCATCGCTCTCGGGAGTTCCAGGCGCGACCAGTATGCGCCCGAAACGAAGCTCGCGTCTGAGCACGGGGACCACCAGCAGCTACCGGAGCTCGAAGACACCGTCCTTGTTAAACGGGAGTGGGGAAGGGAAATTCATATCCAGCGGAGAAGCGCGGGACCCAGAGGCATCGCCCGGACACAGCCGAAGCTCGTCGGCGCAAGGATCGTGTTCCACCAGTGCGACGACCTTTGAAGATGCGGACGACACCCACAAATCGAGCGCCAAGCCAAAGGAGATCAAGGGCAATGTGATCGTCAGTGTGCGCGTGCGCCCAGATAATAACAGCGGGGGGGAAACCCCCCGAAACCACGGGGAATGGTCGGTCGACAGTCGGCAGAGTATGATTTCCTATCGCGGGAAAGAGGGAGGGGATTACATCTATGGTGAGTCGTTCCCGAGCGCGCGAGAAGACAAAAGCTCACCCAGTCAGATAATGTCTTTAACACCCAAGAAAATAATGCCCGAGTCTACGATTCCGCCGCCAAACGCCTGGTGCGCCGAGTGATGGAGGGCTATCATGGAACCGTCTTCGCGTATGGAATGACAGGCACCGGAAAGACCTTTTCCATGCAAGGTACTGCCACCTCGCCCGGTGTGATTCCACTGGCCATTACAGATATCTTTTCCTTTATTCGAGAAACCCCCCACCGCGAGTTCTTGCTGCGGGTCAGCTACCTGGAAATTTACAACGAGAAGATCCATGATTTGCTGTCGGCATCCGCGGCCGGTCCCGGCGCAGGCCCGCAAGAAGAAATCAAGTTAAGAGAGGACAGCAAACGAGGAGTCTATGCAACCCCACTCAAGGAGGAGATTGTGCAGAGCCCAACCCAACTCTTGCGGGTGATTGCCCGAGGCGACCATGCCCGGCGCACGAGTAGCACCCAGTTCAATGCCCGCAGTTCTCGAAGTCACGCGGTCGTGCAAATTGTCGTCGAAAGTCGAGAACGAGTGCCCGCCGGAAGTCAAGAGAAACGCGCTGCCATGACCCCGGGTGGAGTGCGGGTATCAACTTTGAGTCTGATTGATTTGGCGGGCTCAGAGCGTGCCGCGGACGACAAAGAGCGCCGGACTGAAGGCGCGCACATTAACAAGAGTCTCCTCACTCTGGGTAATATCATTTCCGGACTCTCAGATAATAAGGATAAGCAAGGCAACCCGTCGGATCGCGATGGGAGGCATTTGCCTTACCGTGACAGCAAATTGACCAGACTGCTCCAACCCGCCTTGTCAGGAGGCTCCCTCGTCAGTATTCTCTGCACCATCCAGTTCGCCAGCGCGGTCAATTCACACACGGGGGAGACTTTGAACACGATGAAGTTCGCCGCCCGTGCGAAGAACAACATCGTCAGTCATGCCAAAAAGGCCGAGGAAGCATATGGCGGGGGTGGAGGTGACTCGGGAAGTCGAGTATTACTCGAGCGATATCGCATGGAGATCCAAGCCCTCCGCGGCCAACTCGATACTCAAGCCAAATCCCAGGCGGAGAAGGAACTCAAGTGGGATGAACAGCAATACGAGAAGGAGGCCCAGGCTCGCCACGAGGAGCAGGTGCTGGAGATGCAGTTGGCGCGCACCGCTCTCAAAGAGCGAATCGAGCATCTCAACCGCTTGATCTTGAGCTCCAAATCCACGGGCGTGAACAATCATAACAGCTTGTCTACCTTTGGCCGACTCTCACGGATGTCTGCCACGGATTCCGGGTCTCGATCACTGCGTTCTTCCGCAAGCCAATCTACTTTGGGGGTTGGTTATTCGTCCATGCGCCCTATCTCATTCATGTCGGTCAATAGCAGCGAGCCTTCCAGTGCTCTTCACTACCCAGGTGGCTCATTCGGAAATGAAGACGAGGAAGACCTGGGTGAATTTGGCGATGGAAAAGCCAGCCTCCAACGCCAAGTCGCTGCTCTGCAAGCTGATCTCGGAGACAAGAACCGATACATCTCCACCTTGGAACGTCGATTACTCCAAGCCCGGCGATCTAGCCATTCCCGCATGTCAATCGGTCCCAAGCCAGTCAGCTCTACAATTTCCGAGCACCCCGATGCCTCGGCTTTGGTTCATGAGAAGGATCTGGAGATTAATGAACTTCGACTGCAATTGGATGACAAGGATCGCATGCTCGCTGCGCTTCGATCGGCTACCCGACACCGCGATCTCGCGACCAATGACTCCCCCGACCTCCGGAGTGGATCGGTGGCTGGAGACAGTCCGGCGCTCAATGGTCAAGGCTTTGGCAGGATGGACAGTCCCTCTCGACGTCCATTATCTGGTCGCAGTGAAAAAGAGGACGCGGGAAAAAATATGGACGAAGTCTCGCGGATGCTGGAAGAGATGATCCAAAACCGGGATGGCCAACGAAAGAGTATCAGTGACAGTCGACGCGTCTCCGCGCAGGTCGCCGGCCTCAACCCCAATGCTCCCTCATGGGATCCCAGTCTCAGCCCCCCGGTTCAGGAATGATGATGATACCTTGCGTTTAATATTTTTGTTTGATTTTTTCTGATTTTGGTGCTTTGCGGAAGTTCCTCTTTTTCTCTTCTGATCTGATACCCAATTCATAGGTTTTACTTTCTTGCGTGTCTATTTCAACTCATCTCTCTTTTTTTGGAGCCCGAGTATGTATATTTTTTTTTTGATTCAATACATCCTGTAACATATGGTAATCACTCAAGAGATAATTTCCAATTCGCCCTCTCTATCTTTGGCATAGACATCCTTCCATTGATCCCATAGACGTTCCAGCTCTTCCACATACCGAGAATGAAGTTCATCGATGTATTGGTCGTCAATCTTGTCGCGGTTTTGCTGTTGCATAACGGGGATGGGTCGTCCAACCACAATGTTGAGAGGGTTGCGGTAAGGCATCAAACCGACATCGTAATTGAAGACACCTCGGGCATGGAACAAAGGAACAGTGAAGCCCATGGTCTTCTTGATGAACATCTGCAGCTTATGAATGAGCGGGTGCTGGTCCGAGTCCACTTGATCGTAGAGATCATTCTCCCCAAAGGCCAGAACGGGCACAAGGTCGGCTCCTGTCCGGATTGCGAGCTTGACAAATCCCTTACGACGTTTCAGCACCAGGCGCAGTGTGTTGGGTTGGGCATTCAGAGACTCCCGCGCGCCTCCTACGACGATTGTAATGGCTCGCCCCATGCCCTCTCCATCGCTGCCCCCCTTGGTCAAGATATTCTCGCAGGATTCCCGAGACACACTCGCCAGTCCCATGGCAAACGCATATTCGCGGTAAAACGGAATGCGGAAGTTTGCATCTAGGGTTAATAGCGTGTTTGTGATCCCCGGAAACAGCTTCGAGAACCCAAGAGCCTCTGTGCCAAATGCGGCAAAGGCACCATGCGATATGATCCCATGTGGGTGATAACCGAAGATGTACTTCTTGGTAGGGGGCAGCTCTTCCTCTCGGTGCAGACGAGCGGGAAAGTAGGACGCATACACTTTCCAGATTGGGAGTGAGCGCAAGAAAGGACTGCGGCCTCTCAAATCCCCGGATGTTGCGGCCGTTGAGAACAGAGAGATGTAAACCAGATATGGGACCAGAAGCGGCCAGAAGATCGGAATGGCGCAAGTGAAGAAGAAGCCAGTAAGAAAGATAGCGATGGTTAAAGTATGACAGAGCACAATGAAGGTCTGTAGGCGTCGTTCAAAGCCGATATTCAACGGTGCCCAGTGAATCCTAGATCATAAGTTAGGTACGAAAGGTGGGCAGGACACAATTGATGCCTACCCTTTTCTTCCCCGGGTCGAGTGGGATTTGGTCGACATACGACCCCTAGGTTCCCCGTTCATTGTCTTCTGTACAAGTTCCCCCTTTTCGGGGAAATATCTTTGAATGCTGGAAGATGTGCAGGAGGGAAGTTCAAGAAAGACATATGACGTTGATGGATCTCTGCTTAGGTAATACTCGAGAGTCCCAATTTCAACAGAGTAACCGGTTACTAGCCAGTTACTGACTACTTTCAATTGATGGATAGATGGATAGATGGATAAGGTCTAGGGATTTCACAATATTGAAAGATTCTTCCGGGATATAGGGAAAACTGTATGGAAATAATCAAAACACCCCTAACTCCGTTGATATGCGCTTCAGATGCAGACGTGAATGACCCTATGCTTTGATCATAAAGATCTAATTCAAGTTAGCAAATTGACAAGACCATATACGGGATAGAGAACTGACCTCGTTGAGAGACTTGTCGTCCATGATGGCTTTCCTTTTCTGGGCAATGTGACGGGCACGAGTAAACTGCCGACCCATTGGCAGACGTGCCCGAGAGGGAGCGGCTGTCTTGACTTCGGTGGCCTTGTCAGAGTCATCGGACTCGGCCTTTCTCTTCTTGGACTTCTTCTTCTTCTCTTTCGACTCTGAATCCGATTCCGAGTCAGAATCCTCCTTGGATTTCGACTTCTTGGACTTGGACTTGGATTTGGACTTGGATTTCTTCGATTTCTTCGATTTGCGGGTTTCGGTGTCGCTGGAAGATTCATCGTCGTCGGACTTGGAGCGTTTCTTCTTGTCGGACTTGGGCTTCTTTTCTTCCTTGGCTGGGGTGCTTTCGGGCTCTTTTTCTTGGACCAGCAAGCCGGCGCGGACAAACCTGACCGGAGCGAATTTCAGGGAGGCATAACGGGCCAACCGGACATCTTCCAGCTTGGTTTCATCCTTCTTCAATTCCTCGTCGCTTTTGCCGTTGAGTCGACCCAATAGACCCTTGAAGGCATCCAGACCCGTCTGTTCGCCCTGTCGGCCTAACCGAGCCCCCAGCCCTAGGGTGTCATCCTTGAGGGAGACCTTGATGTGGGAGGCGCTTGCGGCGGTCAACATGTCGGAATGGGCAGCATTTTTGGCACCTAAGAGACTTCCAGGAGTCCAGCCCTGAGAACTCATGATCCGATGTCCAAATCCAGTCGTGGACCGGGTCCATTTGGTGTTGTTGGGATCATTACCGATCTTAGTCTTGCTGTTGAGGGATTAGAAACATGTTGCAATTGAGATTATGAAAGGGCGCATACTTCTTGGGTGCTGCTAAACCCATGACGACGGATCAAGTGTGGAGATGAAAAGGAAATCTCATCGGAAAACAAAAAACGAAAAAAAAAAAAAAAAAAAAGAAGCCGATGCTGACTTATCACGTTATCGATAAGGGCCCCGTGATGTCGCGGGGAGATGTTCTCGCCCAACTTCAGTTTGTTTCTCTATACTCCGTACTCTCTTTTGATGGGGGGTTTTTTTTTCTTTCTCGTTTGATTTGATTTGAGCTCTTGTTTTCCCTTTCTCTGCTTGGCAAGGGTAAAAATTGGAGCAATGACATTGCCTTGATACTAACAATGTCGAATCTTCGGGTGCTCTGTCGAGACCAGCCTGAGCGTACAATTGCATTGGTTTCTTCAGATCATGCCTTGGTCTTTCACCATACCTCGACAGATACAAAGAATAGTCCGAGATGCCAAGTGGAGTTTTCTGACGTTGAGTCGGTCGACTTACAAGGCTATCGCCCACTCGGGGCGGGAAAGGGTACCCTGGGCCTGGTGACCCTGAACGAAGATGTGTTTGTCTGTGTGGTAACGAGCTCTTCTCAGGCGGCCACCGTGAGACCTGGGGAAACGGTGTCCAAGATTGACAGCGTGGGCTTCTGTATGATTCATCTATAGCTGTCATGGTATATACTAGCAGTATGCTGACGTCCGCAGACTGCCTGAATCGTGCAGAATACGAGTTTGGCCTGGACTATGAATCTGGGTCGCAATTTGCCGAGGAACGAAACTGGGTGGATGGGAAAGATGCAGTGACAGACCACCCTTTCCTGGCGCTGAAGAAGCTCCTCGGAGACGGAAGCTTCTATTACAGTCTGGACTTTAACCTTACAGATCGCCTGCAGGATCGGTCAGTCCCGGGGGAACTCGACCAATAACGTACTTGGCATGAACTGACTGTGGTTTCTAGGGCCGATAAATCAGCGGCATTCGACATCGATACACTGGACGAAGACATGCTGTGGAACTCTTACATGATCAGTCCACTTCTTCTATTCCGTAGTCACTTGCCACCATCCGACAAGGCCAAATTAGATGCATCCCAGATGCTGACTTGTGTCATCCGTGGATTTGCCAGTACACTCAAAGTGCCAGCTACAGTCTCAATTCTTCCTCATGTGCGGACTAACTTCCCCTCAATGTTGACTATTATTTCCCGACAATCTTCTCGACGGGCTGGTACCAGATTCAATTCGAGGGGTATTGATGACGATGGGAATGTGGCCAATTTCGTGGAAACCGAAACGATTCTATGGGTGGCTCCAGGAATTGTCTTCTCGTATGCCCAGGTGCGAGGATCAGTGCCCATTTTCTGGGAACAAGCTCCAGGTCTTATTCCCGGTCAGCAAAAGATCGAAGTGACCCGGTCCGGCGAGGCCACTCAGCATGCGTTCGATCGGCATTTTGAGGGCCTGGAGTTGGAATACGGTGCAGTGCATGTGGTCAATCTACTGAGTGAATTAAAACCTGGAGAAGCAGATTTGTCGGCCAAATTCCGAAACCACATAGGCCGGAGTTCAGTCAGGCAAAAAGAAGGCGCAGGCATTTCTCCACGCCGCAGCCTCCTGCGAATGACCGAGTATGACTTCCTGGCGGAGACTCGAGGCCCGTCGGGATACGAAGCCAGTTCCCAAATCAAACATGAGCTGATCAACTCATTGGATGGGTTTTCCTACTTCTTGTCTGAAGATTCGGGTCGCCCAAACAAAACCCCCTACGACAGAGACGACGCGGTGAACAGTTCTTCGGTTATTTTACAACAAGAAGGCGTATTCCGGACTAATTGCCTGGACTGTCTGGATAGAACCAATCTCGTGCAGACCATCATTAGCGCGATGGCGTTCGAGTCTTTCTTGTCACAACAAGGCGGCCGACTCAACCCTGACATGCAAGTTCGCCATTCGACCATTTGGGCCGATAATGGCGATGCGCTCTCCAAAATCTATGCCGGAACGGGGGCTCTGAAGTCTTCATTTACTCGACACGGAAAGATGTCCCTCGCAGGAGCACTGGCAGATGCGCGGAAGAGTGCCACTCGACTCTATGTCAACAATTTCACCGACAAAGCTAGACAGCAGACGATTGATCTACTCCTGGGGCGCCTCACAAATCAATCGCCCGTGTATCTCTATGATCCGCTGAACGACTTGGTGCTTGAGGAACTGAACCGTCGAACTTCAGAATATTCATCGTGCAAACAGGTCCGGTTCTGGGTTGGCACCTTCAATGTGAATGGGCGTGATGAGGGTCCAGGAACTGATCTCACACCGTGGCTTTTCCCAGAGGCCGATGATTCCGAAGAAGACCCTGCGGTTTTTGTAGTGGGCTTCCAGGAGATTGTCGCCTTGAGCCCCCAACAAATTATGTCGACTGATCCCAGTACCCGTAAGGTCTGGGAAAGGGCAGTTCATGAATGTCTGAACGCTCACTCGAAGCGCAAAGGCTCCGGGAAATATGTGCATTTAAGAAGTGGCCAATTAGTTGGCGCGGCTGTTTTGCTTTACGTGAAAGAGGGTGCCCTCAAATACATCAAGAATGTCGAAGGCAGTGTGAAGAAGGTGAGTGGTATATTGCGATGTTGAAGAATGGACAATGCTAACCCTTGAAGACCGGTCTCTCTGGAATTGCTGGCAATAAAGGTGGCTGTGCGATTCGTTTCGACTTCTCCAATACCAGTGTGTGCTTCGTTACAGCACATCTTGCGGCTGGATTTGCGAACTACGACGAACGAAACAGGGACTACGAGATCATTAATCGAGGACTACGATTCCAAAAGAATCGGTCAATTGCAGATCACGACGCCGTGATCTGGTTGGGTGATTTCAACTATCGAATTGGATTAGGCAATCCCATTGTCAAAGAACTCATTGCACAGCGAGATTACCATAGGCTCTATGAGAATGACCAGGTAAGCTCAGTGCCCTAACGCTGTGCGGTTTTCCTAACAACCTCAGTTGAATCTCCAAATGGTTGCGGGCAGAGCCTTCCAGTTCTACTCTGAAGGGCCCATTGAGTTCCCACCTACCTACAAGTATGATGTTGGGCGGGACAATTATGATACCTCGTAAGTACAGCTCCGTGGTTTCGGCCCTATGGTTCCCTCGAAACTCACGATTCTTAGCGAGAAAGCACGTATTCCCGCCTGGTGTGATCGAGTGCTGTGGAGGGGAAACAACCTGCGACAGACTCACTACCAAACCGCAGATTTAAAAGTATCTGATCACCGTCCGGTTTGGGCGACCTTCGAGTGTGTGATTGATATTGTGGATCACGCCCAGAAGGAAAAACTCAGGCGGTCAATTTACGGGGGGAAACAAGATTCGGATCGCGCTTCAATAGCCAATTCCATCTCTTTGTTGGATTTGGATGACGATGAAGTCACACCAGGGGCATCAATCGCACCAGGGTTGCCACCGGCAAGTTCTGACAGGAGCCGATGGTGGCTGGACAACGGTCAGGAACTTCCAACTCCCGTCCCGAGATGTTCACAATGTGCTAATCTGTAACAGGAACCCCAGTGAAAGTATCATTGCAACCGCCACAGGAAGGGTTGGTTGCTAACCCCCAGCGCAAGTCTAATCCCTTTTCTCCTGATACCGACTGGGTAGCACCGGCTCCGATTCCTCGGAAGCCGATGCTTCCCCCTCGGCGTGATACACTTGCATCGCCGACTACCCTCCCATCGCGTCAGTCTGTCGATTCAGGGAGATCAGCCCCAGCGGTTCCTCGGAAGCCACTCTCACTGAGCTCCCAGGCGAAATCGCACACGATGCCCATATCTAATGGGAACCAAGCAGTCCGACCTGTTGCAGCCAGTGCCAGTTCGCCTGATCTCTTGGACTCGTCCAGTGAAGCAATTGGGTGGAAACCCCTTATGCAGTAGAAAGAGAAAGAGGGTATCAAAGGAGCCGAAGCGAAAGCTAGGGTCCGGAATACGGCAGTCAAAAAGTGATCCGCCATCGACACAAGCAATCTTAGTACCTTCCGGAGGCTGAAGGTCCCGCATCCTGCGAATGTTTGCTGCTTATTGTGAGAGGAGTTTCGGCTTCGACTCCTTACTTCGTCTTACCCAGCCATTACCAATTATGTCTCCCTTGATCATCTCCATCACAATATACGTGTAACCAGAACTTGTAAATACACAAAAAACTTCTGATATTAGGATAGTTGTATATTGCGATATAAATTATATTTTTGATACTTCGTACTTAACACTTTGACGCACTACCATCCGCGGAACGCCTGACATCACTGCTCACACTCCGACTACATTCTGGGAAGTTAGCTCACGATGATCCGCATAGACCTAGTCATAGCTAGTTAGCTGATCATACTAGCATCATTCTTGCAGTAGAAGAAGAGGGGATCCCCCCGACCATTCTTCCTTCTGCAAGAATCAGTGAGTTGAATACAACTTGTGTATCCCAAGACCTCTTACGTCCAAACCTATAGTTCTTGAGTCCTATACACTATCGAACGACTTTCGAATCGCATTCGAATCAATAGGGAATCCCTTCTGAATCTCCTGCCAGGTTGACAGGTCGTACGCCTGACCCTGTGCACTCGTTACACCGAGGCCCCAGGGTGAAAAGTGAAGAGTGATTTATGTTCTCAGGTGGGTGGGTTTACCTGCGAGAAGGAGAACACAAAGACTGGAAATTTTTCTGACCGAAGCCCGGCTGGCGCAATGGTAGCGCGCAAGACTTCTAGGTTTTCGTCTGGAAATTCCGCAAGCTGCGTAAGCGCTGCAGAATTTTCAGAGGAATTTCTGCGATAGTGATCTTGAGGCTGCGGGTGACCCCCGCGTTGGGCTTTCCAAATTATCCCCCCCGAAGGGCACCTTTTTGGTTTTTTTTGAGTCTGCTTAGTCATCACAATCCAACTGATGTCATCCCATACCGCCTTCCAAGGGTCTCTCCTCTCCGCCTTTGGATCTCAACTGTCCTCTCATAGATCTTTTACATAGAAACTGATATGGATCTCTGGGTGTCTGGGACTTCATGTCTCGCTCCTCCGCATTCGCATTTGCATTTGCATACATCCCAAATCCCTCATTGGCTTCTAGAAGCTGTAGGGGCAAATTGAATCCCGTTGAATTGGCTTGTAGTGGTGATATTGCAGCAGAAGAGGCAACAGAAGATGCCAAGAGTCAGAGTATAGAATTATATATTATACATATATTATATATATATTGGAAAAAAGAAAGATGGGGAGTCAGGGGCTATGAGATTTGAGGCCAAAAAACAACGTGGCCTTTTTTTTGCCGGCATATTCACTTTCCACCTTTCCCCCCAACAACACTCTCCTCATCTCTCTCCAAATCATCCCCAATGGTAAATGCGCAATCTTCCATGTCGCTCTATAGTCGCTGACCTTGACCCCAGGCACAGACACCACAGCAACGACGCGCCAACGATCGGTTCGCAAAGACCGAGGCCGCAAAGCGCGGCAAAGGCCCAACAACCATCAAGCCCAAGAAGAACACCAAGTCACCACTCTCCGCAACCTGGGTCGGTACGTGGGCAAAACAATTGTCTCAAATGGATGGTACACTAATGGATTATTAGTTCTCCTCGCGTTTGTCGTTTGTGGTGGTCTCCTTCTAGAGCTGTTGCGGGTCGTCCCTGACCTCTGGTCCTCCGTGGCCGCATGGTTCACTCAGATCATCGGGTAATTCAGCCCTTTACAACGAATTATCCCTTTCCTTCTCGATAGGTCTCCCGTGTGAGACGCTGGCTGTCTCCGTCCTCGAACCCATGTCGCGCTCAGATGAAACTGAAGCCAAAGACATGGCAACATCGGTTGCGCATCAGGCTCCTTTCTGTTTCTTGAATATGTATGCTTTATATTGTATCTCTCACTGCTACCGCTCAAGCCAAATACCACTCGTGTTACAACATTTACTTAGAAACCGAGGGAGGTTCATGCTCGGCTCGCTTCTCAGAGTCCTTCCTCTTCTTTTTCTTTCGCACCGTGGATATCTCCGACGGGGTTTCACCCGTAGCATCTAGAGAACCTGAATCAGCTGGCTTCCTCGGCTTCTTCTTCTTCTTCTTGACCAGGGTTCCCTCGGCGGGGGTTCCGTCGAGCTCAATTCGCTCAGATGCTCTTTGCATGCGCAGCCGTGCCTCTTCGACTTGGTGCATTGCTTTGGCCATCTCGGTCTCCCCTGGATCCGTCGGGATATGAGAGGGCTCCTTGGTCATAGACAAGCTTCCGAGGTTGCTAGAATCAACCTGGAGCACAGAGCGCTTAGCTGCGGCGGGACCAGTACCGGCACCGTGGGCCAGAGAGGAGGGGGCAGATGAATTTTGGATTTCGAACGTTTCGTCGCCGGCGACGGCTAATCTGCTGGGAGCTCGACGGCCCTTGGGGCGATCGGAGCGGATCTTCGGTTGGTCATCACTCAACTTCAAATCAACAATAGGGATCGAGTCGATGTCCAAACCCTCGCCATTGGAATTGTTGAGAACTTCATGGAATGGCGTAGAGGTGCCAGATGAGTCTCCAGATGGGGCAATGTAGAAGGGATCATCCTTGAAGCGTTCTTTTCGCTCCAACATTCTTCTTTGCACTGCAGTAGGGTCCATTGGAGCATTGTGGGCTTGGTGGGAGGCATAAGGTGCATCGTTCGACGTAAAATCATGGGCCTGCTTGTTCACATATACTATTTCGGGGGTGTGATAGAAGTTTGATGCCTCCCAGGATTTGGAGTCAATCGATGTAGAGTCGTTCAAATTTCGGAAGAGACCAGGCAGGTCATGGCTGAATGGTTCATCTAGTCGAAGGCTATCAGGCAGAACGACCTTTCGCTGGGCACTGGCTGCAACAGGGTTTAGTTCGAGCCCTGTGAACAGCCCCGGTATGACCGAAGTGAGAAGGAACGGGACCTCTTGGGTGTCAGAATGCAATGCCTCAGCGGCCAGCCGCAGCACTTCCAAGAACTCGATAGCTCGCTCTTGGACATCCAGATCTGGATGAGACGCTAACGTCTCGAGGAACTCCACGACACGCGCAAGCAGGAGTGACATCTCGCTATTCCATGCACTGCCTGTCTTATTGGTCTGGCTGACGTGAACAAAGATCTTGGGAATAGCTTGCAGGAAAAGGGAAAGGGTCCTTGGCGGGAGTGATGAATTCGAAGTATCGATCAACGACAAAAGAGACCTGTGAGGTGATAAGAGCAATTCGGCATATTCACCAACTACCCAGGCGACAGGACCGAGAACACCATCGCCGATGGTTGAGCTGGGAGGAAAGAAGGTGGATCGATTGTCGATAAAAACCAGCGATTCGGCGGCTCTGGTAGCTTCTGTGCGTACTCCCTTTACCCGCACAGCAACGTTGCGGATCTCCGTTCCTATTCTCAATGCAGCATTCGTTCTCAGGTCAGACGTGGTGTCTTGTTCTTTGGGTTGGCTCCAATCATCGTCGATCTCACTTGGCGGAAGAAGGCCGACCAACTGTACCAACACGGCAATATACCATTCGAAATCAACGACTTCAGAGTAGTTGTTCTGCGAGCACAAGTCCAGGATCCGATGTATAACCTCGGTCCTGTAGTCATTGGGCCACACCGCAGGTGCGTCTGGGACTTCAGGTTCATCGGCTGAATCACCTGCGGGGACAGATGCTCGGCGGAGTTGATCCAACAGGCGATTTACGACTGGTTGGAGAGTGTCACTGCTGACCATTCCAACTGCAAGTTCGAGGGCTTGGAGTCGAATAGAGACATCTGCATCATCCAAACAATCCATAATCACATCCTGCTGCATGGAAACCAAGTTTGGATGGGTGGCAACGATACGGTTCAAGGCGAGAAGGGCCACATATTTCACTATATATCAGGTCAACAATGAATGAAGAAAAAAAGACTGAGCTCATCAGACCCAGGGAACTCACAGTTAGGGTCAGAATCCATCACGATCATGCCACGAAGTTTGCCCACGCAAAGGGTGGCGACGTCGTCCCTTTCTTGAAAGCCATCTTCGCCGTCCAATATACCACCCTGGATGATGCCATTGATGCATTCATAGAGCAGCGACATTGCAGAAGTAGTTTGGATTATATTAGTCAATGGACGTAAAAGTTTCCGGGTCAGTCGTGGCTCCAATGGGGTCAAGGTTGCAAACTGGGGATGTTAGAGCGCTCTGAAGACTAGTACGGAAGACTCACGAGTTTGATGATTTTGATGGCCATCCAATTATTTCCACTATCCACCAATAACTCAAAGAATCGGGGCGCAAGAGGTAAAAAGTCATGGGGTCGTCGCCATCCGAGTTCACAAACCACATTGATCGCGGCAGTAGTCACGCTGCCGTCCTCTTGGTCATCCATCAGATGATCTTTTATTTTGGGCCATGCCAGCTTCAGGGCATCTGGATAAACCAACACAATTCGGTACAAGCATACAATTGTCTTCTTCCGGACCACGGGATTGGAGTGTGAAAGTCGGGATAGGATATCAGGGAGCAGGGACATCGCCAAGGAAGGTGTGATGATATGCGGCAGGGTAATTAGGGGGAGCGACATGTTCGGGATGCTTGTGGTGACAACATCCTTCTTCAATAAGTTGGTCGCCAGCATTAAGACCTCCGTATCGGGCCGGAAGCTCTGTACCGCTGCCAGATACCCGACTCGTTTCTGGAGGTACTTGGCTGATGACATGACCTCGAGAACGTGAAACGATGCCCATGACATGTCATATCCAAACATTTCCAAATAGATCAGTTTGAGGAGAGCCGTGGCCTTTTTATCTGTTTCGTGTGAGCGATGGACCAATACAGCGGATCACTCAGAGATACCCATATCCTGTGTCTTGATCTCGACTTTGCATTCACGGAGCGCATTCTGAATGTACTCATTCTCTCCCCCCTTGTGGCCCCGAAGACCTTTGATCAGGTCGTACAGGGATTTTTCGAACCTACCAGATGTTCAGGTCAGTGTTGGGCCTAGATCATGAAACCAGTCGGGAATACTCACATTGTGGTTATCAAACATCACACCGAGGTGTGACAGAGAGAGAGAGAGAGAGAGAGAGAGAGAGAGAGAGAGAGAGAGAGAGAGAGGTATAGACAGGGGAATCAATGCCGAAGCAGAGGCATGATGCCAGATCAATAGGATGCTAGAAAGTAAAGGGACGCAACAGCTCTCCGCGGGGGAGTTGTTCGGGAGATAAGAATCACGGGACCCCCAGAGCTCTCGATAAGGACAGTTGGATTTCCCGTACGCTCTGGGCTCCGTACTGCTGCACTCTGTACTCTTCACATCGTTTGGAACGTTCATTTTCGTGCAATTCTTCAATCCCTTCATCGTGGTAAGCTCGACATGGCCGGTACAATTTCCGATGTCCGCGAAATGAGCGGGTCAGATATGATCTCGGCTCTCCATCTTGCCCAACAAGCACCGGTCATCCTGGGACCGGAGTCCGGGTCCACCTCTGCGACCGATACTGCAGCTTATTATGCCCGCATCGAGCAACTCATGCTGGCTTGTCTCCGAACCGGTGATGACCAGTCAGCACACACCTGTCTGAATCGCTTGAGCCTGCGATTCGGACCCTCCAATGAAAGGATCATGGGACTTCGCGGCCTGTACGAGGAGGCAACTGCCAAGGATCAGGCTGCGCTTGAGAAATGCCTGCAGGAATACGATCATACCTTGTCACAAAGCCCCGTGAATGTGGTCAGTACTGATTTTACCCGGGGATTGGACGGTCATGGGCTAACCCCCTCACAGCCTATTCTGAAGCGCCGAGTTGCGCTGCTGCGCTCGCTCAACCGGCCCACCGATGCGATCTCCGCTCTCATCCAGCTTTTGGATGCGATTCCTACCGACGCCGAGGCCTGGTGTGAACTTGCCGATCTCTATCAGACCCAGGGATTGGGTGCCCAGGCTATCTTCAGCCTAGAGGAGGCTCTGCTTATTGCGCCCAACTCGTGGAATGTATGCATGCGTCCTGTCCCAAAATCTTACGATATGACAGTTATTGATCTTCCACACAGATCCATGCCCGGCTCGGGGAGCTGTTATACATCACGTCCACAGATGGTGATGCGCCCCGACTTCTTGGGAAGTCCGTTCAGCACTTCAGTCGTAGTATTGAACTGTGCGATGACTACCTCCGCGGTTTCTACGGGTTGACTTTGGTAAGATCTCGCCTTTCTTTTTCTCTTGCATCTACTGATTCTCTTAGGCCTCGACTCGAATGCTTGAGAATAATTACGGTCAACCCCAGACGTTGGAACGGTTAAAGGCATTTGCGCTTCACCAGTTAGGGGAGATTGTGAAAACACGATCTGTCGATGACCAGCATTGGGCATCGAGTCGCAGTGAACTGATTGCTGCCAAGGAGTTGTTGAATCGATTTCCGTTGAAAGTGTAGTATTGGGCCGTTCGGGCATAAAAAATAGTTACACACAAATGCCCAACCCGCCCTATAATAAACAGGGTCTTTGTGTGTGTTGGCCTTGCTTTTTTTTGCTTTTCTTCTTTTTTTTCTTTCTCTTGACATGATACCCTAGACTTCTTTTTTTTTGGCGACATTTCTGTTATATTTTGCGACTGATCATCTTATTCCACCTGAACCCTGTGTCAATCTGTACTGTGTCAACCCAGTCACCCTGGTCAACCCGCAACCCTGTCAATTTGTTCACTTGATCTCGAAAAAAAGAAAAGAAGAAAACAAGTGATCAAAGAGAAGAGATTCAAACATCCAAAATCCCATTCGATACATTCAACCCATTTGTGTGTGTCGCGACAAAACAAAAAAAAAAATCCAGGGAGTCAATGCGCAAACCCCCCGCGTCGACTCTCGCAAACATTCTTCCTCCCCACCTCACGTTCCAACGAGAGGAACTCTCGCTGTTTCGGAGATTCCTCTCTCTATGACGTACGCTGGTCTTGATATTTATATATTTCGACTCTCTAACCCACTCACAGGCTCAGTATTTCGATAAATTCAGACCACGGCTCGGACTCTTACTCCGACGACGACGGGGTACATGTCTCTGCACCGTCGATAGGAGATCATGGGTACCAGGACTATGATGAGTGGTCACATCTGTCATATCCAGATGAATTGAAACTATCAGATTCCACTTCCCGAAGACCTTCCCAACGCAGTCGTCCCCACGGTTCACGATCCGTTTCGGGCCGTCGCCCAACCGCGCGACGCATGGGTCCAGGTCCAGATCAGTATCCCTCTCGGGGCCGACAACCATATCCAGATTCCCCTGAAAGCGAGGGCTCTGTCGATGACTATCCCCCGTATACGCGCCCATCGGATCCGAGATGGCAACAGCCCATGCCACCCGCCTACCCCCCAAGCCAGTCCTCAGGGCCCACCTATAACCAACCCTATCCTCCGCCAGGCCACGTCCCATATCCCCATAATGTCCCCGGCACATCGGACCTCATGGTCCGGAGCGGGCAACCAAATCCTTACGGCGCACCGCCGTATGGATACCCGCCTCAGTTCCCCCATGGGTCCCCCTTCCATCCGGATCAAGGCCAACCGCACCAACGCCACGCACCCCGCCAGCCACAAATGCATAACCCAATGCAACCGCCCATGGGACACCCAATGGCTCACCACGCCCCGGGTGCTCCGTTTGGGGGGTATCCGCACGAGCTAATGCCTTACGGTCAACCCCAACCGGGGTACCACCCAGGGTATTTCGGTGGGCCAATGCAGGGGATGGTCCCTCCCTACTGGCCGCACTATCCCCCAATCGCGTCCCCACCACAACCAGAGCCCAAATCCCCCCCGCCCGCGACCCCCGCCCCGCCGCCCGCCCCCACGCCCGCGCCGGCCCCCGAACCCGCCCCAGCACCACCCCCACCGCCGCCCCCCAATCCCGCCGATACGGCGAAAGATGAGCAAATTGCTCGGCTCGAGAAGTTGATCCTGGACGACCGCAACGAGCGCGAGGCGAAAGAATTGGCCAAGCGGCAGGCCATCGAGCGCGCCGCGGCCGAAAAGGCCGCGCACGAGGCCCAGATGGCGCATGACCGCAAGATCACCCAGGAGGCGGCCGCGCTCGCCCGCGCGGATGCAGAGCAGAAGGCGGCCGAGGATGCGGCCAAGGCCAAAGAGGAAGCCGAGAAGGCGACCGCCACCGCGGCCTCCGATGCCGCCGCGGCAGCCACCGCCGCCGTCCAGGAAGCCCACGCCAAAGCGCAAAAGGAAGCGGAAGAAGCCGCGGCGAAGGCCCAGCAAGAGGCCGATGAGGCGGCCGCCAAAGCGGCCAAGGAGGCAGAAGAGGCGGCGGCCAAGGCGCAGAAGGAGGCCGAGGAGGCTGAAGCCAGAGCGAATGCGCCCCCTCCACCACCTGAGAAGAAAAAGCCCATCAAGTTCAAAGACGCCATCGGGAGGAAGTTTAGCTTCCCCTTTGAGCTGTGTGCAACTTGGCAGGTAAGCGGAATTATCCCTCTCCAAACGAAAGGGGCGTTTTTTTTTTTTTCTCTCTTGTACTAACCGTCATCGCAGGGCATGGAAGAACTGATTCGTCAGGCTTTCTTACACATCGAGGTCATCGGGCCCCATGTGGCCGATGGGCATTACGACCTCGTCGGTCCGAATGGGGACATCATCCTCCCCCAGGTCTGGGAAACGGTCGTGGAGCCTGACTGGGCTATTACCATGCACATGTGGCCGATTCCCGAAAAGCCCAAGGAAGAGCCGGCACCCCCACCTCCCGAGCCTGAACCTGAAAAGCCGCCCGAGCCACCGGCCGAGCCGAAGAAAAAGCCCGAGGGTAAGATGGCATCCTCATTCCTGGAGACCTCACACTGACACTGCATTCAGGACCCAAAAAGCCCAAACGAGCCCCAGAAGCCGGTAGTTTTGCCATGTGGATGCTCGGGGGCACCAATCGACGGGGCGGCCGAGGGGGTCTAAAGGTGGAAAAGAAGGAAGCCCCAGCCCCGGCCCCGTGAGAAGTTGGAGTGTGAACTAACCTTTTGGCTGTGATTATAAACATGTGGATTATGCGGAACTGACTATCTTGTGCTTGAAATGCTTGAAATATGAATAATATTGAAATATGACTATTGATGATGAATTCTGAGGTTTTTTTTTATCTTTGCTTTCTTTTGTTTTGTCTTTGTCGAAGCTTTCTTTTGTTTTGTACTTGTCGAAAACTCTCGATAACTCTCGATTCATCCATAAGGGTGGAAAAGAGAGATTGGACAGTGTATGAGGATTCATCACGGTCCATTGATCGAACCACGGAGTGAACCAGGTGCTCATAATCGGCATTTAGGGCAATCAAAACCCGTGTCATGACGAGCTTGTCTGGTAATGGAGATCCACTGGCAGCAAGTTCATTTACCAATGCTCGGATCTTATTCAGATATTCTTCCACGGTGTTAAAATGATCCATGGATATAGTAATGAATTCCCTCAACAGGGAGAATTCACTCCTTGAGTATGATTTTTTCCAGAATTTGCCAGGCAATCCGGCAGTCTGTCTCCCTGCTTATTTTCATAAGGGGGACTGGTTCACATGAGAGTTGAATGAGAGCTAATGCTCGATCATTGCATGGACCAGTGGTCGGAGCCGTCAGGGCTGACTGTAGATCTTGCTCGGCGAGAAGTTCCTTCATTTGAATTGACCAGGTGTGGTAATCCGAATAGCCCTCCAAGGGAATTCGAACCATTGAAGGCATGATGAGTCCAGAAATTGTTAGATCCAAATTGAGAGATCAGAAAGATGAGGGAGATGAAGGTAGAGGGAGATGAAGGTAGAGGGAGATGAAGGTAGAGGGAGATGAAGGTAGAGGGGCTTATTATACCTCTGACATTACTACATTACTACATTACTCTACTACTCTACTCTACTACTACTCTGTTGGTACTCTACTACCATGGTATGTTTATGAATCATGTCGCAACCATAAATACGAGAGTAGACACGCATCCGGACACAACCCGTCGAGACGCTACCGGTTCCGGAACGACCAGTCTCTAGGGTTTTATCAAAAATCATCTTGAAACTTGCGCAGCAATTTCTGTATTCGGACTTCATGAGTTTTACTATACAATGCGATCGGAGTATACTAGAGAAATTTTCTAGACAAGGCTATCTTGCCACCAGATCCGATCAAGCTCGAATCACAGTGCTGACGAGAACATGGTTCCTGCTATACGAGCATGTTTGGATGGAACTGGGTGCACGAATCATACCACTATGCGTATAGATGTATACTCGGTGTCACGCACTATCAGATAATATGGCGAAGTACAAGAATCTTCATCAAGAGCTATAGCGGGATCTGTATAGGTCAGATGAACATCTATTGAGAGATCAAGGAAGGTCGGAAACGAGTCCAGTCCTTACGGTCGCTCAGACATTCCCGAATACTATGGCCTCACAGAACAGCGCATTAATGAAGAATTCCCTTTGGGAGCTACTTAAGTGGAAACAATAGAAGGATTAAATTTGTAATATAGAATCCTAAATAATAATGGAGAGAAATCCCCTGGAATTCTGAGATGACCTTTAGAATTATCGTTCTTTGTCTTGATATCTATATTCTCAATATCGAAGCCTCTCTTAAAAACTTGGGATTTAATTATTCTCATGTCTTTAATATGAGTGCCAAGAGAGTGTAACGGCTAACAGGAATCAGACTTTTGCAGGCTCGCCATTAACACGATCTGGATCCGTCACCGATACGACCCCGAATCGGCTACAATATTACTCTATGGTCAATTATCTAAACTTGTATGTTTCCTGTAGTAAAATATTTAACCAAGGGCCGCCGCCCCCTTAGGGTGTCGTAGACAGTGATTATTTATTGTACTATTCTGTTCCTATTTCATTATTTATTATTGAGGCACGAATCTATGCAAAAGCGGGGGACAGAACTACATGTTGGTTGCAAATCTAGAGATAGCAATTTTAACGCCACACCACACTATATACAGCGGTCGCATAGATCTCAAAATTTATACTACACGAAAAGTAGAGGCTAATTACATATGTACTATATTTCAAGCGATTTGAGTAGGTGGGTGAGATAAAAAACAAAAAAAAAAAGAGCAAGAGCAAGAAAATGATAGAAAAACAATGGCAAGATTATCGATCAGTAAGAAACGAAAATCAAACAAAAAAATCAAGAGCAACTTTAGAGCTATATATATATATTATATAATATATATATATATAATAATTATCTATATTATAATATAATTCTATTTTAACCCTATTTAAATATCACAGTGTAAAGCTGTATGTAATGGGTGTACAGACACAGGCGTACTATCTATCAACCCGGTAGTAGACTAGAAGAGGAATCACTATCGAATTGTGGGTGATTCGATTATCGTTGGTAAGGGAGTAAGAATCTAAAAGTATTTTCATAATGGGTATAATAGTA